TTGGCACTCGACGAAAGCAATGATGTTCGTGATTCTGCACAACTTCAAATTTTTATTCGTGCGACGAATGACTATTTCGAAGTCACAGAAGAGCTTGCTGCACTGCAAAACATCAAAGGAACAACTACAGGAGAGGATATCTTTCGATTTAAAGCTTTCGTGACTGCAGGGATTCATCTTCTTGGTTCTTTCGGTAAAGTCACATAGAAGGGAAGTAATAAAATAATTCTCACGACGTTTCGGCCACAACGCAAGCAGCCGTCCTCAGGTGAAAACCAGGTCTGTTGGGGAGACAGCGTCTGAATGAAACAGCACACGAGCTTGGAGCATATATAAGCTGGGTTGGAAGCGGGGGAAAGAGCGCCTTGACAAAATAATTTCAATATCAAGAGGAATTTAGCATATTTATGGGAAATGCAGGAATGTGATTAGTACTACATATGCCCGTGCTGCATATGTAGTACTAATAACATTCCTGCATGTCCCATAAATATGCTAAATTCCTCTTGATATGCAAATTATTTGTCAAGGCGCTCTTTCCCCCGTTTCCAACCCAGCTTATATATATGCTCCAAGCTCGTGTGCTGTTTCATTCAGACGCTGTCTCCCCGACAGACCTGGCTTTCACCTGAGGACGGCTGCTTGCGTTGTGGCCGAAACGTCGTGAGAATTATTTTATTATGTTTTATTTTTATTATTTTATCACTTCCCTTCTACGTGACTTTACCGAAAGAACCAAGAAGAGAGGATATCTATGAAAAGGTTTGCCAAACTGTGAATGGTTTGGAGCTGAACTGGGCTAAACTAGCCAGTGTGACAACTGATGGTGCTCCTAGCATGGTGGGGTCTAAGAAAGGAGTAATTGCTCGCATTAACCAAGAGATGGACAAACATAACCATTCTCATCCAATAGCCATACACTGCCTCATCCACCAACAAGCGCTGTGTAGTAAATCACTGAAGTGGGACTCGGTTATGAAATTTGTGGTATCTTGTGTTAACTTCATTAGAGCTCATGCACTAAACCACAGACAATTTCAAGCATTTCTGTCTGAGCTAAATGTTGACTATGAAGATGTTCTGTATCACACAGAAGTCCGTTGGCTGAGTCGAGGGAGAGTTTTGAAACGTTTCTATGACTTACTTCCGCAGATTACAGCTTTTCTGCTTTAAAAAAACAAAGAAGTACCAGAACTCAATGATGCAGAATGGAAATGGCGCCTTGCCTTTCTGACAGATGTAACAGAGCTACTCAACAGTTTCAATGTGCAACTTCAAGGAAAGGGGAAGCTCATCTGTGATATGCAATCACATGTCAAAGCATTTGAAGTAATATTAGGCCTCCTCATCAAACAAGTGAAGGAGGAAAACTTCTGCCATCTCCCCACAACTCAAAATCTGTTAGCGGAAAAACCATTGGTTGCATTCCCAAACAAAACGTGTGGATTCACTGGAAAAATTGCAAAAGGAGTTCCAATTTGGATTTAAAGAGCTTCATCTCCATGAACAGGACATACAGCTTTTCCGTAACCCATTTTCTATTGACATTGAAAATGTGGATACAATTTACCAAATGGAACTGGCTGAACTGCAGAATTGTGACTCTCTGAAAGACGCATTCAAGTCAAGCAGCCTTCATAATTTCTATGCATCTCTCCCCTCTGAGACATATCCTCATCTCAGGAACCATGCACTCAAAATGGCAACCATCTTTGGCAGCACTTATGTCTGTGAACAGACTTTTTCCAGAATGAAACATTTGAAATCTCCAACCAGATCTAGACTAATAGATGCACACTTGCATCACTTGTTACGACTAGCAGTGATAAATATGGAACCGGACATTGACCATCTCATTAGCCAAAAGCAGGCCCATAGTTCCCATTGAAATACTGGCAAGTTTGTTGATTTAACTTTACTTGTTCTTCATTTTAAATATTGTATTTATTCCCGTTTTGTTTCTTCACTTCAAAATAAGATATATGCAGTGTGCATAGGAATTTGTTCATAGTTTTTTTTAAACTATAGTCCGGCCCTCCAACGGTCTGAGGGACAGTGAACTGGCCCCCTGTTTAAAAAGTTTGAGGACCCCTGGTATAGTGTATTATTATGCTACCACATCGTATACTACCTCCCTTGGCCAACCTGCATTCATCAGTGTAGTGAACTAGGCAAATAACCCCCATGACCAGCACGACGTCAGGAGGCCCTCATCCAGAAGTGGATTGACAAAAGGTATGTACTGCATGTAGATACACATACTTGTATTCTCATCAGGGCTGTCCTCTCCTCCCCCTTAACTTGTATTTAAGAGCAGAGGCGGCTTGATTCCCTGCCTCACTTGATGCAGCAAATCTGGCTTTGACGGTCCCACCTGATGACGAAGACTTGTGTTGCCTCCGAAACGTCGTCATTTATTATTTTATTTTTTATTAATTTAAATTTCATTTTTTACCTACGTGACTTTACCGAAAGAACTAAGAGTATACTGTCCTGCACTGATGATTTATAACGAGGGTGATACTTGTTAGCATAGTTATCGCATGCGTAGTTCAGCAGGGTTAGGGGTTGCCACTCTCGGTGACGGTCGCTGTGCATTACAGGTGAAGAAGAAGCGAGGCCTGTTCGTGCCCATGACGACCTACGCCTTTTGCATCTCCTGCGGGCACTACTGGAAGGTAAATCTATCTCAAATTCTTATTCTACCGCCCTTATGCGAGTGTGTGCAGCAGTCATTACAGTATTGAGTGCTAAAGTGTCACCGGTGCATAAATAAAATGTATTCGTCAGATGTTTTCTCTACTTGCAACAGCTCTAGTCCCAAATCCACGCCAATTGTTCCTGCAATGATAACCCTAACATTCTCAATAAACCACGGTCCGGGTATAGTCTACCCGCGAAAGGCCAAAACTAACCCCCGCGATAGCTAAATTGGTGGACAAAGAGGTTGCCCGTGATATGTCTAGGTCGCGAAAGATAAACCCACGGTATTCAAGGGTTTCCTGCAACTCTGAATACAGTCCTGACATGAACCCCAAATACAAGACAATGTCTGGGTCAATTTAGGAACTACGCATCTGGCTGTGTCTCCACGGCGCATGTGTTTTAACCCCGCAGTTGCCCGTGAGCACAAATAGAGACGGAAACCCCTACACTGCTTTAATATCTCGTTGTACAATGCAAGCCGTTAGCTGGTGTCGCTGTTGGCGGTTTCAGCAGTTTGATTCCCACAACACCTTCTCAGCGGGTTGCGCAGAAAGTGACCAGAGTACACCAAATGCTGTAAAATGGACATTAAACACAATGTGACATTTGTTAGAGCAAAGTTGTCTTATGCTGGTATGCATGTATGTGTATGTTGATCTTCTTTCACATCATACGTAGCCAACCACGCTAATCGGAGGTGCTGGTGTTGTGGCCTGAAGTATAAAACTTAAACTAAATAAACTTAACTTGTTCTTCCATAATCATCTTCAACAAGGACCAATCCTCTGCTGGATCAAATCCTTCCCAAGCTGTTGCGATATCTTCTCACAGTCCTGTGATGTAACAATCCACGTGGCACGTGCACACGAGCTGATTTCATCACATCATCTCCGCCTTGAACGTTCTCGTTTGCACGTTTCCTCTGCGTGGCCGTGACTCCATTGGGATTCTTTACCATCAGCCATCATCCTTCTAGTGACGTGTTCATCCAAAGTCCTTTTTAAATCTTTTATATTAAGTTCGCTTGCTTGCTTGCGTGCTTGCGTGCTTGCTTGCTTGCTTACGACCGTGCAAATCTTTCGGTTGTTTTTTAACCCACTTCCTGTGATCCAATCGAGCTGACGTTTTGCACACAGACTCGTTGTGCGAGGCAATTAATGTTCGTGAAAATGTTTTTCCAAAATTTTACACTGTTTAGGGAAAACAAATTAAATATTTAATTACCAATTGTTTAATACTGCAGACAATCATCTGACCCATAGGTGGCAGCCATCTCAAGCCAGAGGACGAGAGGACTCTAGCCGCCACGCATATAAAGGATTTAGAGTTAAAAACTTTGTTTTTACGGGTTATACTTATTAAATCCTTTATATTAAGTTCACTTGCTTGCTTGCTTACGACCGTGCAAATCTTTCGGTCGTTTTTTAACCCACTTCCCGTGATGATCCAATCGAGCTGACGTTTTGCACACAGACTCGTTGTGCGTGACAATTAATGTTCGTGACATTTTTTTCCCAAAATTTTACACTTTTTAGGACAAAAATATTATATTTAATTACCAATTGCTTAATGCTGCCATGCAATCATCTGACCCATAGGTGGCAGCCATCTCAAGCCAGAGGACGAGAGGACTCTAGCCGCCACGCATATTAAGGATTTATAGTGAAAAACTTAGTTTTTACGGGTTATACTTGTTCTTGTTTGTCTCAACCCTGTGTGTTGTCTAATCCACGTGCTACTCTTCTTGTTGCTCAATGTAATTCAAAGCGTGGCAATGAGATCCAAGATCTCCTTTGCAAAGGGTTGGTTTAGAAAGAAGATTACATTTTAAGGAGGTATGCAGTCAACAATGCTTGACTCAGGGAGGAGGACACCCCTGCCATGCATAGTCCCATGGGATGTTGGCTATCAACAACAAGGCAACTCCTATGACTAATTGGGAATGGGACGCAAGCGTAGGATTGATCACCCTGTCGCTGGCCGCCTTTGGGGAGGGTGTATAGTATGAAAGGCCGAAACACCCTAGGAACCAAAGGTTCACTACTGACGATGCGCTCCCCAAATTTCACCAGGCTCACTGTTCATGAACTCTTGGAAGTGCTTGCACAAAGGATAGTAACATCTCATCCTGTGTTCTTTGGAATCTGAATTTGCTCAATGTAATTCAAGGCGTGGCCATGAGATCCAAGATCTCCTTTGCAAAGGGTTGGTTTAGAAAGAAGATTACATTTTAAGGAACACCAGACATGCAACTTCATCAGTAATTTGTATAGAGATTTCGACACCAATGAGAGTGAAATCAAATAGCGCTGTTTAATTCGCAGTGAAATAGAACAAATGTTGCCAACTTGATCGAGCCATAACAGTACGCTTTACATATTAAGAGGGGGGGAAAAAACCCCGAAATAAAAGCAGTGCTTCACACTCATACAGTTGAGAAATCGAGTCGGATCCATCTACAGTTATCCGTTGTTGTTCTTTGTGTAGAAAATGAGTAAATATGTTTCTTTGTTAAAAAGTGATGAACCAGCACAAAGCAGCCTTTTGACAGGAAGTTCTAGAGCAAGGTTACGCATGAATCGAGAAAATGAAAAGCCTCTCTCGAGACCCACCTGCTGTTTCTGGTGCTGGAGAAAGAGCTTTGTAAAATATTTCTGTGTGTGTGCATGTGTAGCAAGTGGTGGTGTAGTGATTCAATGTTGCACTATGGTCCCACCCACCCGGATTGAATTCCTCATCCTGCACATCACCAGTCGCAGTCGTTATGTGAACAAGGTCTGGGTCTCCCCAGCCTGACCTAAAATGAGCACCAAGGGTGCAGTGATGGGATGCAGCATTTTCAGTACTGGATGTGGCGGTAAAAATGTGACTACGCATTCAGCACCGAGTGAAATGTGCGCTGTGTGATTGTGTGCATGTGTTTTATATGACACAAGCATTCATGTATTAATATGACATGCAGTTATATGCACACTTAGCCCTTATAAAGTCTGCATCAACACAGTTTTTTTTTAAACATTGGCGAAATGGAACGATAGAAAATACTCACTGGGAAATAATACTTTTATGTTACATTGTCTTCCTGATCAGGAACAATTACGATCATCAGTCACACGTCAGGATCGGTGGACTGAAAAAATCCAGGTGCAATGGGATTTCTTGTTGGGAAATTGGTGGAAATAGCACCAATTCCCAGGGGTGGTGGCCCGCTGTGTGTGTTTTCGTGCCACGCTAATATAAATTAGCATTGGATTCAGCAGCATCGTGCACACACCAAACACTCAGCATTTAATTTTGTTGTTGCACATCATTTTTTTAAAATCTTTGTATTAAGTTGAATTTGATTTTCCAAAGTCAGCCATCCAGTTCGGTACATTTAATGTTGAGCCAAATTTGGGAAACCAAATGTCATGCCATTTTGTGCAGAGAACCTGGTTTTATCTTAGCTGGCTTACAATCATTCAGACCCATTATCTCAAGAACGTCGGCTCAGCACTTTGACATTGGGATTATATTCCTCCAGATCAAGATGTCATCTTGGCCAAAGCCATTGATACCACCACACCTCTCGTCAACGCTTTCTACCCTCTTACCAGATCCCACAGCTGCTGTGCAGCAGACACACGATCTGACCTTAAAGATGGACGTTTTTCAACCTTTCCAATTAGCTCATTGTTATGGGGGACTTGCGATTACGGTATACCATGCATAACAATGCTGTTTGTTGTTAAGTTACCTGGATGGCTGTAGTGGGAATCAACAATATTATGCATGTTAAGTTACTGAGTGTCAGGATAATTGCCCCTCCCCCCCTCGACACAGCCACGTGTGCTTTAGGTCCCATTTTTCATTAACTATAAAGTGACCTAAATTGTACAACTTTTCATATGTGTGTGTGTATATATATATATATATCAGGCGACATGTCTATCACATGTTAGTCGTATAGTCCATGTTGCAAATTCCATTGTACATAACCTCATATTTGAGCTGCCATTAATAGGCTGTTGAATTTAACTTCAGAACATTATCCGATTATAGTAAAGTATGGTTCGGAAAAAGTTCCTCGGAACAACATCTTCAGCGACACATTTCCGACAGAACTTTCATCTCAGTAGGGGGCCTCGGGCTCATAGAGCATCAGCCAATTCCACTGAATTGGAATCCGACACATTCTAAGACAGCACACATTAAACACAATCAACACTAATAGATGCACTTTCGACTACGACTGAGCTCTAGTCGATCACACAAAAGTTTAGAGAACGAGATATAAACACGGATGGACTCAAGCTTATTACTTTATTATTCATTATGGGCACCCTTAACGTCAATACTATATAGATATTTGATTATTACACAAAGGTAGGGCATTTTAAATGAGCTTAACGTTCGAGTAAGTTTGTATAAAATGTGTTCGGTATCTCGTTCTCAAAAAATGAGACCGCTAGGCGCTCATTGTAGAGACTGTGCATGTACATACTGGAGATATATCCAAGTAGAGTACATTTTTTTGTACAGCTGTATTTAAAAAAAAACGCAGATATTACAGCATGGAAAATATCTTTCCAAAAAAATGTAGTTCGTAGCTCACTGAGTAACTTAAGTGAAAACGTATGTAAAGTAACTGACACCTATCTCAATGATTCAAGCACCAGCCAAAGAATGATTGCAGAGAGCATTTTGCTTGTTGCCGATTGGCTAGATGAATAACCTGGACCCACAATGCACCGCTCGTTACAGTGTTGTACGGTCTTGGGTCAAAGACAAGGATAGACACATGCATTGATCTCTCTTTGCCCCGCACAGCACATTTGGCATCACTGTTGACTTTGCCGATCTAGTGCTTCAGGTATTAGATAAAACAAATGTACAAAATCATTGCGGTGGTTTTTCGTGGCCAATCTATTCAACAGCATATGACCATCTTGCAAACGAGATATAAAGGGTGATCTATTTCTCGATCATCGTCAGCCTTAATCAATCCACTTCTTGATGAAGGCCTCCCCTAGTTTCCGCCACCACCTCGTGATCCTCACGATACCCCACCAAAGTCATAGGGATACATTTATTTCAAAGCCTCGACAAGCCTCCCACCAATCTCTACACACTTAATAAACAATCCACATACACGCAGTTTTCGTTGTGACCCGACAAGAAAAAAAATCTTAGTGTGGTTATACCAGTTGACACACCGGCGTCATGCAATTGTTCAATCTCGGCCAGTCCAACATACAAACGTCTCAACCAGCCACATTCTTCACAAGACCAGGGTCATTGGCAATCAGTGGGGGGGCATCGATAAATGAATCAACCTGTACTATAGACCAGCAGAGTCAACGTGAAGAAATAAAGAAAATGTGCCCATAACAGACTATGTGGGCTCTAAATTGAGATGTTCCCTTCACCCTTGTTAAAGGTCAAGGTCTCTTGGAACGAAAACAAAGACGTTTTTTTTTCATCATCGTTTTTCTATTGCGATTCAATAAATCGAAAACATATTTTGCAGGATATCGCCGATCTCGAAAATCCGCCTCAACTATAGCCTCGGCTTTTCCCCGCGTCAAAAGACGTTCACACGTACTTGCTATCGAACTTAAAAGTTGAAACCGACCTGAAGGGCAGACTGCAACTTCATAAACCTCTCTTAACTGAACTGTTTGCTTTGTGGAAAAGCGAATACATTTCAAAATAAATGTTACAAAGTTCATCATATATTGTATATGTTTCTTTTTATGTTTTTTTTTTGCTTTCGGTGTTTCTATACACAAGCAAAACAAATGAAGATTGATTGAGATCTCCTCGACCAGACTCTGAATGACTTGTGATGTTAGTCTAACAGACTCTGACCTTGGTCTCACAGACTGAATGACTGACCTCAGAACAAATTCATGCTGACGACCACTTCAATTGAACACACGATTAGTGGTAAACACTATGTTAACAAAACTGCTAACGTTGCCATATTCGATAGAATGCACGCGACTCATACAGTATGTAATTATGTTTACAGTGTAATAAAAATAAAACTTTACAGTTAAAGTACACAATGTACTTTACACTTTTACATTAAATGTAATACTCGCCGATGGGGTTTTAATGTACCGCGTCTTGTTCAGCATGATGTTCAAATAATGCATGGCACAACCCATTTGAGAGCTACACATCGCAACCGTAAAAACCATAAGCATGAGTCAAATGTAATGCTGTTTTATAAATAGTTGAGTTCCATAACACCCCCCGACTTAGCACACAATCAGACCCAACTGAAGATTTAGACACCAAGGTGCACTACCACAGGCGGGACTGGCCACAGCGGACCGAGTTCTCTGTGGGGAGGAACAATTTCGAAAAACTACTCGCTTCTAAATCTTTTGTAGACATTTTTGTATTACTTTAGTATAAATACATGTTCATTTTTATTCATATGTTGTTTTTTTCTGACTTTATGTGAACGGAATTACACAAATTCGCCCGTTTTCTCATTGAAAATAAGTACATTTCTAAATATCACTGTCCTAGTCACAAAAGCAAAGTTTGTGGGGAATAATATCCATTATCTATACTTTTTAGGCATAAGCAATTACGAAATAACACTTACTACCCTGGAACAAAAATTGTGTTAATAGTGTTATTAGTCTTGGTATGCATGGCAATACATTCTTACGAATACGTCCCATGGGGAGGCTGATCCTTGCCATAGGAATGTAGATTTTTTTTCACTACTACTAAATGGACATTGAACAGGGAGTTATTCGTGCATATGGCAATGTCCTATTTTACCTTAACTACAGTAGATACGGTCGATATGTAGTGATTTACCAATTTTGATATTTCATTTTTTGTCAATAACTAGTTCCTTCTTGATTTAAAGCTTTCGTGACTGCAGGAATCCATGCTTTCCCACCTGATGATGGACGCTTGTGTGTTGCGCCCGAAACGTCGTGGTTTATTTTATTTTATACCTACGTGACTTTACCGAAAGAACCAAAGAGTATAACTAGTTCTTGTTAGTCTTTAATTTGTCTTGTATTCTCTCTAATCTGGTTTGACCTATTAGCTTGAAGATGGAGCTTACTTTCAGCCAGGTTTGTTTGGGTCAGTGGCCAATAGAAATGTCTTCACCCAGCACACCACATCCAGTATCCCTCTCGCTATGGCTGTGGATATTGCTCATCTGCCACCTAATCCAGTCTTCTATTAGTAACCCAGAAAATATTTGAGAAATTACGCTCTGCCTAAACGTGCTTTAATTGTAAATAATAGATTGTACGATGCATGATTCAATTAATATATTGTGACCGTTTGAATATATTTTAAGCAATGAATTGTTGCATGCTTGCCGTGTAGAATACCGTACCGTCGAAGAGTGTGGTGTAAGTAAAATAATATACATTGGTGGCATTACGCTATATGTTGCTTCATAGCATATAGGTGCAGCCCACGTCCATATATTTGGGTTTGCGTTACACCCTGCACAATGGCAGAAGGCAGACTTCACACTTTGTTCAATAGATGCTGTTCGCAATAAAATATGTCAAACCCACATCTTGGCATAAAAAAACCTCCAAATGTTCACAATGGGATATTACACGGTCATAAAATCCACGTCTCTTTTTTTTCAGTTCTTAGAAACATTCACGGCACTGGTGTGTTTTCGGGTTCAACAGCGTGTTCGCCATGATGTCCGACATTTCGTTTCAGGTGCTGGGAGCTTGTACAGGAACTGAATGAATGTTCGACGTATTGCTCCATGTGCTGGGAGTTTCTTCGTTTCTCGACATCATGTCGAACAACATGCAGTACAACCCAAAAAACACATCAGGGGGCTATACAGCACAAGCAGAAAAACTTAAGTAGCAGTAAAGTTTATACAAATATTTTGATGTTGGCACCAAACGTAATGTTTTGGCACAGTTTTCACGAGGTGAAGAAAATTAACACTTAACGTGAAGGAAAATATATATTTTATTTTGCAGCCCCAGTTAGAGATCTCAATGTAATCTCAGACTGAAAATAAGTCACAAAAGGCCACGCCAACTTGCAAATTGATGCTGCGTCAGCACTCGCTTCCCCCTTAAAGTAACATTTCGAGTGCGTGAAACCTTTGAGCTTCAGCAACTAAAGCATATCTGATCTGAAAAATAAATTAATAGCAATTAAATCTGTCCCAATTACTTATTTGCTACCCCTAGAAGGAAATGGACTTGATGTTCATAAAGTATTTACAAAAATCCTTTTCTTTTTTCTATATATATTATTTTATTGCTCGTGAAACATTAACAATTAAAAACCCCCCTGGTGTATAAATTAAAAGACCAACGCAACACACATTTCAAACTTGCGTTGTCTTTCACACGCAATTGTATGTACATATATTTACATAATTTAAAATGAAATAAATGTGCAACATTTTTTGTTTACAGTTATAACTTGGTGTATTTTTGTTTTGATGATAATTTATAGAATATTCGTGGTTGTTTTTGCCCCCCCCCCCCCCCCATCTTTTTGGCTTAATCAACTTTCATCGTGAGTTGTGGCATGCCGATCGTGCTATGCTAATGGAGGCACGGGGATAAGAGACGTCCATTGTGGTGATTCTCACAGGCGGCAGAGCCTTAGATCCTTGCGTTCGGGAACTGCCCCAGGAGAATCGCCATCTCACTGTGTATCTTGTCTAGCACTTTGAAACTGGCTTCTCTAGGAGAGGGGTTGGTTGGTCTACAGGCTGGCGGGCCTAGCGTAACCTTATTAATGGTTACAGTAAATAAAATAGAGTGTTCTTTCAGTCAGCTCAACTCTACCGCGCAAAAGAAGCAACACAACGTAAAAGTTAGACTTCTCAGGCGCAGAATTGTTTTTCACGTAGTTAGTAAACATCAAGTAAATTGCATGCAACATATTGGCACCGTTCAATTTAAGTATACTTAAGTGTTCACCCCATCCCCAGCCCTCACGTTCACAATCTCTGGCCAGATTACATAATGCAAATCTGGCCCTTATGGAAATAAACTTGGAAAGGCTTACTACTGAGATTTCCCATGCATTCAGCCAAAACCAATCAATAAATAAAGCATGCTGTCCACCTCGCCCATGGTGAAACCCTCACCTAGGCCTTGGAATTAAATAAATTGATTCATTGAAAGGTTTGTTAAGGCATTTGCTCACCGAAAATGCCTTTTACCGGTCACTTATGCACCATGAAATGTCTCGCCCTCAGGCCTAAATCGATAGGAATTAAACAAAAAATTACTCAACTTCACATTACGAAGGCCTCGCTGACCTGGACTTGCACAGCAGCAGTGCTGCAGCCTAAACATTGCTGAAGACACCGTTTAGACTGTAGAGAGAGAACACAGCTTTTCTGGTGAGAAAGGCAGGGAAGAAATGTCGCCCTTGACTTCCTTCAGCACTGTCACCGCAGCTCACAGGAAAACTAAAATATCTGTACAAGTGAAGATAATATTTTTTTTATCACATTTTCATTGCCGTTTTTCTGCCGTAAGATTCAGCACGGCCACACTTTCAGCATTTTAGCAAGGCTGGTGAAAACTACAGGGTGCTTGGCACATTTCAAGCCCTGTGGTATTGTGGAGATTATTTCTCTCTCCAGATTGCTTCAATGTATTTATCCTCAGTGTGTTTAATAATATAATATATGTGTGCATTGTACTGGCGTGCACATGCATATTTTATTTTCCAAGTTGGTAGAGATGTTCGTCAACTGGAGAAGGTGATTATGGGAAACTCAGAGGCTGCATCTGCTCTCCGACTCATCAAACTGAAGATACAAAGTCTAAAAAAGTCCATTTTAAAAACCACTAAAAGCCAAAAAGGCAATGATGCCCATATTTTATGCGTTTGTGTAAATGTCATTTTTACTCCGCGTCCCTAAATCATTACCTCTCTTAAGCTGCCTCTGAGCCGGCACTACCTTTCAAAACACTATGAGCATCATGGAGTTGCATGCACATCCGTGAGCAGCAAGCAAGCAGCTAGGTTCGGCTTGTACTGCTCATCACATAAAGGCTATGAAACAACTTACTGAGCCACCCATCAAGCGTCTCACTGTTCAGCACCGTGGAAAAGATCGCTCGAACTCAACCTCCTGAAGCAACAAATGAAAGTGAGGAAATTCCTCGAGCAAGTCTTCTTTCTTTAAAGCTACTCCGATGTCAGAGAAGAGAAGGAGACACTCATTAATCATAGCAACCCACCGCCCCGCCACCGTACAACTTGGCCCAAAAAAAAAAGATGCAAGCCGCATTTACTGTGCTCAAGAGTGGTCTAATGGTCGGTTAGATGATGGGCTGTGGAATGTTCCCTGCTTATCGTTAAAAACAGTGAAGGTAAACACACACACACACACCCTCCTGCCCGGCTTCAAGGCCCGTTCAGGTTAAGCCCTTGTATTTCTTTTTACGCAAAGTTCTCCCTGCTCAGCCTAAAGATTTGCCGAGCATACAGAACTCTTTAAGGATCTCACATTTTCTCGAGAAGGGGAGGTCCCACAGGCCTCTTTGTTAACAACTAGGTGTCCCCTTGTTATATCTTTGGACCCCGCGACTGGCCCACACTAAAGTTCATCCTGAGAACGCGTCATTCACCCCAAATCAAACAGGCTCCAGCATTGAGGAGGGAGCATTGTTATGACTCCCCACACGCCCATCTGCCCACACATCTTTTTACAAACGCAGCTCACGTCTGCGCACCTACCCCACGTCCCGCGGCCAAAATATCGCTCTCCCATCACCCGCCGTCGCCGGCCTACTACGGCTCCGACAAGGAGGAGCCGGCGGTCGAGGAGGCCCTGGTGGAGTTGAGGAGGGACTTGTAGAGCACCGAGTTGATAAAGCGCGGGTAGGAGTCCCGGTGCATGAGCGTGTAGATTTGCAGCTGCGCGTCGTCGAAGGTGTGCGGTGTGGGCTCCAGCATGTTTCTGTTGATGACCTCTCGCACCCGCGAGTCCAGGCTCACCTGCGCGGCACGGCCCCCCAATGCCATACGGTCTCATGGACGTCCGCCACGAATGTTTATGGGTCAATGGGGGGAGGGCGAAGACGCAGCCTTTGTTACATGGATGGAATGGCGTGTTAAGCATGGGGATGCTGATGGGTTTCATGATGGCTCTTGTACGCGAAGACGTTAATGGGTTAGTGCGTTTGATAGTTGCATTTGTTAGGTAAATAGAATGATTGAGATATTACATATGGAGCTGTTAATGGGTTGATAATTGTAATGATAATTTCTATTTAGCACAAGATACAAGAAGAAGTTGAAATTAGGCACACAATATAATGCCTCCGAAACGTCGTGATTTTTATATTTATTTTTTATTTTACTTTTATTAATTTAAATTTTTTACCTACGTGACTTTACCGAAAAAACCTAAGAATATGAATCCTTGCAGTCACGAAAGCTTCAAATCTAGAAATAATGTAGATGTTTTTCCGAAAAAAAGTTCAGATGTTGAAGCATTGACATTAAAGATGATGGCCTCCATCAATCAAGCAGTGTAAGATATGTTCAACGCAGACGACGAAGAAAAGTTGTTACTTTGCTGATGACGCTTGGAACAAGAGTATGGTCATGAATTTATGATCGTTGTTGCCACTTTCTTTGGACAAACTATGTACAGTAGATGTGTTCATTACAAGGTATGGAATGTGGAGGTGTTGAATAATTGATTATGCAGGCATCCAGTAGGCATGTCGTGGAGATTGCTTTAACGATTAAAAAACAGTGGAGATGCTCTAGGATGGGGATGTTTATTCAGCAAAATATGGAGAAGTATCATTTTAACAGAGATATTGGAACAATTACTGGTCAAGATTTTGACCTCCATTAGACCTGATGCTGCCGTTTATTAGACACACAAAGGAGGTGTTTCGCCGAAATATGTTGGAACATGAAGTTGTTGATGAGGTTACCGACTTTAATTCGCCAGAAGTTGAAGCTGTATTAATCGCAGGCAGCATGGTGCAAACCTCAGACAGGGCAGTGATGAGTGTTCAAGGAATGATGAGCATAATTGCAGCCAGGGGCGGTTTCTTCATTAGGGCGATTGGGCGACGCACCACCAATGTCATTCAACCACAGAGTCACGCTAGCCGTCACTGTCAGCCTCTGGATATAGTCCAATCAGCGTCATGTCACGTTCTGTGGAGTACCGCCTCTTTTGGGGCGATTTCACTACGGCTGAGAATTGCCCCGAGTGGCCCCATAGACTTACATTCAAAGATGTTTTTTTTCGAACGGGGGCGCTCCAATGCATTCTCTATGGCTTCCGGGAGGGCAAGCCCTAACGTGCTTACGTCATCATACGTGCTTACGTCATCATACGTGCTAACGTCATCATACGTAAGCACGTTTCATCCAACAATATAATTTATCGCTACCTAGTGGAATCTTTAATAAAATAAACTTGAGTGGTTTGTTTTAATAGTGAGTATATAAACAAACAAGATGTATTGTAAGAGTCACTTTATTTTTCATTAATATTAAATAAGTGAAGTTGCCTTTACATGCTTAAGCTGTTAATTTATTCATTGCATGGGTGGACCTTATCCTTATCAATCATCCAGACATTTGCCCCCCCTGAGAGATTTTGCAGGAGCCGCCACTGATTGCAGCCACTGTCAAACAACAGTATGCAGCGTGTTCCCTGGCTGAATGCTGTTGGACTAGGGACTAACATATTGTTGAACTATTTGATCAATCATCATTAGCCATGATCAGTCCACTGCTTGATGAAGCCGTCACCATATCTCGCAATCCTGCAATGTATTAATCCACCTAACCCTACACACAAGCTGGTTCCATCACTCCCTTTCCTCATCTCCAAGGCTTTCTGTCCTGCCCAAACCACTTTCTTTTCTTAAAAGTTTGAATGCTCCCATCTACATCTTGCTGTCTCAGTGTAATTCCAAATGTGCAACATCTCCAAGCTTTGTCGCACATATTTCTTCAGCGGGTGCATGGTAATGGAATGGATAGATGGACACAGATGAATGCAGAAGGCATGGACTCTGACCTCCTTGGGGGACAGGATGGAGATGTAGTCTTCGTAGATGTTCCTGGCGCGTTCCTCGATGGCAGCGGGATCGCTTTCGTGTGTCAGCTCCTCGCACGACAGCCAGAAGAGCAGGTTCTCCTCGCTGAATTCGGAGCGCAGGAACTCGCGGAAGACTCGCCGTCCAGCCGCCGAGCGCATGAGCCGGTCGAACGAGCGGCCCCAGGCACGCACCTCCTCGGGAGACGGAGCACTGTTGACAAATCAAATCATCAGTATATTTGCTATCTGTGCCATTCTTATAGCACCCAAGGCTGTCACTAAGCATTGTCCCGCGGTAGTTAATGCTTGTGTAATAAAAGACTTCGTCACACACTGCTGGTCTCCGTTGCTCTTTATTCAACTTCTTCCTCGCACCCTGCTGGTCCCGACAGCGGACCAGCGTCTCCTCGCGCGCGCCCCGCACGCGCTTCCTCGTCAGTCCTTCCGCTTCTCCACTCTGCACACCGCTGGCCGACGGTGTGCCGAAGCCCCTTCAGCCACGTGGCTGAAGGCGCGGATTCCCTCCGGCCACCCAACGTGGTCCAGCTTCGTGACTCTCCCAACTGACCCGGAGCCCTTCCGGGCTCCCATCTATATCCCCTTCACCACGTGATCCTGTCTCCTCCCCTTCCGGACCTTCAGATCCGGCCTTCCCATAGGGCCCTGCTGGCTCCACCCCCATTCACCTCACTTCCGATTGGACCCGAGGTGAACGGCGGGCCCTCCCATATGCCCCCATACTGGGCTCCGCCCCCCAATACCCCGGGCCGTATGATTGGCCCAGAGCCCACCAGCGAACCCCGTTTACGCTCGCATTACACTTGTATGTGGCTTTACCCAATTAAGTAACTTGCAAATTTGGACCGTGATGCTGGCACACATGGCCTATTATTTTTTTGGATAAGTTCATGGGATCTACAGGCGGTCCTTGGAACTGCGTCAGGTTTACTTTCCTAAAAAAAGGTGCCGTAACTCGAAACAGCGTAAGTCGAGACAGATTTTCCTAGAGAAACAATTCTACAATCGGGGGTTACGTTCCTGACCAAGAGTCTGATATACAACTTTTATTGATACGAATACAAATAGCATATTTAATCAATCATATATAAAGTACAATAATAGTGTTTATGACGGTTTTTAACTTCATTCTTCATAATTCCTGGATTATTTGGATTGAATACAGAAATCGCCTTTCAATTAAATTTGCTTTTCAACACCATCACTAGAGCACGAAGCGTTCCTTTTATCAGCCGTTTTAAAAGATGAAATCAATAAAAATGCTAAATAATCATGAAGAATTCACAGAGAGTTTTAGCACTGGAGCGAGTCGATGAGCCGACGGACTGAGCGACAAACTGCGCAGAACCGGTGCCTGAGTCAGCGTCGTGCGTAAATGTGAGTCTGACCACCGTGGGTAATAAACGCTGGTGTGGCAATTGGCAACCTGCCGTAAGTGCAGATTGACATAAGTCAAACCGACTTAAGTCGATGATCGCCTGCACTGTGAAGTAGATGGTGCACACTTTTGGTTAATACACCCACAGTATTAGCCAGGGCAACCGCTTGGCTTGAACGGCAAACCTGCGAAACAAATGGTAAATGTGCTACTATTTATATCATCGCCTTGTCGAGTGAAAATAAGTATGAAAAAATATGCATATTCACAGGTTATGTAATGCTTTCCAAAATGCTAATTTCCTCGAGAGTATTTAATTAACACTACAGAAGCCAACCAGTATCCGTCAGGGCAAAATGTGTTTCTCTATTTGCCAATAGTCGTTCTTGCTGCGGTTTGTGACTCCAAATTTTAGAAAACTCTTTCAACACTGACCAGTTTTCGGTAAGGAAAGTGAGAAATGTTGTCATATGGGATCATCTTTGCGGGTTATTTTGTACCCCCTGCCCCATGTAGTATAACTGTACCAGGAGTGGATAGGATTGGTGTTAGGTTTAGAGTTAGGCTTGACCGTACAATATAGCCTGATCTATCCATATACCCCGCAGCTCATGGTCAAACGAACCCAACAGCAACTGGGGCCGTGATTGTCTGTCTGCATACGTTGTGTTGCGTAGCGAGTACAGCCCCCGCGGCTCCCACCTCTCGCCAGGGCTGGGGATGCTCTCCAGTTTTGTGTCCCGCGATGTACGCCGCCCCACATCCTCTTCCTCTCGGTTCCGGATGGCAAGGCTGCATGGTGCACGCATACACACACACGTGTAGATGTGGGGCCGTACGGCGAGGACATGCACGAGTGCGTATATTTGATGGTGAAATGGGTGTTAATGGTGAAGCGGTGATGGCCATGGTGGTGGTGGTTGTGGCAAAGCGGTTGATAGCAGTGAAGTGCATGATGATGGTAAGGTGGCTGATGATGGTAAAGCAGATGTGATGGTGAAGTTGATAGCGAGGAAGGGGAACGGTACATGGAACTAATGAATGCTCCAGAAAATGATTGAAAGTCATTCAACAGAATGCAGGACGTAACTGAGTTAAAACAATAGGAACGGAATGTTAGAAACTTCATCTCTTTTTTGTTTGATAATTCATTCCAATTTAATTAATAAAATGTGTGTTCTTCGAAATGTTTTTGTTTATTCATCCACTCCACTCTGTGCAAGGTGTCAGTTTATTTTTTTATCAGGCAATTTGTTTATCATGCCCAGTTTAATGTATCGTGTATGTACATATTCTGGACCCCTGCTTGTAGTCAGTGATGTTCACTGATGGATTGTTAAGGAGCATTCCAATAATTCAAGCGGGATTTCAACGAACACTCCAGATAAGATCCTGAGGATATCATAATGGAACATCAGCACTGTTTGGAACGAGCAGCACAGACCGGAACGTTTTTTTGTTAATCGTTCCCCATCTCTGGTTGGTAGCGATGATGGTGGCGATGCGAATAGACACGAATTCCAGGACGACGGCATGGACTATGGAAGATGAAGTGGATGATGGCGATGGCAGTGATGGTACCATGAGCAGCTGCAGCAGCAGCACCAGCAGAAGCAGCAGGTGTTAGTGGCTCCTTGTTGGGGGGCTCCTCGATGGACGGTCCTGCTGCCACGGGTGGTTGCGCGTGTGTCCGGTGACCCCTCTCTGGTGCCGGTGGTAGTTGTGGCGGTGGTGGTGGTGGTGGTGGCGGTAGCGGTGGTGGTGGTGGTGGATGTGGCGGCAGTGAGCCCTCCAACGGAGGATTGCCTCTTGCGCATGTCCAGCCCTCTCGCGTCTCTTCTGCTGGTTCAAGATAACAGCAGCATCATCATCGTTAGCATTGTCACGTGACACGCTAAGGCGTAAGACCTTTAGGTCACATGGCCACATTGGGAAACTCCAAGAGTAGAGCGTTTTACACGTCACCAGGCGGTGGTTTAGTAGTGCGTGCTTGAGACCGGATATACACTAGGTAGAGAGACGGTTTTCGTTACCGAAGGATAGTGCTTGTTGCTCCCGAAGTTGTTTGATAAAGACCTAAATTGCTTAATAAAGCCTACTTTTTACGAGACATTCTGAGTGTAATCGCCTTAAACTATTTCATTATAATTAACGTGCTGAGGAAGAAAGTAAAATAGACAAACGCGCTGAAAATCAGAACCTCATTGGAGGAGGTACAACCAGTACACAGACAGCTCCTGATCAATCCACTTTTGGATAAGGGCCTCGCCACGCAGGTCGCGAGTATTATTTGATCATTCTTCGTGCCGGTGAGCGCAGGCGGGTGAGGGTGGGGAGAACAGTCCAGTCGTGTCCAATAAATCGTGTTGCTCTGCAGACCGCAACAGCAACGACAGCGCAGCAGCCTATAACACCTGTGCTGTGCATGGTGGTGGCTGCTCCACGAATTATCCAGTCAAACGTGCCTCGTTTCCGAGGTCTCACGAGATCAAGTGCACTCTAGTTGATTTCGTCAGAGGCAAACTAGATTACTGCAGCACAAACTGATTTGACTAAGTCGTTGATGTAAAGGCATTTGCAACCGGTCATTTGGCAAAAGAGTAACCAAGCACCATGGAACCCCCTTCAGGGAGATAGCTTAAATGGTAAACGCCGAGTAAACGTGGAACGTTGGACCAACTTTGCGTCAACATTCGTCCAACGGTTCGAACCATATGCCAGTGTTTGCTCAACGTGGCAAAGTTTACTGGGCTTCATGGTTATAACAGTTGTCTTCAACTGATTTATATTATAATCTTGGACGGAGGGCTGTGTGCCTACTTGTAGTTCCACCACGGCACAACTTTGTTGGAACTTTCAGCACCCATATTTTTGGTTCGTTCGGTGAAGTCACGTAGATAGAAAAAATAATAACACATCACAACACAAGCAATCGTCTTCCTCCTGAAGACGATCGCTTGTGTTGTGATCGAAACGTCGCAGTTTTAATTTTATTTACTTTTTTTTCCCATCTACGTGACTTTACCGAAAGAACCAAAGAATATGAATTCCTGCAGTCACGAAAGTTTTAAGTCAAAATTTCAGCACCCAGTGTGTGAACAGCTCCCCACACACACGCCCCACACAACACGTGCGTCAGAAGCCTTTCATATATAGTAGGTCCTGTATTGAGAGAGTGTGCAGCCGGAATGGGCTGTAGGGTTCATTTGGCAAAGAAGCAGGGTTATCTCAAGTCGTGGAAACATGAGCTCAATTCCCACTAGGGTCAACCTAGTTCTCTCATTATCATCACTAGCAGCAGCATAATTGTTCTTCTGTGACAGACAAAATTATCACCGCCGGAGAAGGGTGCACATATTAATACAAGAATGGTTGTTTCCGTTTGTATCGAACTATCCTGGCCATAGGAACTTGGTATGTTTGGTCTGTACCTAAAAGCTCAACGACGGAGCACTGGCCAACACGCATTGGGAGATGGATGTATGAGACTCGATATTTTCGCACAATGTATCAGTTTATGCTCTCCTGCAAGTGCAATGTCCACCGTGTTGAATACATAAGGACACAGTGAGGTTAGCCTTTCATGCATTCAATGTATAACATATATACATCAAAATGTTAACATAGTACACGCACAGTTACGTTTATTTTTTTTTTGTATAAAAATAATGTAACATGTTAAGTCCATTATATGTGCACGCAAATGAAGACCTTAATATATTAGGTCAGTTCACATTTAACACCAGCATATAGTGTGTAGGATAGGCAAAGCCTGTGATAGGCCTTGCTATACAGTGCACAGGCACTCCTATTCCTGTAATAAAGCACAATAAAAGGCAATACTAAACTATTTCATTAAATTGATGCACCAATGAAAACAGTAATTTTCAATATTACATACTGAACTGTAATAATATACCGTGTTATACCAGTGTATTTTGTAATAAGCACTGCTGACACTTATAATTACTGCATTGAATAACATGAGAGATATAAAATAGAAAACATGTTTTTAATTAAAATTGTGAATAGAGTTTCAATAAATGTATTAGAAATGGTAATATTCAGAACTACGACATTGAAATTGTTATAATGAATCTAAGGAAAATATTATTGATAGGATACTATTGCATTAATGACACTCGATTTTAATCAAGATGCATTCACGCTCGCATTTAATTTTACCGTGAGATATACGACACGGAGGTATACATTCTAGTTAAGATGCTAGCTGCTAATGTTGGTCATGATTACGACGTTACACTATTCTTCTTTGTGCTGATGATGACGACGACGACGATGCTGGTCCATTATGTTAGCGACGATGGCCGGGTCACTGCTATTTACTAAAGATACTGCTAGTAAATAATCCCAGATTAATAATACTAGCGATGGAGATGTATGGTGTAAAGCAAGCGGTGATGGAAAATTATGGTAGTGTTGGAGACGGTAGATGTGAATTCAACCGAGTATCGATGCTTGTGCTCGATTCGCGTATGTTATGCTAGTTGACAGGTGCTGCGTGTGTAATGCTAGGACTGTATTAATGCTAGTTTGAATGCTAATGATGGATGCTCTGTGTGGGACACTGCCACTGCTATATCGTAGTAGTAATGCTGAATTCAATACGAATCCTGCGCATGTGCTAATGAAGGGTGCTGTGTTTGCGATGCCATTAACGCGTTCGCGCTGACGGTGAATTCTGCGCGTGAAATGCGCGTGCGGCATCAATGCGAGCATTGCATAGGCGCGAGTATTAATAATCCTAGCCCCGTAGCTAATGCTATCGATGGACACGCTCTTATATTCTAAGGGTGTCCTTCGTGTCAGCGGTGGACAGCTGTGCGATGATTGTTCCAAAGCCGGCATTGTCTCGATGATAACGTTGTGTGAATTGCCGGTATTCCACCGAGCCATTGGCGTTGCATTAATGCGAGTGCGGTATCAAGGGCTAGCGTCGATTGCTGCTGGCGTTATATAAACACAAAAATGCTCGAGTCGGATTAACGCTGGCGCCGCCGCTTGCGCTGATGAGAGTGAGTGGCAATGGACTCGGTGCGCGATGCCACAACCCCCCCCCCCCCGGCCTCGTCCCGTCTCGCTCTCACCTCTATGCGCTACTGCTGCTGTTGCTGCTGCTCGTCTCTGCTCCACCTCGGCGCATCCCTCCTCCTCCTCCACTTGCAGCAGCAGCAGTAGCAGCGACAGCGACGACGACGATGATGATGATGATCAGCAGCAGCAGCAGCGGCTCACGATACCCTCTCCAGCGGCACCGCGGAGAATGATGCACTCTGACCGCGCGTGTGTGAATCTGTGATGTGTGTGTGTGTGAATCTGTGATGTGTGTGTGTGTGAATCTGCGTGACTGTGTGTGTGTGGTGTGTGTGCTTGCTCTGGCCGCTATGTCTATCCCGTCAGTGCGAATGTGTGCGCGCATGAGAGTGTCAAGCTGTGTGAGAGTGACTGTGTGACTGTGTGTGTGCTGTCAGCTATATCTATGCAGTGTGTGTGAATCTGTGTGACTGTGTGTGTGTGTGCTGTCAGCTAAATCTATGCAGTGTGTGTGAATCTGTGTGACTGTGTGTGTGTGCTGTCAGCTATATCTATGCAGTGTGTGTGAATCTGTGTGACTGTGTGTGTGTGTGCTGTCAGCTAAATCTATGCAGTGTGTGTGAATCTGTGTGACTGTGTGTGTGTGCTGTCAGCTATATCTATGCAGTGTGTGTGAATCTGTGTGACTGTGTGTGTGTGTGTGCTGTCAGCTAAATCTATGCAGTGTGTGTGAATCTGTGTGACTGTGTATGTGTGTGTGCTGTCAGCGAAACCTATGCAGTGTGTGTGAATCTGTGTGACTGTGTGTGTGTGTGCTGTCAGCTAAATCTATGCAGTGTGTGTGAATCTGTGTGACTGTGTGTGTGCTGTCAGCTATATCTATGCAGTGTGTGTGAATCTGTGTGACTGTGTGTGTGTTAGCTGTCAGCTAAATCTATGCAGTGTGTGTGAATCTGTGTGACTGTGTGTGTGTGCTGTCAGCTATATCTATGCAGTGTGTGTGAATCTGTGTGACTGTGTGTGTGTGTGCTGTCAGCTATATCTATGCAGTGTGTGTGAATCTGTGTGACTGTGTGTGTGTGCTGTCAGCTATATCTATGCAGTGTGTGTGAATCTGTGTGACTGTGTGTGTGTGTGCTGTCAGCTAAATCTATGCAGTGTGTGTGAATCTGTGTGACTGTGTATGTGTGTGTGCTGTCAGCGAAACCTATGCAGTGTGTGTGAATCTGTGTGACTGTGTGTGTGTGTGCTGTCAGCTAAATCTATGCAGTGTGTGTGAATCTGTGTGACTGTGTGTGTGCTGTCAGCTATATCTATGCAGTGTGTGTGAATCTGTGTGACTGTGTGTGTGTGTGTGCTGTCAGCTATATCTATGCAGTGTGTGTGTGAATCTGTGTGAATGTGTGTGTGTGCTGTCAGCTAAATCTATGCAGTGTGTGTGAATCTGTGTGACTGTGTGTGTGTGTGCTGTCAGCTATATCTATGCAGTGTGTGTGTGAATCTGTGTGAATGTGTGTGTGTGCTGTCAGCTAAATCTATGCAGTGTGTGTGAATCTGTGTGACTGTGTATGTGTGTGTGCTGTCAGCGAAACCTATGCAGTGTGTGTGAATCTGTGTGACTGTGTGTGTGTGTGCTGTCAGCTAAATCTATGCAGTGTGTGTGAATCTGTGTGACTGTGTGTGTGCTGTCAGCTATATCTATGCAGTGTGTGTGAATCTGTGTGACTGTGTGTGTGTGTGCTGTCAGCTATATCTATGCAGTGTGTGTGTGAATCTGTGTGAATGTGTGTGTGTGCTGTCAGCTATATCTATGCAGTGTGTGAATTTGTGTGAGAGTGTGTGTGTGTGCTCTCAGCTGTATTTATCCAATGTGTGTGTGAATCTATATCAAGACTGTGTGCTGTGAGCTATATCTATCCAGTATGTGAGAATCTGTGTGACAATGACGGTGTGTTGTGAGCTGTGTTTATCCCGTGTGAGTGAGAGTGTGTGATTCTGTGTGTGCTGTGTTAGCTACGTCTATTCCGCGTGTGTGATGCTGTGTGTGTGCTGAGCCATATCTATCCAGTGTGTGTGTGTGATTCTGTGTGTGCTGGGTCCGCTATGTCCATCCCGCGTGTGAGAGAGAGTGTAAATATGTGTGTCTGTGTGATTCTGTGTGTGTGCTGGGTCAGCTATGTCCATCCCGTGTGTGTGAGTGAATCTGTGTGCGAGATTTTGTGGGTGCAGCCAGCAATATCTACCCCGCGTGTGTCCACTTTGTGTGATTCTATGTGGTTGTTGGGTGGTTCTGTATGTGTGCGATATATATTGTTCGGTGCTCGCTAACAGCACTTGCCCCTACAGTCTGTTAAGGCTATATGGGGGATCTTTGTCTTTGTTATATATTGTGGGGAGCGGTGGTGTAGTGGTTAGCGCGCTGCGCTATGAACCCGGCGACCCGGGTTCGATTCCCGCTCACGGCCAACACCGGTGACGATTATCTGAAACGGTCCAGGACCTCTCCTAGGTCGACTCAGCCTCAAATGAGTGCCTGGTGGGGAGACAAGCCACCGCATGCCCAAGCAGCTTCCGTTTGGCCGCATAGAGAGGGCTAAACGGGCACGGCATGGGCTGGATAAGAGATGGACTGATCCGGTACGGTAGGATGTGGAGCTGAGTGGACTTGCCGACGACTGGTACCAGCGGTGTCAAGATCGGCCTCTATGGAGGAGGCTCGTGAAGGAAGCTGCTACTGGGCAGTTGGAGGCAGTCGACCTCCGGCAACAACAGAGGACAGAGGAGTGACGCTCACAATAACGAGCGGAGCGCCGGGTGGATAAAATACAACAAGTTAGCACAGTAGGTCATACAGCTGATGCATCTACCAGTAATCTCAGCCAGCAAAACCATAGCACCTGGGTCTGTCCCGATACCTCCTGTCAGGGAGCCTTCGACACTGCACGTGGCCTCATGGTGCATCTGGCGTGTGGTGGTGAATGGCGGTTATTGGTATTGGTGTCATACCGACCTATATAGGTTTCCCCAACAATCTATGTAGTTTATACGGGCTTTTGACTTTGTGATGTTTACTATATCTATCACTTGCGTGTGAGAGACTGGGTTTCTGATCTGGACACAGTCCCATGAGCCAACATGCCCAGACACCGCATGCCCAAGCAGCTTCTGTTTGGCCGGATAGAAGGGGCTAAACGGGCACGACACGGGCTGGGAAAGAGGAGGGCAGAGGAGCAACGCTCACAACAACAGAGGGGTTAAAATCTAGCAAGTTTGCACAATAAGGGGCACATGTGGTGCATCTACCAGTTATATCAGTCAGTCAACCCATGGCACCTTGGTCTGTCGCGTGACCTCCTGCCAGCAGCGAGCCTTCGACACTTCACGTGGCCTCAAGCACGTCATTGTATAGATTGTTGAAAGCCTCAATACATGGTGTCCGTTGTATAGATTGTTTGACCATACTTCACCACGTTAGTCAATGCAGATTCGTGAAGGGGTGAGGAGTACCCAGGACTGGTTCAGATATCATTCGTCACTGGTGAGTCTCACCACAGACTCTGAACCCCAAGGCTCCTAACACCACCTTAGTCTGTCCCTATGAAGCTCACCACAGACACTCAACCCCAAGGCTCCTAACACCACCTTAGTCTGCCCCTATGAGCCTCACCACAGACTCTGAACCCCAAGGCTCCTAACACCACCTTAGTCTGCCCCTATGAATCTCACCATAGACTCTGAACCCCAAGGCTCCTAACACGACCTTAGTCTGTCCCTGTGAGTCTCACCACAGACTCTGAACCCCAAGGCTCCTAACACGACCTTAGTCTGTCCCTGTGAGTCTCACCACAGACTCTGAACCCCAAGGCTCCTAACACGACCTTAGTCTGTCCCTATGAGTCTCACCACAGACTCTGAACCCCAAGACTCCTAACACCGCCTTAGTCTGCCCCTATGATCCTCACCACAGACTCTGCACCACAAGGCTCCTAACACGACCTTAGTCTGTCCCTATGAGTCTCACCACAGACTCTGAACCCCAAGACTCCTAACACGACCTTAGTCTGCCCCTATGATCCTCACCACAGACTCTGCACCACAAGGCTTCTAACACTACCTTAGTCTACCCCTATGAGTCTCACCACAGACACTCAACCCCAAGGCTCCTAACACTACCTTAGTCTACCCCTATGAGTCTCACCACAGACACTCAACCCCAAGGCTCCTAACACTACCTTAGTCTACCCCTATGAGTCTCACCACAGACACTCAACCCCAAGACTCCTAACACTACCTTAGTCTACCCCTATGAGTCTCACCACAGACACTCAACCCCAAGGCTCCTAACACTACCTTAGTCTACCCCTATGAGTCTCACCACAGACACTGAAACCCAAGACTCCTAACACGACCTTAGTCTGCCCCTATGAGTCTCACCACAGACTCTGAACCCCAAGGCTCCTAACACCACCTTAGTCTGCCCCTATGAGTCTCACCACAGACTCTGAACCCCAAGGCTCCTAACACGACCTTAGTCTGCCCCTATGAAGCTCACCACAGACTCTGAACCCCAAGGCTCCTAACACGACCTTAGTCTGTCCCTATGAGTCTCACCACAGACTCTGAACCCCAAGACTCCTAACACGACCTTAGTCTGCCCCTATGAGTCTCACCACAGACTCTGAACCCCAAGACTCCTAACACGACCTTAGTCTGTCCCTATGAGTCTCACCACAGACTCTGAACCCCAAGACTCCTAACACGACCTTAGTCTGCCCCTATGAGTCTCACCACAGACTCTGAACCCCAAGACTCCTAACACGACCTTAGTCTGCCCCTATGAAGCTCACCACAGACTCTGAACCCCAAGACTCCTAACACGACCTTAGTCTGTCCCTATGAGTCTCACCACAGACTCTGAACCCCAAGGCTCCTAACACCACCTTAGTCTGCCCCTATGAGTCTCACCACAGACTCTGACCCCCAAGGCTCCTAACACCACCTCAGTCTGCCCCTATGAGTCTCACTGCAGACTCTGAACCCTAAGGACCCTGCGCGTGACGTCACCGTCACCTGACCGCCCGTGATCTCCGCAAGCTCCGTGTGGAGCGACGGGAAGTCGAGGTGAGGTTTTTCGTCTTAAATTGATATAAATTAAACAATTCAGTGAGCGCCGTCGTATCAGTTTTACCCTCACAATCACCCAGCGGCTCGTGTCGCGTCGTTTAATTTCACCGTCAAACATTTATATTTTTTGTTAACCCCTCGACGACTCCCGGCCCGCTTGGTCATTTGGTTAGCGGGCGAATGGTGCGCTGAGGCGGCCGGGGTAACAAGTCGAGGCCGATGGTGACTCCCGCGGTGTAGGCCGCAGTCGTCGGTCTGCGTGGTGACTCTTTACATGAATCGTTCTTATCCGTTTTACATTCCTGTGTGAACACACTGCCGTGTCAGTCATGGGAGTTGTCTTGACCATTAATGCACCACGCTGGTCAATGCCGGTTTCTCACGACGGGGGTAAGTTGCCTGAACCGCGCCAGATATCGCTAACCGCCGCCGATATCAACAGTGACCAGCAATCGAACTCCGTGATCGCCACCGGGTTCACGACTAATTCGCAATACATTCGTCAATAGTGCGGGTTCATAGCGCAGCGTACTATGGCCACCGCTCCCCGGACCTATAATGAACACCGTACAGTGACCAAGAAACAGTGATGATGCATGACCCGCCCAGAGATTGGATTTTACCAAGATTCGGGGTCACAATTCCATGAACCCCCCCCCCCCCTGCAGTTTCGTCTCAATTTTATAATCTCATTTGTGTTTATCAATGTTTTGGCTTCTTCTTGGTTGTTTCGGTAAAGTCACGTAAAAGGGAAATGATAAAATAATAAAAATAAAACAATAAAATAATTCTCACGACGTTTCGGCCACAACGCAAGCAGCCGTCCTCAGGTGAAGAACAGGTCTGTCGGAAAGACAGCGTCTGAATTCAGATGCTGTCTTTCCGACAGACAGATGAATCCCTGTAGTCACGAAAGCTTTAAATCGAAATGTTTTGGCTTGTTGGTACAAATTGTTTTGCCCACCATCATGAAAGTCCATTAGCAAAAATGTACAACTGCACAGAATATACACGAACTGTACTTTCCATGTACCGTACATGCATAGCCCCCTTTGTCAATACTGTACACTGCTGGATGAGAGCCTCCACACACCGTGTAGGCTGTGGGGGTTATTTGACAACACTTAATTTACATAAACAGCAAGTAATCGATTACAATCATACGATTAATGCAATACCTGTGTCGTGTGGGTTTTCATAGTTGCACTATATAGCTCTAATGTGTTTTATGTTCCTGAATAAGCTTCCAGCACGCGTAGCAGAACGTCGGACATGTGGGTGTGCGTGTGTATTAACTAACAACACTTGCCCCAACAGTCTATTCATGTGAACCTCTGTCTTTGTTGAAGCACCATGGATCGCCATGAAGTAACCGAGTTCGTCCCCACCAACATCGTGGCGGCAAAGGCAGCAGAGGTTCGCTCATCCAGCGTCAACTGGCAGTCTTACCTCCAGTGAGTGATACATCCAGACCCGTGGCGTTACACCGGGCAATTCTGACAATGATAAGCTTTCACGTATGCATGTATGTTGAAACTTCTTTTGCACCGTACGTAACCAACCATGCTAATCAGAGGTGCGAGGGAAGGGCAACATAATAAACACAAAAAGTAGTTCTAAAGAGATTCGTTTTTATTAGTCATGCTCTATCCACTGCTCCACGAAAGGCTCCCCATTAGCCATGCTTTATCCACTGGTGCATGAAGGGCTGCCCAAGCTCTTATCCCACAAGGTCTTGTGATGCGACAATCCAACGTGGTCTTATACATGAGCTGGTATACCCATGTTTGGCATACTCATATTTGCTTATACTCGCATATTCATATGTACATATTCAATGTACATACATATCCTGCCACTTCATCACCAGTATCGTCCAATGGCCATCCCTAATAATGATGTATCCTGCCCAAGCCCATTGAATCTTATTACTTGTGAATGATGTCTTTAATTTGCATTTGTCTTCTGATCCATGTGTTCCTCTAGGAATAACACTCAGGGATAGATTAGTCTTTTCGATTATATCAAATAATATTCTCTATAGCCAGGTGAGGGCTTGTCTTTTTCAAGGAAAATCTGTCAAATAAGTACAAACATAACACTTCTAAATCACAACGATTTAAGCACAGCAAATGAATTAAAATATAGCAATGTCAATACATAATTATAATGTCAAACTGGTAAAATAGAAAAGAAGATTAAAGTAAAATGAAAGAAATTACATTTTGAGTGCAATTCCGGTGTTCAACATCAAATTATTATTGCGAGCAGAATATTAAAACAATCATGTGCATAGAAATAACAACACAGCATATATGGAAGATGCATGTCTAGATGTGAACATTGATAAACGTGTAATAAAAAAAACACCTACATTCATAAACTACATGAGTCTCAATAGACAATAAAATGTGGTGGAGATGTGTGGCGCAGTGGCTGGTGCACCGTTCTATGGACCCAGTGACCTGAGTTCAATTCACAGTCACAGTTAACATCAGTGGCAAGTGATATCTCAACCGGTCCTGGTCAACTCCCCCTTCACAAACCCACCCTGACCGGCATGTGGTTAAGTATGATCATACAACCCCCATGAGCAGTGTGCTGTGGGGAGCCCTTCATCCAATATTGCATTGTCAAAGGGCTGTCCATAAGACATTGGCATTTAATGTGTAAGATAGTATCAAAATTGGAGCGTAAATTGCTGAGACTCAAAATCTCACCTGGAGTACTGCATACAACATAGGTGAATTTAAAAAAGATATAGATTTTTACCACACTTCAACGCAAGTACCATGAATGTAAGAATACATTTGAATCAAAGACTTCACCGATCATCGCTTGTGCATGGAAGGTTGGGGTTGCTGAAGGCGTACTGTGTCGCGTTGTGCCGTGCCACATTGGCAGGAGTCAGATGATCTCCCAGGATGACTGCGAGTTCATCAAGCGATTCGAGCGGATGCCCACCGCCCAGCGGCAGCACATTCTGGAGACGGAGGGCATACAGGTGCATACCCACACACGTGCAGTGACAGTGAGAGGCTGTGCGAATATGTATATATGTGTGTCCGTGTGGGTGTGGTTCTTGTGTGAGTTTGAGTATGTGAGGAGCAGAAGTGGTTAACACACTGTGCTATACACCTGACTCCCCAAGTTAGATTCCTGGCCATGGCTGACAACAGTGAAGAATATCTGAACCGGTCCTAGGCCTTCTTTAGGTTTACTCAGCTTGAACTGAATACTTGGTGTAGTGTGTAAACATCAGCATTGCGGAGACGAAGCTGGCCAGGTGTTGTGCTCTCCAGACCACCCCTCGTGTGCCGTGCCAACCTTAAAAGGTGCTCGCTAACAGAACATGACCGTGAAAAGCTTTGTTTGAAGTTTATTGAGTGCATGTGCACGTGCATATACCGGACTCTGCATTGACTGTGTCTACACGTGGGAATCAACCATGTCCCCAAGGGCATGTGGTCATTTCCCTGTGTGCTCGTGTCATGCCTGCTTTCCGTGTGCAGACAGCCAAGACGTTCCTGAATCTGATGTCGCAAATCTCGCGTGAGCAAACGGTGCAGCTGCTGCTCACCATGGTGGACGACATGCTGCAGGTGACCCCTCCACCACTTTTTCCATTCCTCTACGTTGATCGAGTGGTCAATTACTATTTTGGTTCAAGTGTGCCACTCATAGCTATGATTGTGTGGCAATGAAATGGTTAATTTGAAATTAATGCCGGTTACTTCAAGAGCATCATCCACTCAACTTGCTTGGGGATTACTTCTGTGGCCTTGCCACCATTGTGTTTTTCGCTGTTGTGGTGCAAACTATATTTTTATTTGCTCGTGACGTTGCATTCACTAGGAGGACCATAGCCGCGTGTCCATCTTCTTTGACCACGCCAGGCGTAACAAGTCCTCGGCCTGGTCCTACTTCCTCCCCATGCTCAACCGCCAGGACCAGTTCACCGTTCACCAGGTGCGCACTCTTGGGCGTCGTCAGAATGGATGTCGCCATGTTATTACTTGTTATACAAGTGATTTGAATCTTCTCCCCATTATTATGTAAGCACACGGGCTTTTTTCTTAATGCACTGCTGGATGAGGGCCTCCCCACGCCGTGCGTGTCATGCCAGTTGTTTGACTGTAGTTTACCACGCCAGTCAGTACGGGTTGATGATTGTGGGCGACATAGATGTAGGAGCATAGACGTACAGTACAATGATGGATTTTGCAACACTGCCCTCTAATGCCCACTTCTTGGCTCACAGCAGCTTCTAACACCAGTTGTATGTGCGGTGGCCACCCATCAAAGCACTATCTAGGCCAGGGGTCGGCAACCTACGGCTCCGGAGCCGCATGCGGCTCTTTACGGGCTGCTTCTTGACGATGAGTACGTATGTACTCAGATGCATTGCGGCTCTTGAAATACTGAATTTTGTACCGAATTGGAAAGAAATGGCTCTTCTAGGTTATTTTGGTTGCCGACCCCTGATCTAGGCTAAGCTATGAGGGCTCACGAGATCGGGTAAATTCTGGGTGATGTGGTCAAAAGGCGATGGAGCAACTAGAGCCCTTTGTCAATCAACTGCTACATGAAGGCCTCTGCACACTGTGTCAGTCACGGGGGTTATTTAACCAAACTTCACCACGCTGGTCAGTATGGGTTGGTGAAGCTAACCCACCATCGCACTGCAGTACACTGATCAATGCAGGCTCTACAGACTTACACAGCACCATTTGCAGCTAGGCACATGCTTCACCAACCTAAATAATATAATTAATTTAGTTAATTGGCGAGTGTATTTTGGCTTTGCCCTCGCTGGGGATTATCACGCTCTGTTGCCACATTGGAGTGCGTGCGCGTGCTCACCTGTGTGGACGCATGCGCAGGCTGCGCGGATCATTGCGAAGCTGGCGGCGTGGGGCAAGGAGCTGATGGAGGGGAGTGACCTGACCTACTACTTCAACTGGCTCAAGACACAGCTTGGCTCACAGGTGCCACACATACATGGACATAGGACTCGTATGATTACTTGTTACAAACAAAAACATAAAGGGCTACAAATATGCAATGGGCACCATCGTGGTGAGATGTTAACTACCTTGCCTGGTATACAGGAGGCCGTGGGTGTGATCCCGACCCTGATGTCCGTATATTTTGAGTTTGCATGTTCTCCCCGTGGTCATATGGATATTTCTCCGGGTCCGTTGGTTTTTTCCTCCACATTTAGAAACACGTGTTTAGAGCATTTTGCTGCTATAAATATCCACATGATAAGCCACTTCGTTGAGCTATCATTTGTGGCCAGGTCACTTCTGAAAAAGAGCTATGTAGATCAGTGGGCCTTACCTAGTAAAATAAAAAATAGTTAATAGTTTAAAGGAGTACCAATGTTCACCAATATTCCGAAATATATATTTGTTCCTAGGGGGAACAAATATTCTGGGGGAAAAAAACATGAATTAACTGGCACTGGCTGCACACGAACGCCTGACCGCCTTTGTCTTAAACACAGTTGTGACGCTTCTGAGTTGCTGACCCACACTATCGCTCCCTCTGTGTAATGTGTGTAATGTGTAGAAAAATCGCCCAGGTGGACAAGACGGTGGCCACGTCTCACCGACCGAGGTACGTCCGCTCCAGCAGAACCGTGCAAAACACGAGACGCCACAGGGAAATGACGGCACGGTGCCTCTCACTGAAGGTTACCATGTGAGAGTTTATAGTAGATTCCCGACACATGCGTTAAATGTGGTCGAATTAATTTGAGAGCTTCAAATGAAAATAAACTAAATAGGCGAGTTGAAAGGTTCCATAGCAACAACAAAAATGATTTTCAAATCAGTCAGATGCTCCGTCATTGCAGTGAAGTTGTAGTGAAGGCTTTGCATAGTGATTTAGAAATGTATACAATTTAAGAAACCAGCAGCAACCCAGCCCACGTTTGGGGTGAATTTATATTTTTCTAAACCACTGTCGTTAACGGATCTGCATTCCACAAGTGACTTAAACATCACAAGTCTTTGCCCACCACTACCAAGTCACTGACATTTCTGTCGCCGTTATGGCTTGTGCAGAACTCGCAGTACCTGCAGTGCTCGGCCGGATGCCTGCAGCTCATGCTCAGGGTGAACGAGTATCGCTTCGCCTGGGTGGAGATGGACGGTGTCAGCTGGTGAGTGATGCTTCTTCACACACACTCCAATGGCACGAAGACAAAGACCCTCCATATAGCCGAAATAGGTTGTTTGGGCAAGTGCTGTTATTGGGCACCTATGTGGAGGCTGGCGGCACATGAGGGAGTGGTGTGACCACCACCACTATGTCCGGTACTCATTTAAAAAGCTGAATCAACAATGGGTAGGCATATGATTAGTTCAGATATTTGCTACTGTTTGTTAGCCACGACCAGGAATTGAATTTGAGTCGCTGGGTTCTTAGTGCATCGCGCTAACTACTCCACTACTGTACTCACACACGCACACCGAGACACACAGGAACACACAAAGAGAAAGACACACGAACCAGTGGCAATGCACACACACACACTCACACCGACCACATGCTCAAACAAACACATAGACTCCACTGCGTATCTCTCACCATGCCTCTCTTTCCGCTGTGTGTGTGTGTGCTTCCACAGTGTAATGTCGGTCCTGCACACCAAGTGTGGCTTCCAGCTGCAGTACCAGATGATCTTCTGTCTCTGGCTGCTCACGTTCAGCCCGCAGATGTGCGAGAGCATACGTCGCTATAACATGGTCACCACGCTGTCCGACATTCTGCAGGAGTCAGTCAAGGAGAAGGTCACCCGCATCATCCTTGCCACCTTCCGTGTATGTCTGGTTCTCTCGCTCGCTCGCACACACACACTCACTCGTGCACAAAGCCAAACGTCGTTAACTTGTAAACAGCACTTGCCCCAACATGCATACGCACACACACATGTACAATCTTGTGCACATACTAGAAAATGTAGCATGCAGTAGTAAATCCACATACATGGGCAATTGCACATGAATGGATACACCCACAGTGAATATCCATGCACAGGTACACTCACACGCACACATGCACATGCACCCGCTGGTACACACACGCAACCATGAGCACACGCGATGGTGGTGGTGGGGGACGGTCATGGCAACAGTGAGTGTTGTCATTGTGGAGGTGGTTATTTTTATGGAGGTGAGGGTTGCTATGGTGGTTGTGACGGTTGGCTACGTACGGTGTGAAAGAAATTCAACATACATACATACGCATGATGGGTGTTGTTTTATGTGTTGTGATGATGGTGAGATGGTGGTTTTGATTGTTGTGGTGGTTGTGATGGTGAGTGGTGTGATAAGTGTTGTTTTGATGAATGTAATGGTTGTTGTGGTGGTTGTTGTGTGTGGAACAGAATCTTCTGGAGAAGAGTGTGGAGCGTGAGAGTCGGCAGGAGTACGCTCTTGCCATGATCCAGGGAAAGGTGAGCTGAACCTTTGAGCTATGGCAGCACCGACTAAATACAGGTAGTCCCCGAGTTACGATGATCCGACTTACGATATTTTGATCTTACGATGGTGATAGCGATACGACAAAATTGTAAAATATTTTAAATTTCGCGCGGCAGGCAAACGCAGCAGCGTACAAGGTACGATACTGTACATTGGGACGCTGCCGGGATGTAGGCATCTCCCGCCTTGTGTGATGCCTCACTCTGACCAGCGGTCGACGGAGTTAAGTTGTCTCGGTGTTAGCGCGTGTATTTTTTTCTGTGTTTTTTGTGTTTCAAAGCATGTTAAAAGTTTTTTTTATAGCAGAGAGGATTGTTTCCTGAAAAAACTTTCTATTAGATTGCAGTTCATATAGGTAGGCTAAGTATTTACCTTGGTTTTTTTTTACTTTACATTTTACTGTACAATACAGTATTGTAATTAATAAATACATACAGTATAAATTATCACCATTCTTTAAGACTCCTGGGTAGGCTAGGCCATCTTCGATTTACGATATTTTTGACTTACGATGGAGTCGTCGTAACGCATCTCTATCGTAAGTAGAGGACTACCTGTACAGCGTCCTGTTAAATCGTACCAACTTAGACTGAATACCACCAAATAGTCATACATCATGGAAACTGTCAGTGATTTGAAGACGGATGATGATGATGAATCAATTCATTGTTGCACCTTGACTTCTGTTATCATCGTCATTGAACCGTGCCGCAGGTGCTGAAGCAGCTGGAGAACCTGGAGCAGCAGAAATACGACGATGAGGATATCTCGGAAGACATCCGCTTTCTGCTCGACAAACTCGGAGAGAGCGTGCAGGACCTCAGGTGCACACGCGGTTCAAACAAAACGGGCTCCCGGGATGCGTGTGCAAGCATGGGTGTGTGTGTTTGTGTGAGTGCGACCGGGTGTAGTTCTGATCACACCACCTCATGTGCCGTGTTAATAGGTGATTGCGAACTGCCCTTGCCCTAGCAGCCTGTATTGGCTATATGGGAGATCTTGTACATCTGTGTGCACCTAATAGGAGCTCCCTAATGTAGTCTGTTAAAGACTACACGGGGCATTTTTGTCTCTGTTCAACAGGGCCAGCAATGGATCTCCATACACAGGTATAGTGTCCTGTGAGCTCTGGTGATCTAAGGTCATGGGTTCAATTAGCTCGCGATATCTGCACCAGTCCTAGGTCGACTCGGCTTTAAAATGAGTATTGGGGAGACAAAGGTGGCCAGGCGTGGTGTCTATCGCACCACCTCATGTGTTGTTCAGAGGTTTAATTAGCAGCGATAGTCTGGAAGGCTCAATGGAGGATTCTTATTTTTATCTTTTGTGTACTTATATATTTGCATTGCAGTTCATTTGACGAGTACAGCTCGGAGCTGAAGTCTGGCCGGCTGGAGTGGAGCCCCGTGCACAAGTCTGAGAAGTTCTGGCGTGAAAACGCGGCACGACTCAACGAGAAGAACTGCGAGTTGCTCAAGTGAGTCTCACCCTTTCTGTGTTTGAGGTGCTTTCCGTGTGTGTATGTGTCTGTGTGTATAGCACTTCGCGTGGTATAGCAGTTAGCACGCTGTCCTGCGGATCCGGCAACCCGAGTTAGATTCCTGCTCACAGCCAACACCAGTGACGAATATCTAAACCGGTCCTGGGCCTCCTCTAGGTCGATTCGGCTTCTAATGAGTACCTGGTGTGGTGTGTAAACATCGCCACTGGGGAGACAAAGTCGGCCGGGCGTGGTGCTGGCCATCCACCCCCTCGTGTGCCGAGCCGGCCTTCGTAGGTGCTCACTTAACAGCACTTGCCCCAACTGTTTGCGAAGGATATACTGGGGGATCTTTATCTTTGCTTTTTGTGCTTGGTTTTTCAGGATTCTGACACGTCTGCTCGAGCGCTCCGAGGAGCCTCAGATCCTGGCCGTGGCAGCGCACGACGTGGGGGAGTACGTGCGGCACTATCCCCGTGGAAAACGGTACTCGCTCGCTCGTCGCAGCCCAGCGCGCCCATACACCAACATCATCTACACACTGCGTTATGTTGGGGTGGCTCCGGATTATGGTTAGATGGATGCCGTCTTGTCAATAGCATCTCTTTTTCATGGTACAACCGAGCTGCGCCAGGGCCATGCCAAGCCAGCCTCGTGCGGTTCAGGAGGCGCCAGGTTGTTTTTCCGCCCCAGAAGCGCGGCGGTGGCAAGATGTTAACTTCCTTGCTTGGTATGCAGGAGGGTCGTGGGTTTGATCCCGACCCTTGACACCTGTTTATTTGTAGTTTGCATGTCTCTCTCCCCTTGGTCGCGTGGATTTTTCTCCGGGTCCTCCAGTTTTTCCCTCAACATTTTGAAACATGCTTTTAGAGAATTTGGCTGCTATACATTTATAGGTGGTAAGACACCTGGTTGTGTTATCATTTGTGGCCAAGTTGCTTCTGAAAAATAGCTATTTATCTCAGTGGGGCATACCTGGTAAAATAAAATAGGTTAGTTTTATAGAAGCGGAACTGTGCCGCTGACGTCATATGCAATGAATATGTCAATAACTCCATCCACCCCTGGGTCTGCTTGACCCAGAGCCAGATTCAGATGTCCTGTGAGGCCATCGTATCATGGTTTAGTTCTGGTTCGGCTTCGCAAATATCCATAACGTGAAGGTCCCCCGCTGGCTTGGCTTGGATGTGGTAGTCGAAAAGGAGTACAGATAGTCCCCGACTTACGATGGAGATGCGTTACGACGACCCCATCGTAAGTCGAAAATATCGTAAGTCGAAAATGGCCTAGCCTACCCAGGAATCTTAAAGAATGGTGATAATTTAGCAAAACAGAGCAATTTACAGTACCGTACTGTATAAACTATATGCGTACAGTACATCCCGGCAGCGTCCCAATGTACAGTATCGTACCTCGTACGCTGCTGCGTTTGCCTGCCGCGCGAAATGTAAAATATTTAACAATTTTGTCATCGCTATCACCATCTTAAGATCGAAATATCATAAATCGTACCATCGTAACTCGGGGACGACCTGTATAGGTGTCTCTAGTGAGCAGTCTGGCTCTTGGTGCTGATGCTGACCCTACGTAGTGAACACGTAAATATACCTCTACGTTGTGTGTTTGTATTTTTTCAGAATTATAGAGCAGCTGGGTGGTAAGACCCTGGTGATGAACCACATGCACCACGAGGACCAGCACGTGCGCTACAACGCCCTGCTCGCCGTGCAGAAGCTCATGGTTCACAACTGGTGGGGCCCTCAGTGCACACGCACACTGCACATTCACGTGAGCTATGGGCTTTTACACTGACAGGAGCATCAGGTGGACACAAGTGTCACGATATTAATGTCGTCATTAAATCGCCATTTAAACCAGGTGAGAGTTTATTGAGACCAAGCGTTTTTAACGGACACCTGCATAACACCAATATAATATTTCACTCATTAATTGTACAACACTCATTAATTGGCTGAAAACATCTTTATATTAGAGGAACGCAGAGCTTGGGTAATTGTTGGTGCCAGCCCACTGCCTGGCAGCCTTCCAGCTCATCTGTGGTTCCTCAGTGATTGTGAGATTCACTTTGCATGAACGACGCTATATAAATCTAAAAATTAATATTTACATTTGCAATCCACCGTTGGATTTGCAATCCACGCAATACGGGTCACAAGTGTTATTGATCGAACTTCACCACACTGTTCAGTGCACGTTGGTGAAGGCAGGGAGTATAGATGCGTGAGCATGTAGAATGTTGCTATTCAGTCCTGTAATTATTTAGTGTTGTGGTAAATGTAGCAAAGTGGGTGAAGAGGTCATGTGAACCCATTACATGCAACACTTATGGATCGAACAAAAATATAAATGCTTACACACGCAATTCGATTTGTGTGTGTCGTGAGCTGAAGCATCGATATTAAGAAAAGTGTCCTTGCCTTGTTTTAACCTTATTGACTACAATTTCATTCCTCTAGCCTTAATTTTTTATGGGGGCATTCAAAACGGGTATAAATCAAACTTGGTAAGGTGCAGGTACAATTCATATCAGTTTGAGAGCGAGAGCACCATCTGCAGCCTAGCTCAACAATTTGTCATGAGTTGCCAGCCATTCTCTACGGTTGGATGCATCCCAAAGTTGTTGTGACTTGCGGTGTTGACTACATCATTGTTGTTTTTGCTACCTTCCCTCCTGTCTCTTGCACCCTAGGGAATATCTCGGAAAGCAGCTCAAGTCCGAGGAGGCGACTGGACAGACCAGAGGCTAAATGACAGCACAACTGTGCACCTAACACTCCACAAATCCAGCAGGCATACTCATTCACTCAACTGTAGGCGGATGCACACTCACAAGAACACACATGCACATACACACAAGACAGTTTTTTTAATTTTTGGCCTGGATAGGCTTGTTGATAAGCAGTTATTAAGGTGAGGATGGCACATGAATGAGTAGGTGGTGAAAGCTGGTAAAATTACCCCCTGGCCGCCTTTGTTTTTCCTATGCTGATATTCATGACCGCACTGCCAACACACCAGGCACTGTATAGGAGGGGTTGATGTGGAGGCCTAGGCTAGGTGGTGATGGTAACACGGTTTGGCACTGACTGCAGACCATCATGTCACTACTGCACAACACACACCCATAAGGCACAAATATGTACAACATCAATAATCAACTCGGACACAAGTACACACACAGGCAGACATGCAGCCCATAGAGAAACTCTGACATGCTTACACATACAACACAAGTAAAAATACATTTCGTTTTATGTTGAGCTATTGCTAATATTCCAATATAATTATCGAATTTATGTGATAATGATGCAGTCTTTTTGGACATTCTTGGATAGCTACTGACCATAAAATCAGGGTGTCCTTTTTACCATTGCTTCATTTGGCTAGACCTGACTGAAGATATTTAGTCAAGCTGAAACCTGTTTTTTATTTTGCCGTGTTTTTGTGGTATGTGGAGCAATTTATGATTTGGCTCAATCGAGCTGCCTGCAGCTCATTTGCAAAGGAACCCTTTCACTGTTTTAAGTTCACTAATGGTGCGTAAATCATTCTCACAAAGGAATTTAGTGTTGACTTGTACATCTTTCTTATACTTGTGCAATTATGGGATCATTAACATCAGATACCTCTTTTTTTCTCACTGTACAACTGAGCTGCGCCAGGGCTGTGCCAAGCCAGCCCGGCACGACTTGGGGGAGAGGCCAGAATTTTCCACTGTGGAACAGAGGTCGCAACCGGGTACCCGATACCCGTACCCTACCCGATACCCGGCTACCCGTACCCAGCCGGGTACGGGTACCCGTTTGCGACCCTGGTGCGGCCGGGTACGGGTAGACCGTGAGTCACTGGTGAGTAACTGTCACTCATTTCCCAACGTCTTGTCTCTTCTCGCAATCAGGTACCCGATACCCGTACCCTACCCGTACCCGGCTGGGTACGGGTAGGTTACGGGTACGGCCGGGTACGGGTACCCGTTTGCGACCCTGGTGCGGCCGGGTACGGGTAAGGAATCAAAACCCGTTTGCGACCTCTGCTGTGGAAGCAGAGCCGTGATGCCGATGATGTGTACACAATGAAAAAGTCGAGACGTGAAGGTGACGCGGCGACACGGTGTTGTTTATCTTTCTTGCAATGCACCGCCGTCACAATAAGCCACGAGCCCCAAACTCTGGCCCTCCTTGGCCTCCGAGCCCAGATTCAGATATGCGAGTGCAGCGCATCACGTTTTTGGTTCCAGCTCGTCACAGCAAATAGCCTGTGGAAAAACACCACCCATTTTTTGAAGGCCCAGCTCAGATGTTCCACTGGGAAAGGGGGGGGGGGGCTGGCTTAACCTCCCCACTGTACGACAACGCACTTTTTTCTCGATGTGCCCCGTAACATGAATGCTACTTGGGGGCAGCAACCAAGTCCACTGTAAGGAACTAGAGATATAATGTGTACTGTGGGAATTAAAATGTTGATGCTTAATGTAATGATCCTGAAACCGATTAACTGTAATTGTCACAGTGGTTGTGTGGTGTCAATATTTGTGTTTGTGCCACGTTTTGATGTTTAGAAAGTTTCTTCTCGGATGTGAGCCGATGCTAAAAAACACTCTAACCACATCAGTGAAAACTAATTGGGTTAATGAAAATAAATGTACAACTGTGTCCGTGCGTCTGTCTTCCTGTGCAAAATGCCAGTGTGAGATTGTGAAATCTATGCCATCGTTAATCTCGGTGATAGGATTGCTGTCGTGGTATAATGCTTGGCACACCTGGACCTGCAATCCAGAGATCGTGAGTTCTAACTCTTAGGATTTTTCAGTTAAAACAATGATGCAAATTTCGATTTAAAGCTTTCGTGACTGCAGGGATTCATCTTCTTGGTTTTTTCGGTAAAGTCACGTAGAAGGGAAATAAAATAATAAAAATAACAATTCTCACGACGTTTCGGCCACAACGCAAGGACGGTTGCTTGCGTTGTGGCCGAAACGTCGTGAAAATTATTTTATTATGTTTATTGTTTTATTATTTCATTATTTCCCTTCTACGTGACTTTACCGAAAAACCAAGAAGACAATGATGCAAGTTTCTTTAATCCTCACCACCTGCCCACCCAACGGTATAACTGCGTCGTAGGTCAATGAGTTGAGTGGCAAGTCGCGTGTGGTGGAGAACTACTGAGCAGGGTGGGAATGGTAGGTGGGTTAAAGTGTGGGCATTCCCCCTCTTCGAGGAGTCGTTCTGGCCGTGGTGGAAGAGTTGGACAAGTTACTCCGAGGAGAGCTCTCGAGCTCGCTGTAGAAGGAGGCCGTTCCGCCAACATTTGAGTGAACAAGCAGTTGCAGGGCTGCGCCTCCAGCTGCATGATGAAAGACTAAACTATTAAAGTCACGTAGAAGGGAAATAATAAAAATAAAACAAAATCATTCGGAAAGACGGACCTGTTCTTCGCCTGAGGACGGCTGCTTGCGTTGTGGCCGAAACGTGAGAATGATTTTGTTTTATTTTTATTATTTTATTATTTCCCTTCTACGTGACTTTACCGAAAGAACCAAGAAGATGAATCCCTGCAGTCACGAAAGCTTTAAATCGAAATTTAAACTATTAAACTTTAATTTTTATTGACCTACTAAGGCCCACTGAGCTATAAAGCGTTTTTTAAAAAAGCGACCTGGCCACAAATGATAGCTCAACGAAGTGGCTTATCAAGTGAAAATTAACACCATCCAGATAAATTCCGATTTAAAGCTTTCGTGACTGCAGTGATTCATATTCTTGGTTCTTTCGGTAAAGTCACGTAGAAGGAAAAGAATAAAATAATCAAAATAAAACAAAAAATATTTTACAGGATTGAAATTGATTGGTCCACACCCGAGACAGCTTTCTTTAGAGCCTAGTCTCACAGCTGTCTCGGGTGTGGACCAATCAATTTTAAGGCCAATGCATACATTATCAGAGTTGTGTTTTTTGTTTGCATTCCGACTGCAGGTATTGTGATCAATGCAAACATGACTCCTTGTAAAAAAAGTGTCAGTTTTGTTGCCAGATAAAAGGGTAAAAAACCAATTATATTTTCTACTGGCAAATTAGGTTCCAATGGTGTAAATGCTTCACCCCGAGCTCTCATACTCTGATGGTGCGTTGTCTTTGAGTTGTGCGCCTTTTGGCATCATCTGGTCCAACACCATGTGAGACTAGGCTCTAAGGAAAGCTGTCTCGGGTGTGGACCAATCAATTTTAAGGACAGTGCACATTATCAGAGTTGTGTTTTTTGTTTGCATTCCGACTGCAGGTATTGTGATAAATGCAAACATGACTCCTTGTAAAAAAGGTGTCAGTTTTGTTGCCAGATAAAAGGGTAAAAAACCAATTATCATATTTTCTACTGGCAAATGAGGTTCCAATTGTGTAAATTCTTACCCCGAACTCTCATACTCTGATGGTGCATTGTCCTTGAGTTGTGCGCCTTTTGGCGTCATCTGGTCCAACACCATGTGAGACTAGGCTCTAAGGAAAGCTGTCTCGGGTGTGGACCAATCAATTACAAGGACATTGCATACATTATCAGAGTTGTGTTTTTTGTTTGCATTCTGACTGCAGGTATTGTGATCAATGCAAACATGACTTCTTGTAAAAAAGGTTTCAGTTTTGTTGCCATATAAAAGGGTAAAAAACAATTATATTTTGTTACTGGTAAATGAGGTTCCAATGGTGTAATAGTTTAGTTCCATCATGCAGCTAGAGGCGCAGCCCTGCAATTGCTTGTTAGCAACGACTGTCACAACGTTAAGAGTGCCACAAATAGTCCCGGCGGAAGACTACAAAAACACACGGTAACATCACCCACAAGTTACCAACAGCAAAGTCACCTGACTTTGTATTCATCCGCGTCGGTCAAAAACATCACAGTACGTCGTCACACACAAAGATAAACACATTTGTATAAAATATATCGCATCGATTCCAATCTAATGGAAATAAATGTGCGGTCTGTGATCGATAATTGAAGGTTTAAAGCCGTTTCACTGCGCGCACTACTTCTCGTCGAATTTGAACGGAGTTTTGGCGGGAAGGCACCGGCCGCCATCTTGTTTTATTCCCGTCGTGCCCCGCGGCGTAGCCACCGTGAAGCGAGCGGCGGCGCGAAAGCTGAGGTAAAACGACTCTCGATCTTATTAAAATACAATTCGCATAACGTTTACAACTTTATTATTTGATTCGTGCTAACGTTGTGCTCTGTTAAAGTGTCTGCGCTTATGCAGCGAGACTGCGAGTTGAGTTAAAAAGTCTTTGATGCGGCGCGTTAACACTGGAGGCCTGGGACTAGTCGAGGCGAGGCCTGTGCTTTATATGTATTTCCGTTAAACGTTAAATTATTTTTGCGTTTTCGGTTATCGGCGATGTTAAGTAACACCGCGGTAGTTTATATTTCGTGCCGTTGGGGTTTTGACGCATTCGTGACAACAGTGTTTGTTTCGCGAACTTGTGGATTTTTTTCGCGTGGCCTGGCTGGTACCACTTCGTTGTTAATTAAATGTTTTGTATATAACAACTATTGTTAGTGCTTTTGTTAGCATCTATGCACCGTTATAAGTTGCGTTTCGTGCTGTGGTTGCGATTTTGTGTTGTGGAGTGTTCTTTGTTTACATAACGAGCTAGTGTATCCACAATGTATACAGTACTGTAGGTTCAACTTCTTTCGCACCGTACGTAGCCAACCTGTGCGATTCGGGGGGTAGGAAAACAAAACTTCCGTGGCCAGCTGTGAAAATCCACCTCGACTGAATAATCTTGTCATTTTTTAAAATGTGTGTGATGCTAATTTCGATATTTTGAGGAAAACTTGGGGTTTATTTATGAAATGTATCCCTCTAAACCTAGTGTGTATTCGCTTTTTATGAATGTTAAAGTACTAACAAGGCGGGAGGAAAGATGTGAAGAAGACAGTGCTCTTTCTGACTGTTGGATTATACGTAATTATTATGTATGCATTGGTAGATTGGGTATGTGTTATACGTTGAATTAAAGCATAAACCAAACGCGTACCTATATAATAACACGTATTTACGTCAACATATTGGCCTCTTTGGAGCAATTGTGTTTTGTTAGTCTTTTGCGATGTTTTCCAACCTTTGATTTGAAATTTCGTAGGGTCCCGAAATGTTGGGATCACTGGCCTAGCTTACATACTTCGGCATATCGAGGTGTGGTCACAACGTTTTGAGATCTTGTAAGGTTTAAAACTCCTTGCCGACCTAATTCTTAACAATTTCATTTGTTTGCTTATGTTGGGTGGTGGAGGGTTACACGATAAATTTAGCCATTTTATTACGTGGTCTAACCCCTTAGAAAGCTATTATGAATCTTATTTTTATTACTTGGACACGATATTTTTTGTTAATTACTGAAATATTTAACTTTGAAAATAGATTGGGATAGAACAGCTCGTTTGTAAGCCTGCCCATGGTGTAAATTAACCCATACATAGCAAACAGGTAATTAGAAGTATACAAACATTTTAAATCTATAACTGTGTGTATTTTATAATTACACTTACATATTAGTTGCACACGTATATTTACCAGTATCAAAGCAACCACATTGCTTTGCGTTATGCCCTCAAAACTGTTTAGAACAGTGAACAAATAGGCTGTGTACTCGCTGCAAAACGTTATTACCGAATACATTTGGTGAAAATGTATGTAAAAAACGTTATTATACGTTCGGTTTATATCTGTATTATAGCCAAGATTTGAAAAGTGTCATTACATAAACAGTACAGTAAAATACAGAAATTAAGTCTTTAATTAATTATTGTTCCAGAAATCGCCATTGTAAAATAGGAAATTAATATCAACAAGCTCAGAACTTGTTAAATAAAGGATATTGATGTATTATTTTACGTACAAGACTATAGAAAAGCATTTGAAATTCATGAGGGTCTGTTGTAAATTTCGTAGAAACACGGGTTGAAATTTATTTACAGTACCAACGTTCCCATTACCTCTTTTTTTTAAATAAAATATGAAATCACGTTGGACAATAAGAGACTTTATTAGCTTATGCATGTAATGGTGTCCCCTGAAATTCAATCAGTTGTGATTTGGGGTCATGATTTTATTTGGTTATTTTTGTTCTGTGTCTGGAATTAATGTTGCCTGGAGAATTTAAGTAACCCATTTACAAAAAATACACAAACATACAATAATCTATTTTTACACGCACAATTAAATGAATGTATTCTGAGTGTAAGAATGGATTTTCATCGACGAATTGATTATAATTACATGCCTATTATGCTATTTTAGTGCATTAATTTGCAGTCTAGCTAGTAATAGACCTGCTTGTACTACTTAACTCAGAGATTTGAGGACCTGTAACCCACGGGCCAGATACAATCGGTCAATGACTTGCTTTTATGCAGTCTGTGGCCACATGGGGCCATATAAAGCTGACCACTTCAAAACGGCCTGCAAACGATATCCAGTCATCACTGCAAGCTTCTTAGCAGCACTAGAATAGAACATTTTTAGACCTAGCAATAGTGTATATTATGTTTGCACAGTTGGTCAACTGTTGTTTCTCGAGTTATATGGAGCACAAAGTAAATGTATACAGTATTGGCATGATCAAAATTTAGCATTAACTAATGCTTGGTTGCCTGCAAAAAGAATATGAAAGTCCGATTTGGCCCTCAGTAAGGAAAAGTGCCCCCACCCCTGGTTTTAAGGGGTTAGTTGTTGCAGTGATGGTGATTGTATCGGTGTGTGATGTGGCAGGGCGCGCTGGCGAAATTTCTATCTGAGGGAGGCAAGCGTTCTGTCCCAGACCCGCCGTCCACTCTCCCGCCACCATGTTCTACGCACACTTTGTGCTCAGCAAGCGGGGGCCGCTGGCCAAGATCTGGCTGGCCGCCCACTGGGACAAGAAGCTGACCAAGGCTCACGTGTTTGAATGCAACCTCGAGAGCAGTGTTGAGAGCATCATCTCACCGAAGGTTCGCCCTGATGTCATGTGACCTTTCCCCTATAATTTTTGTGAGCTCTATGCTCATTCGGTAAGGATGTGTGACTGATGTGGGGGTTATGGTTAATATTAACTTTTTGGACAATTCGTGAAGCCCACTGATCTGAGCACTGTTCCCTTGTTATTGTTCACAATAGTAGTCCATGCTGAGTTGGTCTCAAAATTGGCATATCAGTTGACTACTAGGGGGAGCGGCGAGCATATTTGTCCATTTTTTGTTACATTAAGCATTTTAATTTTCTTTACGGAATGGAAAATTACTTTTGTGACAGTAGCTAGCAATGATTGCCAATGACGATAGCCCTGAACTTAAATTGTTCTGGCTTATTTATTTGTCCTCATGCCGCAGGTGAAAATGGCGTTGCGTACGTCTGGCCATTTGCTGCTGGGTGTTGTGCGGATTTACAGCCGGAAGGCTAAGTACCTCCTCGCCGACTGCAATGAAGCCTTCGTTAAAATCAAGATGGCCTTCCGGCCTGGTGAGGAAATTGCTCTGTTCCCTGTTTGTCCGCAAACTGAAGAGCACGGTATTGGGTTGGTCCTAGGGCGCCATGCTGATGAGATGTTAAATACCTTGCCTTGATCGGCAGGTCATGGGTTAGATCCCGACACTTGACACCTGTATATTTGGAGTTCGCATGTTCTCCCCGCGGTTGCGTTTTCTTTTTTCGTGGTGCTCCAGTTTTTCCCTTCACAATTATAAACATGCATTTAGAATATTTGGCTGCAATTAATTTGTACATGATGAGCCATTTCGTTGAGCTATCATTTGTAGCAAGGTCGCTTCTGAGAAAGAGCTATATAGCTCAGTGGACCTTACCTGACACGACAAAATTAAGTCCTTTGCCACGTGCATTCTCAAATGTTCCTGGCACTAGCTAGTGCAGAGGGTGCTATGTCTTGAATTGTGCACGGGCGTATAAGCTGTTGGTTTTGTTTAAATGCATGTTTACAAGTCATGTGTTATAGATGTCTGTGGGGTATGATGTATGTGTATGGGATATGTAATTTTGTACGTATATGTGTGCAGGTGTTGTGGACCTTCCTGAGGAAAACAGAGAGGCTGCTTACAATGCGATCACACTGCCTGAGGAGTTCCATGACTTCGACCAGCCTCTGCCTGACCTCGGGTACGCTTGAATAACTGTTCCTACCTCATTGTGTCTGTCTTTGTATGTGTGTGGAAAGCAGCGATGCAGTGGTTAACACACTGCGCAAATACCCCGGCAGTTTATTTAGTATGGACCTGTCTTGGGTCTCATCTAGGTCAGCTTGGCCTTAAATGAGTAGTGCAGTGGGTGAACGTCAGGACTGGGTAGACCAAGGCGGCCTGGTGTTTTGCTATACCCCTGCTGGCTTTAGTTGGTGCTCGAGAACAGGACTTGCCCATTTCGCCTGGCTTTCGAGGGTGTCTTTGTCCATGTGTAGTGACATGAATTAGCAATGTAGCAACATTGCGCTGGCGGGGAAGGGGATCTGCGGCTTACAGCAGCCCTGACGTCAGCAGGCCAGGTGATACACCAGAGGGGATATCTGGGGGAAAGGTTACAGAAGGGGCACTTGGGGGAAGCCCGGGAACCCGCTTGGAGGTTCTGGAGAGGGGGTGTGGCCGGGGCGGAACGGGGCCACACTGGGAGCATAAAAGTGGGCTCTGAGCAAGAGCTCAGGGCTGTCGTTTGAAGTGGGATCCCCGGCGTGCTGTTGAAGATCAATCATCGCCATCGTCGCTGTCGTCTTCACTCGATATTGCGCTGCTAGACGGTAGTTGGCTGTCTCGGTTCAGTGCCGTCCGTGTTAGACTGCTAGTGTTGTGTATAGGCTAGCAACCCACGTAGAGTTGTGTATAAACGAGCGACAGAAGAGTGTACCAGCGTAGGGTGTGTATTGCGCAAAGGATGCTCGGTTAAATAAAATAAGTGCCTCCAAGACTTGGCGTCTCCGAGTTAAGTCACTACACATGTATGTGTAAGTGTCTGTTTATACCCGCTTGTCTTAGTATGTATGAGTGTATCCATTGATATGCTCCCTACGTGGTCCCTAACATCAGTGGCTCATAACACATTTGAGATTAAGGGAAGGAGATCCACGGTATATTTCCCTGTGTGATTGTGTTCTGTAACATGCCCTGTGGCTAAAGCTGTTGAGTGCAGTGTATGTAAGTACGGAACACTGATCAATGTGCATGCCGCGTGTAGGGACATTGATGTGGCACAGCAATTCACGCTGAACCAGAGCCGCTTGGAGGAGATCACCATGCGAGAGGATGTGGGGACGCTGCAGGTCTTGCAGGATGAAGGTTATGGTAAGGCGACCATGCTTGCCCCATGGCCCTTAAACATTTTTTGTCTTTTCCCCACTGTTTTATCCAAATGTTGTCTTCCGTTTCATGTCACGAGACAAATGATGCATTTGCATTCTGGCAGAGCAGTGAAACCCATTGTGTTAAAGAACAACCCATAGAAGTGTATACTACAGAGTTACCACGAAGATCCTTTAAGTGGTCTCTAGTTCAAACTAGAGGCCACGAAGATGCCAGTTTATCACAAGTGGCTGCCTGGTTTCGAGTGACCATTGCCAGCTGAGTGCTTTTACCACTGAGCCACCCGACCACCGGAGGCAAATGCCAGTAGCACCACTAATCCCTGACACCCCCCTCACCCCAGCTGGATTTGGCGTGGATGAAGATGAACCTGAGATCGAGCGCCACGGCAATTCCGCGCTGGGCGAAGACATGCTGGTGAGCATCACTGGTTCGAGCCTGTTGTTCGACGCCGAGCAAAGTCGTGCCGACGTGGTCAGTCCCGGCAGAGAGGTTGTCATCGCTGGTGGCATCAATGTGGAGAAACCACCACCCACTGCGCCCGACCTGGACCCGTTGGAGTTCACAGAGGAGCCTTGCGGGCAAGGCAACGATGGTTTTGGTGACGAGGATGGCATTCTGGGTGAGACGGCGTGCACAGTTTATTTTGCAGTTACTGTGTTGTGGTTACTACGCTGTTACTCTGCGACTCAAAAAGTCGAAGCTAGCTTAGAGTTTGCCTGGGTGAACTAACTGAAAAATATCTGTATGAAAAGGCTGATGGATTAATGTGTTTTTTCAACGTATTTTTTTCTTGGATTAACATACCCTTGTTTGTTTATTAATTCTATTTTCCATTATACAATGTGGTTTTGAATTAATGGCAAACAACAGTCAAGCGTGGCGAAGTATGGCCAGATATCCCCCACGACCCATACGATGTCGGTAGGCCCTCATTCAACAGAGGATTGAGAAAGGGCTGGCCATGTACATATGTACTAGTGTGAAAATACGTGGTTGATTGAGTTTTTAACTTGGAGGGAAGTAACAGAGAGGCGAGCGGAGGGACAAAACTGCAATTGAGTAGATTTTTGGGGGAGATGAAAGTCAAGAGGTTCAAAAGAGGAATGGTAATAGGCCTGGACTTAAAACAGGAAGTAGTCACCATTAGGAGATTCAGACAGCAGGGGCAGCAGACTGAATGGCCATCCATCAGATAAACATTGAGTGGGTGTCAGTTCAATACCTTAGAAAATTCGGTGGCCAGGTTTCTCTGGTGCTGGCTGCACCACCCCCTCATCTTATCTACCTTGTTTAATAGGTGCTTGCTAACAGCATTTGTGCGTGGTGCGCGCGTGCAGTGGATACCCTCCTGCGTAACGAGCCTGGAATTTTCGACGATCCGGCTATCAGGGCCTCGGAGGACGACGTGGGGCTGCCCATTCATGGCCCCAACGATGACGATGATGTGGATGATGACGATGATGGTAATGCATTTCTTGCTTAGTTCATTTAGTCTTGAAAGTGATTGTATTGATTGTTTTGATTGATGATAGTATTCTGTTGTTTTGTTTAGTGTTGCGTTTATTGCATTGATAATATATTTAGTTTATTTTACAATACTGTGATTGTTGCACTGAATGTGTTGTGGTGATTGTACTGTCTTTTGTATTATATTTTATGCATTTTTATTGTTTTGCTTAGATTGTATTGTGTTGATTGTGCTTTGTCAGTTACATTTAATTGATAACACTAGATTACTTGCATATTATATGATTTAGATTGTAATTACCACCACTACTCCCCTGTGCCTCAGTAGTCGGACCCATGAGCCCCGTGTCTGATGACGCGGCGGAGCCTGTGCCTACGCTGGCCGAACAAACCACACTGGTGCCCAACGAGCGCGAGGCCTTCGCTCTGGAACCCATCGACATCACGGGTAAATCACTAACCGTCACTCATCATGTGACATACTGCTGCCTTATTCCACCGCCCCTTTTCCTCCAGCACAGATGTGTACTGCTTTTGCTCCACAATTATTGGGGGACCACAACTATCCAGGTGTTAGTGAATAATTTGGATAGAAGTGGAATCAGAAATTAAGTAACTGATGTTATTAAATGTGATGTGGAATTAAATATAGGAATCTCGAAAGCATTCATCATTGTGCAGGCTTTGTTAATCCACTGCATGAAGGCCTCCATACATTGTTGGTCATTAGAATTGGTTGATCATACTTATCACACTGGGCAGTTCATATTGGTGAGAGGGGGGACCAGGACTGGTTTAGATGTCACTTACCACTAATGTTTACCTGTGACCAGGAAATGAACACGGAACACTGGGTTTAAAGTGTAGTGCACTGAATATTGTGCCCCCCCCCCCACATACATGAACACACATTACTACAAAGACACAGTCATCATTAGCATTACCTTATATGTGAAAATTGGGTAATGTTTCAGCAAAGGTCCTTATTTATAGTAAACGCAACATAGAATGATTCATTGTCTTATTGTTGAAGATCACACTCGGGATTGGATTTTTACCTGGTAGATGGTGCTGTCATAAAAGTGCTTGACTGAAAATAACATTTAAAACTGGGTTGGCTGGGGAGTTGATTCCGTTCAATTGTTATTCCTGATCAATGACTCCATTGGAAAGACTGGCCCTTGCCACATGCTCAGAGCTTCAGATAAAATGTAGTGCCACCCCATGCTTATTCATAAAAATATTTAATATGCATAACATGTCCCTGACTGCACCCCCATCCCCTGCCACCAACTATGTTGCACGCAGTCAAGGAGATCAAGGCAAAGCGGAAGCGCAAGCTGATTGTGGATAGTCTGAAGGAGCTGGACAGTAAGACTATCCGCTCACAGCTCAGTGACTACTCGGACATCCTGACGACACTCGACCTGGCACCGCCTACCAAGAAGCTCATGATGTGGAAGGAGAGCGGTGGAGTCGAGAAGCTCTTCTCTCTGCCTGCGCAGCCACTATGGAACAGCCAGCTGCTCAAGGTGACCTGGGGATGAGAGTCCTGGTAAAGGGCAATGTGGGGCTGGGAGACCTAGGAAAGGGTGGCCTGATAAAGAATTAGCTGTGAAAAGGTGAAATAAGCCAGTGAGCTTGGACAGTTTTGGGGCAATGAGATCTGGAAAAAGGTTCTCTTTGTTGGAATGGTCTACTTGGGTAGACCTGGGAAAAGGTGAGCTAGGGAAATTAAACCCAAGCAAGGATGACATGGGGATGTCGTATGAGAGGTTGACTTACCTGGAAAAGTTTTGCTTTGGGAAATGGTTAGAAAGGGAATAGGGATTTAGGAAAACGTTATGTGGTGCAGAATTAGTTGGATCTGGGAGACGTGAAGTCGAATTAGCAATATTCGGGTGGTCAAGGAAAAGTTTATAAACAACCTTGATGCAGCCAGCCATGGAGGCAAACTACCCCTTAGCACAGCTTAATATAATTCTGTCTAATGGATGTGTTGAGATATAGCCTTGAAGATTATTTGACAGCCCTGACCCCTACCACCTTTATGTCTTGAGCAGCTATTTTCACGCTGCCTGGCGCCGGTGGTGGCGGAGGAGCTGCGTAAGAGGAGACAGGGAGGCGAGGCTGACGCGTTGGAGGAGCTCATGAGAGAGTGCGAGAACCCTGAGGTCCCGCGACATGGACACCACATCATCGGTATGGTGGTGTCGCAGACACAAGGCATGGGTAGACACAGACACACAGGAGATATGGCACAGGGGAATGTGGCAAGTGAAGATAATCATGGGGACATTGTACAAAGAGGAGACACTACACTGGGAAATTACAATCCTTGAAGTGTAACCTTATGGCAAGATCAGTGACTAACTCGGCACATCACCTCTGTCTGTAAATCTCTGTATCCATATCGATGTCTGCGTGGATGTTCCTGTCTCTGAAAGTTTGTTTTAATGTGCCCGTGTCTCTTCATAAGCCTTTGTCTCGGTGCTTGTATCTACGTGCTATTGTATGCGAGTCTGTTTCTGCTTGGCCAGGTGTCTATATTCATGTGTCCACAAGCTTATGAACCTCTGTATGTTCATAAGCGCCTCTGTATATGCTTGTGTCTCTATGTAACCTTGTGTCTGCTTGCCTGTGCGTGTGTCAGCGTGGTATGCGCATACCCGTGTTTAAGTTCATGTCTTCCCGTGTGTCAAGACGAGGTGATTGCGGAGGAGCCAAGTCGCCTGCAGGAGTCTACACTGGTGGTGGAGGGGTCGCACGCCAGCATGGATGACAAGGGAACTGCCCCCCAGCAGCAGCCCCTGGCACCACCCGCCACACCCTCGCACGGCAAGGGGGTCAAGCGCAAGGCCAGTGACCTCTCTGCACCAGACCTGGCGCCACCCGCCACCCCGCAGCCTGAGCTGCCACCGCCGCCACAGCACACGCCACAGACGCCGCAGGATGTGCCGCCACCGCCAGAATTCATGGAGCCCATGCTTGTGAGTGATGTACACCTGTTATTAAAAGAGGCAATGCAAAAACACATACATGGGTCTTACCTGATCAGGACAGACTTAGACTGCATGTTCCAGGCTGTCTGATAAAAGATAGAAGCTTAATTAATAAGAAAAGAAATAAAAAAAATTGTCAAGCATTTTGTCATGGCACTATAGTGACATCAGTTATGCGACTCCATACATCAATGCTGTGATAACACAAGTTAACTTAAAACTTACGCCTTTTTTATTTGCTAAAAAAATATATTTTTTTATCAGGTAAGGCCCACTAAACTGTATGGCTCTTTTTCAGAAGCGACCTGGACACAAATTAGAGGCAAATACTGTAAATACATGTTTCTAAATGTGGAGGGAAAAACCGGAGGACCTGGAGAAAAATAAACACGACCATGGAGATAACATGCAATCTCCAAATAAACAGGCATCAGGGTCAGGATCGAACCCACTACCTCCTGTATACCAGGCAAGGTAGTTAGCATTTTGCCACCGTGGTGCCCTAGTACTGTAAATTACAGCCCTTTGTCAATTCACTGCAGTATGAAGGCCTCTCAACACTTTTATTTATGGGTGTTGTTTGACCATACTTCACCAACAGTGTGTTTTGGTGAATATGGGGGACCAGTGCAGGTTAAGATATCACTCGCCACTCATGTTAGCCGTGGCCGGGAATCGAACTCAGATCACCCTGGTTTGATAGCGTATTGCTCTAACTACTGCATGATTTTTCACCCCCCTTTCTCCCTCACTACCTCCCTTGAGAGAGTGCTGTGACAGAGCACGTGATCATGATTTTTTTTGTATTCTCATAATATTGACGCATCCGATAACCTATTTTCCTTTGACCCGGAAGCCGGACACCACTTTGGAGCCCCCTCCACTGGAGCTGACGATGCTGGACGAGCAGCCGATAGTGCCGGCCAGCCTTGAACAGCCGAGCGAGCAGCCCAGCACCGTCTCCGACATTAGCTTGGCTCTCGATGGGAAAACCAAGGAAAAGACGGGAGAAGAGGAGGAGGAGGAGGAGGTGAGAGCACCCTTTCTTTCCCTCAGAGACACAGCGATTCCCTGATTTATTAGGGATTGGAACGATTTGTTTATTAAGTCACAAGTTAAAATGCATTTTTACACTTGTGATATGTTATTCGAATTGTGTGTGCAAGAATCGATTGTGTTCAATCTATATGTGCCGTAAATATATTTGACCGTTTGCTAGGCCTGTTAAACGAATCACCCCACTCGCGATTCCATGAATTGTCACGGTATGGGGCTATGATTCGACCAAAGAAAACCAACAATTTTTTTACAGTTTAACGCGTAGGCTTTCGCGTCCATTTGGGCCTGCATAGAAGTGAAATTAAACATGTTAAAGTAGCGCTGCAATTGAACACTTACAATGATGCACAAATCAACAGGGCACTGAATGCCAAAACCCAATCAAATTACATGAAAGTTGAAACTGACCAAGTAATTAAAACTATTAAAATACCGTACATTGCGGGAGTAACTGATAAACTAGGCAGACTTTTGGAAAAACCAAACATCCGAGTCAGATTTGGCACAGTCCAAAAACATACATAAACTAATATCTGGTACTAAAGATGTATTACCGAAGCTATCAACAGAAGGTGTGTACCGGATTAATTGCACTTGTGGCAAATGTTATGTTGGGCAGACAGGAAGAATGATCAGCATGAGACGAAAGAACACCAAAGGAATATTAAATACTCCCAAATACAACTGTCGGCAGTGGCAGAACATGCGTGCCAATAAGGACACTACATTTATTTTGATATGGTTGAAGTTCTGTGCAAAACGAGTTACTACTGGCCAAGACTAATTAGAGAATCTATTGAAATTGAGAATTTGTTTTACCGTTCGGATAGCTACAGGCTTAGTGCTGCTTGGAAGCGAATCATCAAATAATACATTGTTGAAATCCGTGCCTATCCAGGTCACCATATGTCAATAGGGATAACCTGTCAAAGACAATAACAGGTACTGCTGTTTTAGTGCACACAAATGATAGGTGGTACAGGAACAATGTGCTTGCATAATGTATTTTGATTTCCATATGAAATAACCCAACCGGCAATGGATACCCATTGTTATTTATATGCATTAATTAATCCCCCCCCCCCCCCCCCCCCCGTCACACGTGAAGGGCTCTCAAGTGATATCACATCTATCCCTGTAAGGAACGAAATAGGAGGATTTCTCCATAAATCTGTCTGTCTGTCTGATGATGCTCGTTGTCGTTACTGCCGGAGCAGCAGCCCTGATTGAGTCGGCGCTCGCGTTTTATCCTGCCCAGCGTGGCGAGGCTCCTCCCTCGGCCCCCCCCCCCGCACTCCTCTGGATTCCCCAGAGGGTTGCTCTGTGCTTTGCCCACAGGTCCAACTGGTAGAATGGGCTGTTACCCCTAATTCCATTGTCTACCAATCCCTCAGTGGCACGCGCTACAGTGACTCATTCAATGTCACTACACTAGTAACGAATTGGCATGCTCTTTTTATTTGAAAAACCTTACTAATTGGCTGGTTTAACGACACATTTATGCGATCTAACCCAGAAAAACCTATATTATGGATATTATGTTAACATTTTAGAGGTTGCCGGGTTCATGTCAATGAGAAAAGTTCTGATTCGTAAAAGTATGCATTTAAACACATGTCTTTCCTACATAATGTCAGAGCACGAACCTTCGGCTGTTGGTAAGGCTAAAATCAAACAGCTTATCTTTTGTGTTTGGTTATGTCAAAGATCATTTAACAATTAGGGTTGGACATTGCAACGTTGCAAAAGCCTTGGTGTTTCCGTATGTTTTTAACGCACCTTTATTTTTTTTTTGCGGGTGTTTTGATAACGTTATATAACTTGACACCGCCTGGGGGTGTCTGCATGTCTTGGAAACAACTTTACATGCTGCGTGTGTCCACAGGAGGTTGGTGATGAGAACCAGGACCAGGAGGAGAAGAGATGGAACAAACGCACACAACAGATGCTGCATGCGCTACAGGTACCCCACGTCACTCACATAACCCACCTGTTTTTGTTGTCTGCCTGCTTCATAGCACCTGCAGCGGTAACGTGTGTATGTTGAACTTATTTCGCACCGTACCTAGCCAACCGTGCTATTTGAAGGTGTAACAATGAGACCACACAGTATAGCGGGTGGCTGATATCACTCTGAGCCAGCACCACAGTGATTTAAGCCTTGGAACTGGATGGCTTTCTCAAAGTGTTCATAATGGCCCTGACAGAGCACTTAGCCTCTGCTGCAACCCCAGGTTTAAGCCTTATGGGTGGGTGTCTTTCTCTTGAACTTTATAACGACTGTCTCACCCTGGGTTCCCATTCAAGATTAACCAGGGTGATTGAGTCTTTTAAATCTTAAATACTGCATATGTTATGCATTAGCTTCATTAGACTGAAAGTGTGTATCATAGCATGCTTGCTATCTTGTTTCACACCAATGTTTGTCAACACTAGTCCAGGGTCGTGATGCATGGAGAGATGACGTGGGGGATAGTTGGAGTGTTAAAATTATCATAATTTCACTTCATAACCTCATCTTGTTGTATTAGACAAATGCCACAGTGCTGTTTTTTTACATCCCGCTTCCACTGGGATAAAACTGGTGTCTCTTACCGCTGCCATTGGGTTTTACTCCCTGCTTGCCCCCCCCCCTCCTTCCACTACACGCAGCGGGTGCTGGCGAAGACGGGCGCCGACTCGGTGAGCTTGCTCGATTTGTGCCGACGGAACAACCGCAAGCAGGCAACGGCGAAGTTCTACAGCTTCCTGGTGCTCAAGAAACAGCAGGCCATCGACTTGCGGCAAGATGCGCCATTTGGCGACATCGTGGCCACGCCCGGCCCACGCTTTCACAACCTGTGACGGCCGCATGCGCGTGCATAGTGGTACCGAGGGGGAGGGATAGGAGGTGGTGGGATGGAGCAACGGGGGGGGGGGGCGGGCAGGGGAGGGGAGGGGGGACGCTACAGCCACCACCACCGCCGCTGTCCCTTTTGTACCGCTCCGTCGTTTGGCACTGAGTGTCAGTCAGAGCGTCTCTTTGCAGTGAGATGCAGCTATTGTATGTGTGTGCACAAGTGTGTGCATATTTGTGTTTGTTTTTTATATTTACATGCACATACTTGTAAACACTCGGTGCTGCCACTGACCCTCTCAAGGAGGTCATGAGTACACTTATTCACCTGTTAATGCTTGCCTCAGCCACGCCTCCTCACCCCCACAGGTAGTTTTCACAGATTGAAATCTCGTTCCCAAGCCCCGTCTTACCTGATGGTGAGAATGGGAGACTTGTAACGGTTTGGGAGGAATTCACTGTGTGTGTATATATATGTACATACACATGTTTACCTGCACATGTGTACAATATGCACTCCGTGTATACACACTGTCCACGCAGTGCATGTACATGCACTCAGTGTAGAGGTGTACACATGTACAGTGTATACACGTGCAGTCTGGTGTAATTATGCACATGTATGGCACGTACATATACACATATACACAGTATCAATATGCGGTGTATGTGTGTATACGCACTGTGTGTGTGCGTGTATATGCTGTGTTTATGGTTTTTTTAATATAAAAATGTTCACTGTCTTAGGGCACATGAGTGCAGCTCTTTAGGTCAATAACATGAATGTTCAAATTGCGATGAAAGCACCAAGTTTAGTGCAGATGCAGTTTAATGTATAGTTTTTTAGTACTGTTATGTTATGACCCTGACAGCTTCACTATACACACTATGACCTTGGGAATTAGTTAATGACTCCTATTCTCTATTTAAATTACGTTGCAAGCTACATCTATCAGATTTGGTGCTTTTGCATTTTGAACTGTTGCCTACACATACTGCAGAAAGGATTATTTTCGTCACTAAATGCCCTCTAGTTGTAACTCCAGGAAAATTTTAATCAAGTTACGTGTCCTGACAGTGAGAAATGATGCAGTGCATAAAATGTACATTTTGTGTTGATAATTATATGTATTAAGAAAGGAATAAAAACATAAAATAAAAAATATGCCAGAAATGTAAAAAATACCATATTTCTATTGGGTGCTGGAATAACAAAGCTGGCTAGCTGAAATGGTGAAGTTTGTGTTTCAGTTAGAGGTATGTTACGTATAAGGTTAGTTATAACAAAGGTAGTGTTGCAAGGGATTTTTTTAAATGAAGGATAGTGTAAAGGGTAGTTCTATCGATACGGATAGGGAAAGCATGCTAATTTTATGGATGTGCTTGTGCAGAGAGGGTTGATGCTTTTTTAAGTGTAGGTATAAGCCAAGCAAACTTAGTGAAGAGATAAATTCACAGAACTGTGCAGCTGAGTTTGAATCTCAGACCATTTATTGATTAATATTTTAGTTATTTATTTTGGTGCCACATTCATCACTGGCGTTGGTAAGAGAACGTCAGCCATTGGTACAGGTAGCTGATCGTTGGGCTGAATAACCCTCCCTGGCCAAGAGGTGTGGCAGCCATTTGATTCCCCTTCGAGATCTCACCACTGCTCGGTGCAGCTCAAGGGATTTCATTGAATGAAAATTTCAGTGCACAATGGTTTTATTTGAATGTTCTAGTTTGTTTTAAGTTAATAATTAACTATTGTGAACTCTTTTTGGAGTGGCTTCCTTTTCTAAAACCTGGTTAAGCCCACATTTACAATAATTGGTTAAATAAATTAGTAAATGTTCATGATTATTTTGATTGCAGAAATATGTGTACTAATAGTGGCCAACTGCCAATGTTTATTTCTCAGTTTTTTTCATGAAATTTGAATTGTGGCATCAACACTGGTTTAACATTTTATTTTTAAAACATCTATTCATATGGTCATAAATAATAATAAATTGAGGGAACTGAAATTAAATTCTAAAAAAAACATCCACAAGTTTCATAGAGGAAATAGATTTTTAAAAATAACCAGAAATGCAGAACCCATTTCGATGTTCCCTAAATATGAAAACCTTTGTATAAAATAAGTTTGTTATATTACCATATGAAACTCAATTATCGCTTGCAAGGGAGATCTGTAAGCTAACTATGCAGTTTAATACAATTTGCAGTATTTCTAAATGTAAGATTTTCCATGTCTTAAAGAAATCCTACATTTGATAATGAAAACGGGACATTTTGTTAATAAATTAGAGTTGCCTATGGCCTCCCAGATCTCCTTTGAAAGACAATCGTTGATATAAATCAGCTCCAACCTGGCTGAATAATGGCCGGTGAGAATCGGAAAGAGTCGTTGGTAGGGTGTGGTCAAATTGGGGGGATTCTTTAGCATTTGGGTCGAGCAAAAAAATTATCACCTTGGATGATCATCATTAGGGCGAGCAGACGAGTGGATTTAAATGGGTTCTGTAGAACTGTCGAGACCCAAAAGTTGTGTAGAAATGTGAACCCATTGAACGATTGCACGTTACAAAACTTGTGGGGTTTGATTGTTGATCTTTCTAAATTTGGATTCATTTACATGTGAAGATATTCTGGGAATACAACCTGATTTGTTAACAAGCATGGTTCTGAAATTGGATTTTAGCAGAAATGTGTAATCCAGTGGTGCGTTTACAAGTCCATCCCTATGTACTAAGGTTTTGGATGTTGGCAAGCCTTAACTCAAAGGCATCCATTGCTTATATCAATAATATCTGTTTAATGTTGTATCAGATGTCACAGACCTTATTCAAATGGACCACTTGTGCAAGTTTATGTTTTTTGGTTTTGACATGGTGTTCGGTTGATAACTCCTTTCTCTAGAACTGCTTTGTGTGTTTAGTTGTCCTTCCCCCGCAGCTGCGATTAGCACGGTGGGCGATGTACGGTGATAACGAAGTTCAACAAAATACGATACAGGACCATACTGCTGAGAGGAATATTAGCCGAACATCATTCCCGCAATCGGGCTTTATTAAAAAATATATATTTTAACCTGTTAGACATTACATTTTAAAAGTCATTCATAACCATTAGGGTTGTTGGTTATGTATTTTAGATCGAGTTACACGCTTTTTTCAGGCTCATGTGTGTGTTATGTTCACGTTTTATATAAAAAAAAAACATTTTATCTACGTTTGCTCACTTGGAAAGTTATACTTTGAACCGTGGGTAAAGATGGCGTTCTTTTATGTTGCATTGTCGAGCTTCTAGTCCTTTCTCTCTTTTACCAAGCTTTGGCATTTGAGTGTAAGCCAGGTAAAGTGATGTTCATGGTGATTGGTAAACGTGTAATAAGAGATGCAGGAAAGTGTAAGGTGGGCTTTAAAAAAAATACATTATCTGGCATCGTTATTTGGTTTACTCCCATAATCTGAAAGTGAAAAATCGCCAGAAACCCATTTGTGAACATTTTCAAAAATAAAAATCAATATGTAGTTATATTTACCCGTTTCATATGATACACAGTCTTCATGGTCTCCCATCTGGTAAAATACATACCTTTTATTAAGGAATTATTTTGGCTGTTCAAGTTAAGTTTTTGCTTAAGTCATGCAAATGTTATGGGGATATTTGGGCATTACACTATTGAGTTAACGTTGTTAAAATGCCAAAAAAAATCAATCATCTTCAGTACAAAAAAAACCTGTGAAACGGTCATGAAATTAGATTCCAGTTAAAAGCAAATATTTAGTCTTGACTTGTTTGCACTTGTGAATGCATGCAAACTCTACGAATTGGTAATACATTGCAATAAAGACAGTTTACTTTAACAACTTACAGGTCATAAACCTTAATAGTTCGGTTTTATTGGATCAATTATAAACTACAAGTGCGAAAAATATGACTGTCTCGCATTTTAAAAGTCACTTCAAATGTTTTGCTACAAATCTGAAGAAAAGTCCCCCCCCCCCCCCCCCCATGTATTTTCACTTTTAATAACGCCAAAAGTGTCCCTCTAAGTCACCACATCGTGGCTGAAACCCGAGCTCCCAGAGCCAATATTCATGACATCAATTTCATTCTTGTTCCCCGTCGCTTTATAGGGGAGTTGGTTGTATGTACATAAAGACATGTTATTAAAATATAAATGATTCATATGTTTGAGTTGATGTAAGTTTAGTTGCTGAGGACGGTGCCCTTTGGCCTTGCGTGTGTTTCCGAGCTGTAAAGGTAGCTGTAATATGAATAACAATAAAACCGTTTTAAATAACATTTGCTTTTTTTTGCTCATTGATTTGCTGCCCAACATCTTCCACAACGTAACGATTCATTGTTATTTCATATTGACGGTAATAATTTTTTGGTAAATATTTCCTGTCGGCAGTTAAACGATTACTCTGCAGAGGGAGACTAAACAATACCAAAAATGTCAAAGCACCCCAACATTTTTTATTGGTGTCAGATCTACACCCGCGGACCTCTTCCATTTTTCTAAACCGCTACTGTCAACAGCTTCATTCCGTGGTCGTGACGTGCGCTACTGCTGGAACCACGTGTTGTTTTCAGCAAAACGTTTGTATCGGGGCAACTTAATTCACATTATATGCCCAGACTCAGGCATTTCCGCTGAACCCCAAAAAATCCCTCCAATGCGTTTGTCTGGCTTCATGAATCGAGGCGTAAATCACGTTGAACAGTAATGGTGCCTTATTTTGTATGAGCCGCAGGTACATATCTTGAATCCTCGCTGCGCTTTTGGCTATTTAAGTCTAAGGTACAAACAATGAACACTTGAGAGTGCTTAAATCTGGCTGAGCCCCCGGTAAAACGAACCATTAAGATGCCTTAATCTTGCTCATTGAGCATCAGACACTGATGCCGAAGGTCACGATCTCGTTCCACGAACAAAGTTACACAGCGATGGGAGCGGTGGTGTGTGTGGTTAGCACACTGCGCTATGAACCAATGTAGTCTGATGTGGTGTTGTGTGGTTAGCACACTGCGTTATGAACCAATGTAGTCTGTACTACTGAGCTCGATTCTCGGACATGGCTAAACATCAGCTGCGGAGAGACTACTGAACCTCACCGTTCAACACAACCCGCACCGACCAACGGGGTGAAGTATAACAACCAAAAAAACACCCCCCAATCTCATCCATGATCAGCGCGGTGTGGAAGAGAGAGATAGAGGGAGCCCTTCATCCAGCAGTTGCCATTCATTGACAAAGCGGTGCCACGTTACCGCAAATTCCTTATCGTTTTCAAATCAGTCAAATTGGCATCGGACGATTGACGCGCCGTGCATGTGCGCGTGTGTACGCGCACTGCACTGTGGGAGGGAGGGTCGCAGACTTCCGGTACAGTCCCGTACAGTGAAGTGCATCTCCGTGTCGCTCGCAGCGGAGTGGTGCCGGGCCGCGGGCTCCTTCCGTGATGATCGCCTCGAATTGGCGTCGCGAGCGTTGAAGTGTGCGTCTATTTATCTGTGTTTATTATCGATAAAGAACAAGAAGCGGCGGGGGTAGGGGGGGTAGTAGAAGAAGCTGGTGAGGAAGAGAACGCGAGTTCTGTATGCGGCGTCTCCATGGCGCTTAGGGAGCTCAAGGTTTGCCTGCTCGGGGTGAGTTGCCGGGGTCCAGTGGTTTGTTGAAGTATGATTGTGTGTGTGTGCGTGGGTATGACTGTGTGTATGTGCGAAGTATGACTGTGTGTGTGTGCGAAGTATGAGTGTGTGTGTGTGTGAAGTATGACTGTGTGTATGTGTGAAGTATGATTGTGTGTATGTGCGTGGGTATGACTGTGTGTATGTGCGAAGTATGACTGTGTGTGCGTGGGTATGACTGTGTGTATGTGCGAAGTATGACTGTGTGTAGTGTGCGAAGTATGACTGTGTGTGTGTGCGAAGTATGACTGTGTGTATGTGTGAAGTATGATTGTGTGTATGTGCGTGGGTATGACTGTGTATGTGCGAAGTATGACTGTGTGTGTGCGAAGTATGATTGTGTGTATGTGTGAAGTATGATTGTGTGTATGTGTGAAGTATGATTGTGTGTATGTGCGAAGTATGATTGTGTGTATGTGCGAAGTATGACTGTGTGTGTGTGCGAAGTATGATCGTGTGTATGTGTGAAGTATGACTGTGTGTATGTGTGAAGTATGATTGTGTGTATGTGCGAAGTATGATTGTGTGTATGTGCGAAGTATGACTGTGTGTATGTGCGAAGTATGATTGTGTGTATGTGTGAAGTGTGAGTGTGTGTATGTGCGAAGTATGACTGTGTACGAAGTATGATTGTGTGTATGTGTGAAGTGTGAGTGTGTGTATGTGCGAAGTATGACTGTGTGTATGTGCGAAGTATGATTGTATGTGCGAAGTATGACTGTGTGTATGTGCGAAGTATGACTGTGTGTGTGTGAAGTATGACTGTGTGTGTGAAGTATGACTGTGTGTATGTGCGAAGTATGACTGTGTGTGTGTACGAAGTATGACTGTGTGTATGTGTGAAGTATGACTGTGTGTGTGTACGAAGTATGACTGTGTGTATGTGTGAAGTATGACTGTGTGTATGTGCGAAGTATGACTGTGTGTGTGTACGAAGTATGACTGTGTGTATGTGCGAAGTGTGATTGTGTGTATGTGCGAAGTATGACTGTGTGTATGTGTGAAGTATGACTGTGTGTATGTGCGAAGTATGACTGTGTGTGTGTGCGTGAAGTATGACTGTGTGTGTGTGCGAAGTATGACTGTGTGTATGTACGAAGTATGATTGTGTGTGTGTGTGAAGTATGACTGTGTGTATGTGTGAAGTATGATTGTGTGTATGTGTGAAGTATGACTGTGTGTGTGTGCGAAGTATGATTGTGTGTATGTGTGAAGTATGACTGTGTGTATGTACGAAGTATGACTGTGTGTGTGTGCGAAGTATGACTGTGTGTATGTGCGAAGTATGATCGTGTGTATGTGCGAAGTATGACTGTGTGTATGTGTGAAGTATGATTGTGTGTATGTGTGAAGTATGACTGTGTGTATGTGCGAAGTATGATTGTGTGTATGTGTGAAGTATAATTGTGTGTATGTGCGAAGTATGACTGTGTGTATGTGCGAAGTATGACTGTGTGTATGTGCGAAGTATGACTGTGTGTGTGCGAAGTATGACTGTGTGTGTGTACGAAGTATGATTGTGTGTGTGTGTGAAGTATGATTGTGTGTATGTGCGAAGTATGAGTGTGTGTGTGAAGTATGACTGTGTGTATGTGTGAAGTATGACTGTGTGTATGTGCGAAGTATGACTGTGTGTATGTGCGAAGTATGAGTGTGTGTATGTGTGAAGTATGACTGTGTGTATGTGCGAAGTATGAGTGTGTGTATGTGTGAAGTATGATCGTGTGTATGTGTGAAGTATGACTGTGTGTATGTGCGAAGTATGACTGTGTGTGTGTGCGAAGTATGACTGTGTGTATGTGCGAGGGTATGACTGTATGTGCGAAGTATGACTGTGTGTATGTGTGAAGTATGATTGTGTGTGTGTGTGAAGTATGATTGTGTGTGTGTGAAGTATGATTGTGTGTGTGTGTGAAGTATGATTGTGTGTATGTGCGTGGGTATGATTGTGTGTATGTGCGAAGTATGATCGTGTGTATGTGCGAAGTATGACTGTGTGTATGTACGAAGTATGACTGTGTATGTACGAAGTATGACTGTGTGTATGTGTGAAGTATGATTGTGTGTGTGTGAAGTATGATTGTGTGTATGTGCGTGGGTATGATTGTGTGTATGTGTGAAGTATGATTGTGTGTATGTGCGAAGTATGATTCTGTGTATGTGCGAGGGTATGACTGTATGTGCGTGGGTATGATTGTGTGTATGTACGAAGTATGACTGTGTGTAGGTGTGAAGTATGACTGTGTGTAGGTGCGTGGGTATGATCGTGTGTATGTGTGAAGTATGATTGTGTGTGTGTGTGAAGTATGACTGTGTGTATGTGCGAAGTATGATTGTATGTGCGAAGTATGACTGTGTGTATGTGTGAAGTATGATTGTATGTGCGAAGTATGATTGTGTGTATGTGCGTGGGTATGATTGTGTATGTGTGAAGTATGACTGTGTGTGTGTGCGAAGTATGACTGTGTGTATGTGCGAAGTATGATTGTGGGTATGATTGTGTGTATGTGCGAAGTATGATTGTGTGTATGTGTGAAGTATGATTGTGTGTATGTGCGTGGGTATGACTGTATGTATGTGTGAAGTATTATCGTGTGTATGTGCGTGGGTGCATGTGTATAGCTGTGTGTACAAGTAGTGTTGTGGGAAGCGGTCGTGCACTGTGGCTAGCGACCTGGGCTACCGTGTCTTGGGGTCTCCCCTAGGTCGACTCGACCTCAAATGAGTGCCCGTTTGCGATGATGGTGGTGGTGTTGTTGGTGTGTCAGCAACCCCCACTGAAGAGAACAGCAACAACGCCGACTGGGCGTGGTGCTGGCCGTGCCGGCCTTGGTAGCTGATCGCCAACATCACTTGCTCCGGCATTCTGCTGTTAAAGGGCTACACGAGGCATATTTGGTTTGTAAGTCGCATGGCTGAATCGGTGCTTGTAGGTGAGAATTAAAAGTTTATCTGTTCGGGGTGAGTGGTCAAGTGTGGCGGCCTTCATAGGCGAGCGAACAGCAGCTTAATGGCCTTAATTGGTGCTCGCTAACAGCACTTTCCACGACGTTCCTGTTAAAATCAACACGGAGGATCTTTATATTTTGATTTAAAGCTTTCGTGATTGCAGGGATTCATCTTCTTGGTTCTTTCGGTAAAGTCACGTAGAAGGGAAGTAATAAAATAATAAAAAGAAAACATAATAAAATTATTCTCACAAATTTTAGTATGTTTTATTTTTATTATAATAAAAAGAAAACATAATAAAATTATTCTCACAAATTTTATTATGTTTTATTTTTATTATTTTATTACTTCCCTTCTACGTGACTTTACCGAAAGAACCAAGAAGAGGATCTTTATCTTTGTGCGTGTGTGGTCATATGCTCGTGTGCATTAGACTCGTGTGGTTATGCGAGTGATGTGTTGTTGTTGTTGTTGACGCAGTACGTGGTTGAGCGTGAGAGTTGAAGGTTTGACTGCTCTGGGTGGGTTCGGTCGAGGATTCAAAATAGTGGTGAAGTATGGTTATTTGTGTGCGATTGTGTGGTGGTGTGTTGTGTGTGTGTGTTTGGTTGTGCTCTATTTCGGCATGCTTATGTGCTCGCTCACAGGCTTTGCTTCAACAACCGGTGTATTCTACACAGGGGATCTGTGTCTGTGTGTGGTTGTGGGTGTGTGCGGTTTCGTGGTGTCGCGAATTGTTTTTGTAATGTGTGCGTTTAGGTGTCCAGTTTATCTGTAGTGTGGTAAGGTTTGATTCCTGGCCACAGCTTACATCAGTGGTGAGCGCTATCTGATCGGTGCTGGGCCTCCGCTAGCCTGACTCGGCCTTAAATTAGTACCTGGTGCAGATTGTAATAATACACATTGGGAAGATAAAGGCGATCGGGAGTAGTTCTAGCGTCTGGTTTTGTATACGAGTCTGTAATCATCTCATTCAATCAAATCATAACACCTGGGCCTGTCCCCGTGGCCTGTCAGCGAGCCTTCCTCACTTCACGTGGCCTCGAGGTGTACCTAGCCTGGCACAAACGCCGTGTTTCACGTCATCGCCACTTAATGACGAATTGAAGTTGTAGTTTATTTAAGTGGCTATGTGGTTGTTTGGTTGACTCGTTTATAGTATGTGTAGCTATTAGTCTGTAGACATGGATGAGAGTGAGATTGTGGGCCCCTTACGTGATAAATGTGATTGTGGGATAGTGTGATTTTTTTAAGTGTGTGTGAATCTGCTTTTATATGAGGTCATGTTGGTGAATGTGTGTATATAGGCGAGTGTGGTAAATAATGTACGTTATGTGTCGGTGGGGAGTTGGAGTGGTTGTGTATGATTGTGGATAAGTGGTTATATGGACGAGCGCAATTATAACATTACACGTTTAAGTAGGCAAGTATGTGGCTTTGAGCATGTGGATGCGTGGCCATAATTACACTAATTGACATTCAAATGGAACGCTCTCTTCTTACCCAGGCTATCAGTCTAAACCGTTATTACTCTAAGGTTTTTTCGGTAAAGTCACATAGGTAAAAAAAGAATAAAAGTAAGATTTATATATATTTTTTTTATTAATTTTAATTTTATTATTTCTTACCTACGTGACTTTACCGAAAAAACCTAAGAGTATGAATCCTTGCAGTCACGAAAGCTTCAAATCTAAACCGTTATTGTTGATGGTGTTTGCAATTTTTTGTTGTGCCACGTGATCCAGGATACCGGGGTGGGCAAGTCAAGCATCGTGTGCCGCTTCGTTCAGGACAACTTTGATCCCAACATCAACCCAACCATCGGGTGCGTCGTGGCTGGCTCCATGACTCAATACTTCCACAGCCTCCAGCCGCCACCCCCCCCCCCCGTCTCCCTTCCCCCAGCTTCCTGCCCCGTTGGTTGAGTTGTGTTATTCTGCTTTCCTGGCTCTTAATTGGACTTGCGTGGAGTTTCGTGGAACGTAGAGGTGCCAGCGTATGGAAGAGGAAACGTTTTTCCAGACGGAATATTTCCTTGTGTATGCAGTGTGTTTCCGATTTGCAAAAAGTACTTTCTTGAATAAATACATTATTTGGCAATTATTAATAGAACGGCAGCTCATACTGTATGAAAATGAGGAGCCTAATGTATTTTTTTGGAATGTTGTGTAAAGATCTATTTTTCTCAAATTTATTTCACCCGTGCTGTTGATATCATTCAATGAGGTTAAGATAATCCAATTGAAAATATCATAGTGCAGGATAGCGCATGTGTCAGAGAATGGCCGCATAACAGACTTCTCATGAAATAATCCTTCAGGTGGCCTTTATCCTTTTCACGGTAGGGGGGGATACTTTGCCATACGCCATTTAATATGTCAGCATCACAGCCAAACAGTTTGTTTTTACTAACGAGAAGTTAAGGCAGTCAAGTTAAAATGTTTTGATTTTCTATGCAACAATTGGTGCCCCAGTTGAGACAAATCAACTCGCTACTTCAGCACCTGGTTTCATCACGGGCTACTTTGCCATACGCTCTTTAATATGTCAGCATCACAGCCAAACAGTTTGTTTTTACTAACGAGAAGCTAAGGCAGTCAAGTTAAAATGTTTTGATTTTCTATGCAACAATTGGTGGCCCAGTTGAGACAAATCAACTCGCTACGTCAGCACCTGGTTTCATCACGGGCTACTGAATCCCAAAATTTTTAACCCAGAATCTCTGCAGAGGGAGCCTAATGACCTCCAAGCCACCGGCCAGGCCCAACACCTTGGGAGTTTTTAAGATGAAGCCTTGGATGAATAATGTCATGGGCCTGAAACTTGTGACATTGTCACTGAAAGGATTAATATACCCATTTGTGGTTTCTCTGCCTTCAGGGCATCCTTCATGACCAAGACGGTGCCCCAAGGGAACGAGGTTCACAAGTATCTCATATGGGACACAGCTGGGCAGGAGCGTGTGAGTATACCCACTCGCATACATCAATCCAATGTATAACAAGCAGAATGTTGGGACAGGGGCTTCTAGCGAGCACCTGTTAAGGCTTTAGAGTGCATGAGAGAGGGTCGTGGGGCCAAAATCGAGCCTCACTGATGATGTATGCACATTGCACCAAGTATTTATTTCAGGCTGAATCAACCTAATTGAGGATGAACTGGTTTAGGTGCCACTTGTCCAATGAAGTTAGTAGTCACCGTTGGGAATCGAACCCCTGGCAGCTGAGTTTTTAGTGCAGTCATATCACATGAGCACATGTTTACTTGACTACATGGGACGCATGCTTCAGCCTCCCCCTAGGATCCCTTGGGACTTGTTGGTGTTGCCCTCGCTGCCCTGGCTGCCCTGGGCTCATTGTTGTTGGTCCTGGGCCCTGTTTGGTTCATTACAGTGATTCTGCGACAGTGTCTCTCCCTGCCCTGTCACCCCCACCCTACTTATAACTGTCTTGAAATGTGAATGCATATCGACACTGCGTACACGTGTAGTGGGTTCACTTGAAGGACACAGAAATTCAGGAAGCTATACGTTTATTCTACGACCACAACGGGGTGACTACATAACCAGTCACCAAAACGGGGTAACTATATAAACGGGTCAAGTCAGTCGGCACACTGCCTGACCCACGATGCCGAGCACGAAGACCGGAGACCGAGGAGAAGATGTAACACGGCGGGTTCCATTCCAGCAGACAGCCCCGATGGGACCCCGGGACCTCCCTGTTATGCCCCCCAGCGTGGCCTGGCTCCACCCTCGGCCACGCCCCCTTCTGGAACTTCCCAGAAGATTCTGGGCCAGTACTACCACATGTCCCTTCTGTCACCTTTGGCCCACATCCTTACCCTGTCCTATCACGTGCCCTTGCCTGCCAATCGAGCTACTACATCCTCAAATGCCCCCTACTCTGCCAGCCCCCAGAATGGATGCTCCCCTGGAGACCTCTTCCATGACATCGTGTCCTCTGCTGGCAGAGGGCTACTACACATGCAATTCCTCTCTCTGTCAGGTAGATGGCGCTAGGCGCCGTAGTGACCCATTATATATCACTACACACGTGTTGTGGGTTGAATAACTAGAAGAAGGCTTCTCTGAGGCAACACAGTTTTTATTTAACAATTAGCACCTAACACAGAGAGGTAACGGCCCCCTCACACCCGATACACTATGGAGGTTACTCTCCAGACTACTACGCCTCTCACTGGATAATCTACGATTCCTCCGCGAGTGAAGCTTGAATCTTCACTGGTAAACAAGCTGGAGCCGACCCTTGCCAGGAGTACGGCTTCTGCCCTCGGGGCTCTTCAGTCTTCAGGAGGCTTCTTGTCTTTAGCTGAACGATGAATCCCGGGACCGTCCAGATGTCCGGCCTTTATACAGAGCCATGGCTCGCTCCTCCCCGGCCACGCCTTCCTTCTCGAACCTTCGAGAAGGATCCGGGGATGATGTCATCCCCCAGTCCCACCCTCCTGGAGTCTGGGGTTTGCTCCTTTTACATACTGGTCCATAGGGTAACCGTTGGACCCTATGGCGCATAGACTCTCAGCACTGGGCTCAGTCCCTCTGTTGTCCCCCTATTGGCATGAGGCCGGTATTGCCGGCTACAGCATGAGAACGGCCCATCTTGGCCCAATAACACCGTTACACACGTACAAAAACTTGTGTCAATCTGGCGCTGAATGAGGGCCTCCCCGCGACGTGCAAGTCGTGAGGGTTACTTGACCATGCTTCACCATGCTGGTCATTGTGGGTTTTTGGCGACTGGTGGCCAAGTCGCCCTTGCAAAAGACTTGTATAGCTCAACGGTATTTACTCGCAAAATGAACTTCTGATTCTCTTGGTGGTGGGAGCTAGGGAGCATACGCATGTGGAGCACAGAAGCATGTTTGATCGCGTTGCACTTCTCGCTGCTGCCCACGACGTAGCCCCACGGTGTAAATCACTGTATTGACGTAAATCGTTATTGTCGTTGTTGTGCTCATACTTGCGTGTTCTGGTGCTGGTGTTGTGCCCCATAGTTCCGCTCGCTGGCACCCATGTACTACCGGGGGTCAGCCTGCTGCCGTGATCGTCTATGACATCACCAAGGAGGTGAGGGCATCCGCTACCACTGCTGAATTTACTGGAAGTCAGGACTCGCTTCCGGATTACTTTCCGGTCACAATTGCTTCAAAAGGAGTAATTTTACACTGCTGCCTTGTAACAGGTGTGAAAATTGCTGATAACAAGAGCATAATAACAGCCCGAACAGCCCATGACATTGTTCTGAGAATTATTTTTGTTGACTAAATCAATCCGTATCATTAAGTGCTCTGTCTATGGACAGGTCCGAGGCACAATTTCCTCCACTCTGCTTTCAGCTGCTCTCTTTGTCCTCATCTTGTTGAGCATTGTCTCGTGTAGCCATTCTTTTTATTTCTTGCGGTCTTTTCCCAAAGAATTTTCCCTCAATCACCTGCTTGGGCAAAGCCGTTCGCTTTCACTCTACTGTCTGCCCAATCCAGATTTGTCATCCAATTCCTGTGTCTTTGTGTACTTGTGGCCTTGCGTCTCTGTCTCTACGTCTGTCTTCTTGCAACAGGACGTCCTTGTGTTCCTGTAACAGCATGTCCTTGTGTTCCTGTAACAGCATGTCCTTGTGTCTCTGGGTGCCAGGAGTCGTTCCAGATGCTAAAGTCATGGGTGCGGGAACTTCGCCAGCACGGGCCCCAGGACATCATCGTCGCCATCGCAGGCAACAAGTGTGACCTGGATGACATGAGGTATGCGCAGATTTGCACGCCGTACCGTACCAGCCACACCAGACTACCCCAGGCTACTGTTATCACACTCTCTATATGCCAACCACAGAACGCTGTGCTATGATAGTCGCACCATACAATGACATAATGCTGTTATGCTGTACATCATAACCACAGCATTCTGTACCATGCTGCCTTGAACATTACTCATCATGTCCACAGTCTCTAGTGTATAGCTATGTTTGAATATCAACACTTATAACTTTAAATGCAGGTTAATTAGGCATGGTCACACTGAGTGAAGACATTCTTCCATGCACGTCTTGGCACACTTGGCTCGTATTTTTACCTTTGGTTATTTGATGTGTTTGGGTCGGTTGTTGAAAATGACAGACGTCTAATGCCCTCACAGACAAAAGTCGAGAGGTGTGAGGTCCAGCGATCTTGAGTAGCCATTCGGAGGGAACTCTCCATCCATTCCTCCACCCTTGTGGGGGATGTCTCGTGCAGAAATTCACAAACGGGGATCGCAGAATCTCATAAAATTACAATGCTTCCTGACTTTTGCTGATATCCTGTATGTGCACTGTGCTGTGGTGATGCCGATGGTGTTGGTGTTAGTATGGTGCAGTTGTGGTGATGGTGCGTGCGTGGGTGCGCAGGGAGGTGTCCGTGCAGGATGCGAGAGACTACGCCGACTCCATCGACGCCATCTTCATCGAGACGAGCGCCAAGTCGGCCATCAACATCTGCGAGATCTTTGCTCGCATCAGTGCGTGCAACGCTACCGCCACCCCATGCACTACACCAGGGTGTTCCCAACAATTTTCAAGCGAGCCATGTACTTATGCTAGCATGTCCTGACGGGCCACATGATGTCTTAACGCCATTCTGTAAGGTGTACGGACGTTTAGTGATAGGTTTTTACCCTTTCAACTGGTACAAAAACTGACACCTTTATACAAGGCATCATGTTTGCAATAACCACAACACAAGCAGTTAAAATGCAAACAATAAGAAACAACGCTGATAATGATAATGATATACACTGTCATTGAAGTTGATTGGCCAAAAGGCGTCATCTGGTCCAACACCAATGGAGACTAGGCTCGAAGAAAAGGTGTCTCGGGTGTGGACCAATCAACTTCAAGGACAGTGCATATCATTATCAGAGTTGTTTCTTTTTGTTTACATTTTGACTGCTTGTGTTGTAGTTATTGCAAACATGATGCCTTGTATAAAGGTGTCAGTTTTTGTACCAGTTGAAAGGGTAAAAACCTATCACTATATTTTGCCACTGGTAAAGGAGGTCTCAGTGTACGGACGTTGTGATGTCGCATCATATTATGATGTCATACCGTCTACATGTGTGACCACTGGTTTTGTCTGTAGCACCATCCCACACACTTCTCTATATATATCGGTATGTGTGTGTTCCTTCCATGTGTGTCTCCCTTGTGTCACATGTATAATTTGTGTCCTGTGTGTCAGATTTAAGTGTGTTCTTTATTTTGATTTAAAGCTTTCGTGACTGCAGGGATTCATATTCTTGGTTCTTTTACCGAAAGAACCAAGAATATGTGTTCTTTATGTTTACATTTATGCATGTGTGTCGGTCCGCTGTGCGCGTGTCCCCTGTGTATTGTGTGGCCCTTACATGTCTATCACATGCATCACCTGTACACATCCACATGACCCTATTTGCACAAGTTCAACATTCCTCGTGTGTCGTCATATTAACGCGTTCCCTTCTTACGTGCCATGTCTGTCCACCGTTGTGCATACCCGTACCTGCGCGTGTGTAGGCGAGCGCGTGCCTCCTGGCAGCCAGGACTCGTCGGATCGGCCCGGGTTCCAGCTGCGTGGAGCGGGTCAGCCGGCGCGGCGCTGCTGCTGACAAAACAGTCGCTACTCGCCAGCTCGCTCGTCTCCAAGGATCGCCGCAACCCGTGTGTCGGCACGCCCACGCCGTTTGGCTGTCTGCTGAACTGCGGCTAAGGATATAAATCAGGGGTGATTTTTCTCCTTACCGTGGGCCGAGTCGGACCTTCGGTTGCCTTTGGTGGGCCACGCAGTGCCACGCACCTTTTCGTAGGCATTTGATAATGCGAACAAATAACTTGCGTGTCGACCTGGAATAAAGAGAGCTTTGTAGTGGTTGAAGTGACCGAATTTACTCAAATAAGGTTGAAAATCTTCCATTCTAGTGACTAGATAATTATTCATTCGAGATGCGTGCAGCATCGGATAAATACCTTGTGGCCATTTCAAAGTTCTGGGTCCTCGTGGTCATGGGCCGTGTGAAAATTAATCTGTGCCGCCATAGGTTTCCCCCACCCCTTCTCAAAGTGATTGTTCTACAAAATAAAAATCAGGATTATTTGGTGCTGATATATCGGCCTTTAATCCAGCAGAGGGCGATGTGAATAGTTATGTATGCTGCTGGATAACCGAGCAGTTAGCATGCTCGCCGTTGACTCGGTACACTCGAGTTCGATTCCCGCTAAAGCCACCTGGTCATTATGAAATTTAAAAGCAACGTTCTGCTGTAAGATGGACTATAAAGATTGTGTTAGGTTATTTCAAAAATCTACTCTCAGCTAAATTGAGAAAGGCCTGGTGAGCCTGGAAGTAAGCCTCGCACAGTGTCTCCTGACATAGCTTAAGAATTCAGTGTATGTTTACTGTAATAGTTAATCTCATTTTCAGGTGTGGCTCGTTCTGTACAAAATGTCTTAATTCCTGGAATTGATGCTGTGGTGGATTTGAAATTGTATTTTATTTTTTCTCATCACTGAATTTGTTCGCTGGTGATGAAGGCGTACCTCTGCCTAGAATTTCCTGTTTAGGAAACTGCAATCGCGTAACTTTAGCTGCCGTAATTTTTAGACAAATCGTACTCGATTTGTATCAGATTGAATAGCAAATATCGACCATATTATTGCTTCCAGTTCAGTAAATACCATACTCCACTGCCTATTTTCCCATTTGTTTATTTGCTGCTCCACCTCTCCAATTTTTCCCCTCGTTTCTCTTCTATGATGCAAATCATTGAATGCTCTAAAGTCTAAACCGTCCTTAATTGCGATGCAATCCCAACTCCACGTGTGTTTATAGGATTTGTTTTGTGTATATATGCTATAGCTGCGGGTTACTTGTCTTCCTTACCCCAATCAGATAAAATCACCTTCTGAATCGGTTGTAATTCTGTGTGCCGTACAAGAACATAATTGTGGCACATCGCCTGATTGGCAAATAGAGGCGGGTTTAACGACAGAATTATATATTTACGCGATCTAACCCAAAAAAAACCTGTATTATGGAGGCCTTGATGTAATCGACAAAGAGCCTTGGTAGCCTCTGGGTTAGCACACTCACCACACCACTGAACTGGTTTGCAATTGAGTTTACACTAAAGTTCCTGCTATAACCGCCAAGTAACTTCTATGGGACATTGGCATGTTCAAAGCCAACTGTACTGAAGTATGGACTTTAAATATTCCGTGGCATGATTTGTAAGAATAGCATATTGTGTGCCACCATGTCATCCAAATGTCATCTGAAAATGATATACAACTAAATTTCTAAAAATGAATAACTTCTCCCTGCGTAATTATGATTTACCAAGAAGTGGTTTTGAATAATTAATTAACTCTGGCACTTCGTTAAATTAATGATTAATTTCACAATGTTTCATCGGAGTGGCCCAGGGTTCTCTGATGCTGGTGTTTGCATCAGCATTGAGTAGATCTGATTTAAATCTCTGGCCGTCAGCCACGATTCTTGTGTGGAGTGTTTGATTGGCTCGGTCTGGTCACGAATTATAATGTAAACATTTATTTTGCACTTAATTTACTCAGCCCAGCTCTTCTAAGCTTATTCAGTAGATAGGCACTGGGAAAAAAATGTTGTTTGCACAGCCAAAGAATGGACATTGTGTTTGTGTAAGACAATTGAAGGTTGCCATGTGGAGGCCAATGGTGGCACTCTTTCGGGTCATTCCACGTGATGTGCAGCTTTGCTCTCTGTGTGGGGATTTGAATTGAATTTAAATGTGCTCTGTGCCTCTGCAAGGGGGATGTAATTAATGGGAGGGGGAAATGTAGCTGCAACATGTTTGAATATTGCTATTTTTATTAAAAAAGAGCTAACTAAAATATATGGAAACTGTTAGAAATGCTTTTCTGATGGTGTGTATCTTCAGTGGTGGTTTTGCATGCCTTGTGGGCTGGACAACATTTACCGTATTTTCCGGATTGAGCAAATTTCCCCTGTAATTTAAAACAAAAGTTGCGTCTTATATTCCGGTAGGTGAGTGTGATCAAACTTGCATAACTTTGTTGACACCGGGTTCACAAATTTGGGATGCATCTTACTTTCTGGAGGGTTTTTTTTTTAATCCGGAGAATATGGAGGTACCTAGCCCGTTTTGACTTCACCCTGCACTTGTATATTCTCAGTTAAAGGCCTGCTGCACACATTTTTTCTTGCAGCCTTGACGGCCTGTACAACCCCATGTGTGCAACAGTGATGTGCGGTGAGGTCAATGGCTGGGGAGGCACTGGCTAGTGTCAGAGCCAGATTCACACACAGGGGGTGTGGCCTCATGGAGGGGTGTGGCCTCACTGAGGGAGGCGTGTTAGACACGTCCCCCTCAGTGAGGCAGATGTGATAGCTGCCTCCCCTGGTGCTTTTTCATTGCAGTTTCATGACGAGACCAGCGAGCCTAAATATCTTTATACACATACGTGAAATAAGTTTCCTGGAGTATGGAAGGCGAGGACATGAAATGAAGGGGTCTATAAACATTACATTGGTGACATACTGAGATAGTAACAGGCACGCGCTTATTGCCCGCGGTACATCCAGTTACTGAGGGGTTGCGCAATCAGAGGGGAGGCTGAGCGCGTCGCTGCCTCACCTCTCGTGTCTCCCTGTATTTGCAGCGGAGCTCCGCAAATTTGGCGATTTTGACTATAAAAATTATTGGAATCGTACACAAATTACATTAATAGCACAGATCAGTGAAAAAAACCTTAATATTTGTTTTATTTTATTCTTTTTTTCGTAACAGCTATTTTCATTTTCTCCCCTGGTGTGCAACCCAGGGCAGCGTTACTTGCTGCTCCTTTGACTCATGCTGCCCTGTGGCTGTGTGGAGCTCCAGTTTGATGTTAGCGCTGCGATGGGGGAAAAAAATTTACGAGCCAATAAAATTATCGGAGTTACTACAAATGCGTATATGCTATTGAGTAGACATGTGATGATACAATGATTAATGGATTAAAATTAGATTATAATCACGATAAATGCATCTAATTGCGTGTAAAATGAAATGTGAATGCAAAAATACAATGTATTTATGCAAATAGCGTAAACATAACTGCAAATGTGGCATGAAAAGTGAGAAACTACAATTGAGATGACAAAGGAGACTTGTTAATGTGTTAATTCAATCATGGCTATGAATTGTACTAATTGCATGCCTGGTATTTGGCATAATAAAGAGTTGCTTTTGGTAAGTGGGAATCTCACTAAACAGTATTGGATTTAAACTCGGACTCAAGTGGGCTTCAGACTATTAATGGCAATGTCATTCAGATGTGGCTTATATGGGATTTAGCAGGAATCCATTATACTACACCAGTTTGTACAGCCACTCCAAAGTTAAGATTGCACTTCAATTAATTCCCTGTGGTGTTGTTGAATGGGTTTTGTCTCGTGTTTGTCATGGTTTTCTTCAGATGGTGTGGTCCGTTTATTTCACCACAGTGTTTGGTTCTCTGCCTTTGGGTTGCCTCTGAGTCTGATTTTCGCCGGTTCGAATCCAGGCTCCTGCGGGCAGTTTTCGTCTGGTTTTTGCTGCGGACAAATAAAAGATTGCACGATGCTATTTGCAGCCTCGCATCTTAGTGAACGGGTGAATCTAAAACTAAGCGAGTAATAGTTGTAGAGACATACATATATACCTGTCAACCCATACGGTTTAACCGTATTTTTTTCCAATGAAATTTAGTTTTCAGGTCCTTTCGGCGTACAGCCGTTTCAATACGGGCATTTTTGTCTTTCTTTGTGTGTCTCCCTTGTGATGGGACTTTGTAGGATGAACTTTGAGATTTAATAGGGCACCGGGTGACCAATAAGGTCTGAATTGGTCTGTAATAAGGTAAGCACTGATAAGGGCTTGACAGGTATGTTAATATAGCCCCTTTTCATAAGCGACCTGGACACGCATAGCTCAACGAAGTGGTTAATATGAAAATTAAAGCAGGCAAATACTCTAAAAACATGTTTCTAAATGTGGGGGGAAAACCGGAGGACCTGAAGAAAAAAAAATAACTTTACCTGGGGGATAAAGATACGCAAACTTCAAATGTGCAGGCGTCAGGGTCAGAATCGAACCCACAAATTCCTGTATACCAGGAGAGGTAGTTAACATCTCACCACCTCAGTGGATGAGTGGAATCACAGGTGGCGTGTACCTCTAATGCCAAAGCCACGGATTCCTTCCCTGAAGGAGGTGCACTTCTTCAAAGTGGATTTTTAAATCCTTTATATTACGTTCGCTTGCTTGCTTGCTTACGACCGTGCAAATCTTTCGGTCGTTTTTTAACCCACTTCACGTGATCCAATCGAGCTGACATTTTGCACACAGACTCGTTGTGCGAGACAATTAATGTTCGTGAAAAAAAAATGCAAAAATTTTACACTATTTAGGGAAAACAAATTACATATTTAATTACCAATTGCTTAATACTGGCAGACAATCATCTGACCCATAGGTGGCAGCCATCTCAAGCCAGAGGACGAGAGGACTCTAGCCGCCACGCATATAAAGGATTTATAGTGAAAAACTTATTTTTCTTGCGGGTTATACTTATTTAATCCTTTATATTAAGTTTGCTTGCGTGCTTACGACCGTGCAAATCTTTCGGTCGTTTTTTAACCCACTTCCCGTGATCCAATCGAGCTGACATTTTGCACACAGACTCGTTGTGCGAGACAATTAATGTTCGTGAAAAAAATGCAAAATTTTTACACTGTTTAGGGAAAACAAATTAAATATTTAATTACCAATTGCTTAATACTGGCAGACAATCATCTGACCCATAGGTGGCAGCCATCTCAAGCCAGAGGACGAGAGGACTCTAGCCGCCACGCATATAAAGGATTTATAGTGAAAAACTTTGTTTTTACGGGTTTACTTTTTTAAGATGACCTACAGTGACTTGCGACTCCCCAAACCAAGCAATGGGCCATATCCCGAATAACCACATTCTACAACCCCGAAGCTATCGCATGGTTGGCAAGCTTAAAACCTTGAAGAATTACCCAAAACATCAGCCTATAACGCTGCCAATGTGTGTTTGTCTCTGTTATAAGGCAGTGTTGACGAATGTGCTGAGTTAAAACATATATTGAGACTTACGCCGCAAACATGTTTCAATAAATACTCATATCCTTATGAGTGCCTATCTTATTACAGACCTTATTGGTCACCCCGTGCCCTAATACATCTCAAAGTTAATCCTACAAAGACCCATCACAAGGGAGAAAACACAAACATAGACCAAAACATTGCTCGTTTGGAGCTGAAAACTAAATTTCCTTGTATAAGAATACGGGCAAATCGTATGTGTTTACAGGTATGAATACTATAGTGTAACTTGCTTATTATTTGATGGACAACAATTTCAGCAGGGAGATTATGGATCTGTTTTAGCTCTTGAGGTCTAGAGTGCTGGCATGGTGATTAGGTTGATAGCGGTTTTGAGAGCAGTGCCATGAACTTGCTAACTTGTGTTAACATTTAATTCCTGGCCACAGACATTAACCACATACAACCGTAGAAAAAGTGTCGATTTATATCTGAACCGAACCTACAACCCATAACATCGTCAGCACCCGCATTGAAGTGTAAATTACGTGGCGTGGTTTATCCAGCAGTGGATAAGTGAATTGACAAAAAGGCTGCAGATTATTCATTTATCTTTCTTAGTTATCAGTGGGATTTGTTAAAACAATTTGTGGCAGGGTTCGCATGGCAATAGCCCATAGCCTGGTCTAAACACACCACCACCTCACTCAATATGCAGCAAACCAGTCATGAATTCGACTGTTTTTGTTGTTGTGTTCTATACTATACATAACCATTAATATAGCGTGTCATAAAGTACTGTTTACCCCTTATTCTTGTACAGGGATATTTATTTTTCAGGTTCAGACTGTGAACAGGCGTTTCAATGTCACATTTTTTCTTATTTATTTGTGTTTTGTCCCTTGCGATGGGACTTTGTGGGATGAATGTTGATATTTTTCAGGGCACGTGGGTGACCGAATTGGTCTGGAATAATGTTGGCATTGATCAGGGTTTGACAGGTATGCGTTAAATTTTGATTTAAAGCTTTCGTGACTGCAAGGATTCATATTCTTACTTATAAAATAATGTTATTATTTCCCTTCTACGTGACTTTACCAAAAGAACCGATAATAGATTTCGATTTAAAGCTTTCGTGACTGCAGGGATTCATCTTGTTGGTTCTTTCGGTAAAGTCACGTAGAAGGGAAGAAATAAAATAACACATTTTCAATATTTCCCTTCTACGTGACTTTACCGAAAGAACCAATGATATGTACGCATTAACCAAAAGGCTTCGCTATAAAGTGGTTATCATAGTGCGAGTGTTGCATGCATTTCACTGTCAGTCATCACCGCGCCCCACGTATTGATCATTCGCCTGAAACATTTTTTCCCGCCAAATTCCTCCACTGTTACTGTAACAATTTCGATAACCTTCCGATCTCTACCACGTGACCGATAACTGACGTGTTTTTTTCCCGCCAAATGCGGCGGTGGGGTGGGGGCTATTTTGTTTGTTAGGGGGAGGGGAGGGGGGGGTCGTCTAATTACATCGACCGCCGCGCACGAGCCAATCAGAATCAAGTTATTTTTTTCCCGCCAACAACACTCGTGGGGGGAGGGGCTGTGGGGGGGGGGTGTTGTTTTTCTCGCTCGGCCATCGCGAGAAACCTGTCTGCCGTTACCACGTGACGCACACGGACCAATGAGAATTGTGGGTTGTTTTTTTTACGACGCAATCCGCCAACCCAAGCGGGTTCGGTTTCGCTCCCGAGTGGGTCACGAGGAGGCCCCGGTCACGTGACAACGCACGGAACCAATCATAAGCTAATTATATTTCCCGCCAACGGTACGAGAGCCGTTGCATGCTTTGCTCGGTGGGGGTGGTGAGAGGGGGGGGGGCTGTCTGCCAGCCCCGTCGCCCCGTCACGTGACACGCGCGGGCCAATAAAAGTCGACTTGGAGTTGCTTTCCCGCCAAAAGCTTGCAAGCTTTTGCAACCTATGCCCCGCCCCCCTCTCTGTCCACACCGCCTCGCGTTATGTTGCAACGCTGTTGGCTGCGCGCATGCGCACACGAGAGGCCGAGTTGAGCTCCCCCCTCCCTTTTTTTGTTGCTGTCGTCTCGTCCCACAATGGTAGGGGGGGGATTGGTGGGGGGGGGGTTGGTGGGGGGGGATGGCTGGGGGGGATTGGTGAGGGGGGGATTGGTGGGGTGGGGTTGGTGGGTGGGGATTGGTGGGGGGGGGGGATTGGTGGGTGGGCTGGGTGATTGGTGGTGGGGGGGGATTGGTGGGGTGGGGGTTGGTGGAGGGGGATTGGTGGGGTGGGGTGGTTGGTGGGGGGGGGATTGGTGGGTGGGGGGGGATTGGTGGGTGGGGGGGATTGGTGGAGGTGGGGATTGGTGGAGGTGGGGGGATTGGTGGGTGGGGGGGGATTGGTGGGTGGGGGGGATTGGTGGGTGGGGGGGGATTGGTGGGTGGGGGGGGATTGGTGGGTGGGGGGGGATTGGTGGGTGGGGGGGGATTGGTGGGTGGGGGGGGATTGGTGGGTGGGGGGGATTGGTGGGTGGGGGGGATTGGTGGGGTGGGGGGGATTGGTGGGGTGGGGGGGGAGTGGTGGGTGGGGGGGGATTGGTGGGTGGGGGGGGATTGGTGGGTGGGGGGGGGATTGGTGGGTGGGGGGGGATTGGTGGGTGGGGGGGGATTGGTGGGTGGGTGGGGGATTGGTGGAGGTGGGGGGGGGATTGGTGGGTGGGGGGGGGATTGGTGGGTGGGGGGGGATTGGTGGGTGGGGGGGATTGGTGGGTGGGGGGGGATTGGTGGGTGGGGGGGGATTGGTGGGTGGGGGGATTGGTGGGTGGGGGGGATTGGTGGGTGGGGGGGATTGGTGGGTGGGGGGGATTGGTGGGTGGGGGGGATTGGTGGGTGGGGGGGTTGGTGGGGGGATTGGTGGAGGTGGGTGGGGGGGGATTGGTGGGGTATCCACGCCGAGCCAATCACAGCAGGAGGTTGTTGTTGGGGGGCGGGGCCTGCGGTGTTAACAGGCGCGCGCGCGCGCGCCACGGAGCGGTGTCTTCAGTCGTCAATTTGCGCCAGAGACAGAAGCTGTGAGCCATGGCTGAGGTGAGATCTGTTCGTCTTTTTTCCTTCATCTCCTCACCACCATCAACATCTCTTAAGCCCCAGACGTAGCGGTGTAGGATTCGGGCGGGTTCCCGTGCCCGCGAGCAAAATCGTGAGGTAAAATCGCGACCCTCCGTTAAGGCTTTTGTGGGCAAACCGAAGGCGAGGTTCTGTTGGGAGCCGTTGTGACACGAATCGAGGGATAAATTACGTTGAGCATGATAACAAAAAAAAGGCAATAGCTTCGTCCACTATCGCTACCACCAACAAAGAATATAAATAGAGACGACGTTTTGAACAATGACCCTAGAGAGCGCAGATGCTGCTGAGGCGAGGGAAATGGTTTCGTCGTTTCCCTCCATTTATTGCACATTTTTTGTATGAAAGTAATATTTTATTTGGTTAGTAATGTGATTTATGCTTTGTTTTTTTCCATGCGAACGTGTGCTTTGTGAGTGGCTGTGACGAGATTATTTTGTCGGAAAAATGAAATTATTTTTAATATTTTTATTTGTTTTGGGGCGGGTGCTGAGCGCGCGCTTTTGCTTCGGCTCGAATCGCGTAGAATTCAAACATTTTTTTACGGTAATGTCTAAAAATAAGTAAATAATTACCTGTTCGTGCATGATTATTCACGAAATCGAGACAATAGCGTGTAAAATATGCAAAATAGAACTGCGGATAAATAAATAATTGCGTAATGCGACGGTCTTAATAATTAAGCCTTGACTCGTGTTTAAAATTTACAAACACTTTTGAGGCATTTAATCGCGATAAGTGTGTAAAATAACTGCAGTATTATAACCCGCAAAAATACGTGACGGCGGATATCATTTGAAATACACATAACAATGATTTGTATTACTATGTAGATTATATTTGTGTTAAAATCGGTACATTATCTCGTTACGTTTAATTTTTTTTAAGCTTTATACTTTTGTAGTAATATTGCAGATAAACATTGCCACGTTTTGTTGTGTCGGTGGGGCGGGGGGTCCTCATTGTCTGAACAAAAGCGGCGTGGCTGACTGTCAAGTGTAAAGAATAAAGCCCAAGCAGCCTCCTTAGAACCCACGGTGGCAATCGAAACCACTTAATACTATCACATTTTTAATGAATACATTGGTAGAAAATTAGCAAATGTTAGCGAACGACTAAAAATATATACACTTTGGGGCGTATCGCACAAGCAGAAAGCATTAATTTTCGTCAACCAGTGTCCGTTTTGCTAAAACAAATTGTCGCTTTTAACACTTAGATTTCGATTTAAAGATTTCGTGACTGCAGGGATTCATCTTTTTGGTTCTTTCGGTAACGTCACGTAGAAGGGAAATAAAAGAAAATGAATATAAAACAATAAAAATTCTCACGACGTTTCGGCCACCTGATGATGACGATTTCTTGTGTTGCAATCGAAACGAGAATTTTATTGTTTTATTATTTATTATTCCCCTTCTATTAAGAACCAAGTACATAACACTTGGGGCACTCCTACAAAGATAGTTGCTAGTTTTCGTTGCTTTCGTGGGAACAATAAACCAAAACCCGTGGTTGTAAATTCTTGTGCTGTTGATTTAACAACAACAACAACGTTGGACGTGTAGAGAGATGGGGGGGAGGGAGGTTTACGTAAACGTCGCCCTTCCCGCCGAAATTAGATTAGATGACAGAAAATAAAATAAATAACGCGAACATGTGGTGTGTTATATTCTGGCGGGAAATAAAACAGACGCGTTTTTATCTTTGCAAGCCTGTGTCCCAATGAGTTTATTAAACATCAATCTTCCGTTATGCACACGTGAGTGTACTGCTGCTGACGTCTTGTGTCTATCCATTGTGTTGTGTGTGTGTAGTGTCTGTACGTTGTACTGCTGTTGACGTCTTGTGTGTAATCCATTGTGTTGTACGTACGTGTGTGTGGTGTCTGTGCGTTGTACTGCTGTTGACGTCTTGTGTCTATCCATTGTGTTGTACTCCGTGTGGTGTCCTTGCGTTGTACACATTATTGTCTATTTGCCCGTCGTGATCCGTCCACTGCTGGATGAAGGGCCTTGAACGCCCAACAAGCCGTCGCCATTTCACGCTCTCGCGATTGTAATAACATGCGCACGAGCCGATTCCCCCTCGCTCCATCTCCACCATGAACGCATGCCTCCTTTGCCTTCCAATCCGGTCACTATTCACCACCCGAGCGATGTGGCTTGTCTGAGCCCATTTGTGTGAATGTGCAGTATTTTGGGGGGGCGGAAAACGTCAATTTCACCTGCGTATTTTCTGTAATCCATGCCTCCAATCTACCTAAACGTAATTGAAATGTTCGTGTCATTCAATTGTTTGTGCATTTGTCGGTGTGCCTTTGTTGTGTGCAGTTAGTTGCTTTTTTAGTGTGCGAATAATTTCGTATTTGTGATTTTTTTTTTTTTGATTTGCGAATACCGCGTGTTTAATTTAATATTTGTCATTCCTTTGTTAAGCCCTGGCAGCTGTTGGTTGTGGTGTGATGCCTAATTTGCTTGCTTTCGTATTCGCGTGCATGGGCGTGGTAGGTGTCTGTCGTACGAGCATTGTGTGGCTTGCAATGTTGGGTGCATTAGTTCACCCTGTTTGCTGCATGCGATTTTATGTTGCCTACACTTTTCCACAGATTTGTCCGAAAAATAATCACAAATCTCTACTTTCGCCTTGACGGATGCGTAATTGATATGCTAATGTCATTTGTGCATCGGCTGAGAGCTGAGATGCGTGTGAACGTGTCCACATGTCGCCTATTGTGGAGACAGATTTAATTACTCCAAACCGACGCGTTCAAAATGCCCTTCTCGAACATTCTGTCCTGTGATTCTCTTGGGATTCTGTGCAATTCCCGAACCCTTTTCATTCAAAAGTTGGTAGTATGAACATTGGTATACGCTCATACATAGCAGCCCTGTAGCTTCCAATTTAAGAGCTCTTTGGCCTAATATGGTGTGTATTTCTACTGCTTACCTAGCCCCGTTTTAAGATTTCAGCATACAGAAAAAACCTGTGCTTTGCTGATTACATTTGACAAAATGTCTGGTGCACACACCCATGTCAGACATGTCAGCAAGCATACTGATGTAGCAACTGTGGTTGGCGCTTGTGGCTACACAAGGGGTTTGCCTCGAGTGTTTATCTGCCTGTTATCAGCAATCCCTTAAGTTTTGGGCAGATCAGTGTAATCGACTTGAGTCTTTTTAAAATACACCCATTTTGTAAATACTGTAATTAAGATGTACAACATTAATTGAGCCTATTGTGGTATGGTACATGCATTAAAATGAAACTAAACTTCTTGGCATAACGTCAGCTATTAGACAAAGGGATGAGGAAAAAATCGAAGTGGCCTGCCACTGCTTAAACCAATTCCACAGATAGGTGCAATGCAGGAAACTTGAAAGCAACGGTAGGATTGTGAGGTTATTGATTTGGTTTTTGTGAGCTCAATTGAAGCTGCGCAACATAGCTGCGCAACAATTTTGCCTTGACACTGGGTGTGACAGTGCCTTGAAATGTCAGATCGGCCTTTGTAGTTACTGACACTGTTGCTGCCTGAGCTTGAAAAGCCAGGTCATAATTTCCAGCCCGTGCAGAGTCCTGGGAAGTTTTATTTGGGCACCACTTCTGTGGAAAAATAGGGGAGTAGTGCTACTGTGCAACGCTCATGGCAACAGATTGTAAAGGTCGTCAGCCTTGGGCAGTGTTGCCATCTGCTTGGCCACCGAGATGCGATAAGGATTTACAATGACTCCCTTCAGGGTAGTCGTTCGTGCTTGGGTTACTGCTATTTTCTGGCCCTTAGTGAAGGGGAAAAAAATATTCTAATTTTCAAAGGGTAGATTGGATGGGAAAAGTGAGTCGTTCTATAATGGATGATAGTTTATTGAATGATCAGGATAAGGTTTGAGGAAAATTAATGGACATTATGTGCTGCAGTGAAGTAGCATTGCACAGCGATAGCGTTTTGATGTGTAGACAAAGGGACACTTTTACAATACAATTAGGATTTATATGGCACATAAATGCCGTAACGTCTCCAAGATGCGGTACATAACAATGGAATATGGGCATCATATTGAAAGGAGGCATGCTTTTATTTAAAATACTTCTAGTGAGGGAAATGGGAAGGTCAAAGATCAACAGCCTTTCCTTCCAATTGGGTGTGGAGAATGTTTACAAGGGATGCATAACGCATCTCTTGCTGACCACTTGCTGATTATTCCACTTGTGTGTTGCACAACATGTGCCTCGTAATTATCTTGTTTTGCCTTTTGGTAACTACGCTAAATTATTTTGTACCCATTTGAGATTTGGAATAAAACGTTGTTTTGTCTGGTGTGGGAGTGATGCTTGGAGGGCGAGTGAACTGTTATTCTATACCCAAAGTCAGTACCAATATGCACATTGACCATGTGTGCAATTTTTGCCTATACTGGATTACTACATTACTAGCAATGGCAACTGTCTACTAAAACCATCTTTGTCTTTTGTGAGTTTGTGCATAAGGTAGTCTGTTTGAATGCATATATGCGTAGCTTTTAATTCTAACTTAATAATTAAACTTGCTCAGACTTTCAGCCATTTTAACTGGGCACAGTTAATATCTTAGCGAGGTTGGTGAGAGGGCTTGACTGAAATATTTGCACAATGGTGTGTTTTTAGAGCATCAGGTCTACTGTTTTCAGTGGGTAACACAACAGCTGCAAGTCTCAAATCCTAAGCACTTTAATTTAACCAACGCTGTCGTGTGTAGCTGATAATTCTGATTTGAAGTTAAGTAATCGGTTTGAACACTCGACGAATCGGATAACACATAGTTAAGTGTCACCTTTGTTTCCACAATTGATGCTTTATGCGCTTGGTGACATCACTGGCATCGGCCATGGTCTCGTGTTGGGTGTAATTGGAAGGGTTTGCTTGCTTTTGGGATTAATTATGTGGAGGGTGGCCACTTTTTAAGGGATTTAGCCAATTGACCGAAAAAATGGTTGATTACGCTTTTTTGCTTTATCAAGGTATCCCAGCTCGAAAGTGCAAAATAATAACTCCGTTCAGAAACAACAATTAAGCTGCCACCCTACAATGGCGATTGCAATTTCATCTTAAAACAAGCGCAGGTCTCAACTGATTCTCTAAACAACTCCTCGAATGTGTGCTTGTGCGCGCAGCATCAGGAACTCGAGGCAATTGAGGTGAAGGAGCTGAACAAGCGTGCGTCGGGCGCGGCATACGAGGTGATCCTCAAGGAGCCCAGCACGGGCACACCGGCGCCACCCTTCTCACCCACGCGCAAAGACTGCTCGCTTGAGGAGATCCAGAAGAAGCTGCTTGCCGCTGAGGAGCGCAGGAAGGTACAGTGCTAACTGATCTGACGTCATTCCCACTGATGCGCTTTGTATTGCCATTGACGGTTACCTTCCCTTGAATCAGGTGAGAGCTCATCAAGGTTCATTGGTTCTTTTCATAGAGACCTGAGTAGCAATGACTGTTTAGGAATGGTAGTTAATTTTTCAGTGGTGTGAATTTCAATAATTTCTGTGCAAGTTGATCTACTGTTACAAATGGTATGCAGAATTAGCTTTGGTTTGTTTCCAACATATTTTGTCCTTTAGGCTCTTTCATATTTCAAGTTCAAGGAACTTGGAACTTTTGAAATGATTTCCCTTAAAGAGATTTAAGTCTCAATGGGCTCTCAGCTGATTGTAAATAAACTGCATTCATCTCGGTCCTTGGAGAGCTGCTAATTGTTCAGTGATACAATTCCACACCTTATTGAACGGGCTGCTTGGTTAATTGCAATAAAGAGTAATCTTCATAGGCTATTCCCTGCAGTGTACAGTTCATGTGGCTAGTCAGATTTAGCCACTGGTTTATACTATTTAAGAGAACCGTCTGTTTGGTACAATTTTATTGTGTTCCCAAAGCCTTGGGGTAATTTGGCGTGGCATTTGTGCACTGCACCCACATAGGGGGGAGCCGCTCAACTGTCAACTCGCCACTTCACGTCCATACCTACGAGCCTGGACAGGCACACGTCTGACTTATTGCGTTGTTTTTATTATATTTAAATTTCGACCTATGCTATAATAACTGTGCCTAGTGTAGTTACGACAAATTTTTGCTGTTAGCCTTTCAGTTTTGCTCGTATTCCTGTGGTTTTTGTTTATGAACATTGCATGTAACTTAAATCCCTTTGTAGCACCTCCATGTACGGAACAGGAGATGAGACCTTTGGGCACTTGGCGCTTTACTCTTGTGTATTAAATACCGACTGCGAATCCTAAAAACCGACTGCTTCTCACCCAGTCCCATGAGGCGCAGGTGCTGAAGCAGCTGGCGGAGAAGCGCGAGCACGAGAAGGAGGTGCTGCAGAAAGCCGAGGAGGAGAACCAGTCGTTCATGCGCCAGTCGGAGGAGAAACTGCAGAACAAGATGGGCTCCAACAAGGAGAACCGCGAGGCCCTGCTCGCTGCCAAGATGGAGAAGCTTCGCCAGTCTGTGAGCGGCTCTTCACCCCGTGGTTTTCTACTGCATGGGCTGCACTTACCCCTACCTAGCAAGGCTATTTTAATGTCGCTCAGCTTTGGGATTTCTTCGTAGCATAGCGTCCCGACATTGGTATTTAATGAGCATTTATCCTTTTTGAGAGGTTGACAAATTATTTATTTCTGAACGATGGTACCTAATTGGTTTACATGGTGTCCATAGAAAATAAAAAAAACACCAAATTATTACGTCTGAAATTGTAGAATTGCCAAGGATAGATCCACCATAGATATTGGGTTCTGATTATTATAAATTTAGTTCTCTAATCCTTATGCAATGCTTATTATTCATTTAACATAAAGCCATCTTGTGTGCCCGATCCCAGCTGGCTGGATAGTGCTAGAATAGGTGCAGATCATGCATAAAAACGGTTTTTAGGTTACTGTCAGCAGAAGGCAGTGCAGAAAAATATCTTATTGTACTGGCACGATGCTGCAAAATCTGGCTGCCATCAACATCGCACAACAAGAATCGTGACGTATTGTCATGGAGGCCCTCCATCATTGGAATGATGAAAAGGGTCTTACATGAATATATTGTAATGCAGTATTAGGCAGCGTTTTATGATGCTTCACAGCGGTAACAGCTGGAATACATTGCACAATACAAACTGCAGGATACTACATTGAACACACTGCATTGTGCACCCACAAATGTAAGTGCCTGCTGACCTATACCTAAAGTACTTAACTTGTGGGGTTGGCCCTCAAAGCCTTTCAGGGTGGTGTACTGGCTGTGGCATGGACACACTAACTTACAAAAAGGGCTCTCTAGCCTTCTGTTACTGCTACATCCCACATTCAAATGAAGATTTAACTGCATTGAGTGCGATGAGGGGGGTTTGGGGATTATTGGGCTGGATTGGAGGGGGACCACCGCACAATACGGTATGCTGCTTGTTGTCGCACTATAATTGACACCCCTAATATGTGCGTGTATTTGCAGGAGAAGCGTGCTGAGGAGGTGCGCAAAAACAAGGAGAAGTGCCCAGAGCCGTGCCGCCAATAGAGCACTGCCTTGTCCCAATCTCCCTTTCCACCTTTCCGTCACGGCACGGTCGTCCTTGACCCATGGCACCACGGCCATGAGAAACGCCACACCTTGCCCCACTGCATCGGACAACTCAACCCACCCACACCCCCTGGCACTGAACATGCTTTTAGTGTCGCCATTGCCACCCATAGTGCAGGCGTGACGAGTTGATTTAGTCGGTGATCGGTAGAAATGTTGGCTGGATTCCAATTAATCCAAATGGATGTTCCATAGATACTGGGTTGCCGTATAAAGTGGCATGGGGGAGTTCGGCATTGACTTGCATAGGAGGGTTTGGGTTTTGCATATAGTTTGCCATTTCCATCCCACATTGTGGTGTGATTTAATAAAAGCAGGCAAATGTTTAAATAACAGGTTAAAACTAATGCACAGTTCTGAAATGTGTCATTGGTAAAAAAATGTAATTGTAAGTACTGTGAAGCACGATTTCTTCCTGCTTTTATAATCCTGTAGCACAATTTGTGGATTAGTTGTATGTACACAACAACAATACAACTCCATCTGATGTGGAGGCCAACTGATGGACATCCCAAATTTACAAGAGTGAAAAGTTGTTTCTGCTGAGCCGTTGTGCCATGAGGGTTTAGTGAAGAGAGCGGAGGCCATTCCCTATGACCTGCATCTATGCTCTGGCCCTAGATTATCTGGCTGTATATACACTGCATTTCCTACACCCATGCTTAAGTCAAGTTGCCTGTCATTTACATGTAATTTTTTAAACCAGTGTTAGGTCCAGTATATCTAACAGTTAACTACAAAATACACACGTGGGACGTGGCAATTCCTAGGGAGGTAATACTTTATATGAAGGGAGATCACTGCTTTGTCTGCATTACAAAAAAGAAATCGCAATGCTAAAATATTCTGCTTATTGGATGTCTCTGGCTTGTGATGTGCACTCAGTCTTGTAATTGCTTCACCTTCATGCCTACGTGCTTCTGTATTCTGCTCGTTGCTATATACGTGACCATGAGGAAATGTGCTTATTGACGGGCACAATGTGTTTCCACCTACATTTTCTTAACCTCGTGAAATTCGATCATTAAAATCTCGAAAAGGGTTACCGATTCGTCATAAAACAACAAATATTGGCAAGATGTCGCATGTCCATTAAGTTTTATTCTTGGAGAAAAAATTTAGCTGGAAACTGCCAAAAACTCCCAGAGCTGCTGCCATGTTTTGAGGTGTTGTGTGGTTTGTGGTATTTACTCATGAGACTCGTGGAACACATTACCCTTTCATGCTATATAATCGAGAATCTGAGGTGGAATTGAGCTTTATGACATCACCGCTGCATGATCTGGCTGTGAGGAAACTACGTTTGCCACTTGGCATCTGCCGTTACACTTTTGGGAACTGGCTTTGAAATGTTTATGAAATGCATATGGCTGCAATAACTCCTGAAACCGAGTTCCACCTCGCGTTCTGGTGCATTTCATGCTTGTACATGCCTTGCAGCCATTTAATTAAAAACACCGTAAATTCCTAATGGTATTCGTTCACAGCCTGATCGTGACGTAGGGATAATTGCGTGGTCACATAGCATTTTTGGAAAACAGTGAGTTTTTTCACGTGGTTTACCACTTCATTTATATACGGCCGCGCCATTTATCGCGATGTGTGCCCTCTGCAAGTTTAATTCATTGTCTCGGCAAATCTGTGATGCTTACTCAAGACCGAACCTCCGTGCTGTACAGCCCCTGCGCCTTGTGGGGTTGTTAGTGGTTACATTGTTAAAACTGTCGTATGTGAAGGCGTTGCCCTGAGTGCTTTTCGCCACATCTTGCCTCCTTACACCGCTCTGCGGTCTTGCACTAGGTCACGCTTAAGGCCTTGGTACGTTCGGACGTGCCAACACTGCTTTGGGCCTAATGAGCACGTACACATGCCGATTTGTAATGGTCTTGGACAACTGGTCAAATTGTGAAGCAATGCTTGTTAGAAGTTATTTCTTGGAAAGTCTTCAAAAGACTAATATGCTTCTGCAGAAATCGGTCATCTAAAGGTATGCAAGACTGAATATGCTCAATTTATAGACTGAAAGTTTGAGGACCCAAAAGCTATTAGTCTTTTGTTGGATGAATGTTAGATGCCAAAGAAGTTTGCATGCTCGTGATTTTTCCGTGCGTGACTTGACCCCATGTGCAGCTGCAGAGTGGCCCTCAGAGCGTGGTTGCTGGGTTCGTGGCTGGATTTTGTTGGGACGTGGTTAAGTTTTAAGCTCTTTACCTTGTAGCGTGTTGTGTTCGTTTTGATAATAAACTTAGTGTGACACTGCCTCACGATGTGCGTGTATGTCGTGCATGTGTTCATGGGTGCCAGTTGTAAAATGGTGTAACCGCTTGATCCACGACACCACATTTGTTTGAAAGATTCGCATTTTGTTATCAAATAAGTTGGGATTTTGCCAACTTCACAAGGAACATTCGTACTCTGGTTCTTTTGGTAAAGTCACGTAGGTAGACAAAATGATCTAATGCGATAACGATGTGGTTTCTAACTACCATGGGGTCGATGGAAGTTGATGCTTGTTTTGATATTTTCTTTTATTTGCAAAATGGTTTCTACCAGAAATATACGTATGATCATTATTCTGGCTACAATGTTCGGACATACTAATGCATGTGTAGTGTACTAATTCAGAGACGAGTAGGAGGCACGCGTGTTTATTCCGGCCTTTGCAGCCATGGGGTATAACTACATATCGGGTCAGGACAACCAACATGCTTCCAGATGCACAGCTTTAAGAGAACGACGAGTTTTATTTTAGCAGCAGCCCCGACTAAGTCGGAGCTTTCCTTTTATGCTCCCCAGCGTGGCCAGACTCCACCCTCGGCCCCGCACCCCTCTGGATCCCCTAGGAGACTCCGTACCAAGCCCACAGGCCCAACTGGTAGAACGGGTTGCTACCCCCAATCCCATTGTCTTATCAATCTCCCAGCGCCACGCGCTACAGGGACTCATTCAATGTCACTACACATGTATGTCCTGTACGGTGAACTTCGCATCGTACGTAGCCGACAGCCATAATTGGAGGTGCGGGGGAAGGACAAACAAAGCATTTAGATTTAAAGCTTTCGTGACACCAGGGATTCATCTTCTTGGTTATTTCGGTAAAGTCACGTAGAATGGAAATAAAATAATAAAAATAAAACAATGAAATCTCACGACGTTTCACTTCTGGAAGGGGTGTTATGTTTTATTATTTTATTATTTCCATTCTACGTGATTTTACCGAAAGAACCAAGAAGATAACTAAAAGCAGTTCTAAAGAAATTAGTTTTCAACCTAAATTTAAAAGCGCATGTCTTGGCTTTTTAATATTGGAAGTAAGAGCGTTCCAGACGGCCGCAGAAGCGCATCTGAAAGCGCGGTGCCACGAAAGGGGGCTATCTAACGGGGGAGGGGTTGATATACAGCAGTTGCTTCATATTAACAGCGGTTCAGCTAATAAAGAGACATTTCCTGAGGACACAACATTTGAACGGCAGAAAAGGGGTAAGCGATTGCTTTGCTGTAACTACACCGGAAGGTGATACACCGATTGTAGCGTTATTGTGCAATTGGAAATCAATGTAAATATTCACTTCTGGAAGGGATGTTCAGTGAATTTGAATATTCATCAGCCTGTTCTGGGGCGGTGGTGACAACGACCATCCGCTACGTAACGAGGTGGGGGACAGAGCCCGACTGACGGCGCCGCGGCTACGGAGGCTGTGATCGCCACGTGGGTGTCGAACACGAAATCAGCAAGGGTCAGGGTCTTGCCTATAAAGGAGAAAGACACACTCATACCTCTGACAATCCATAAGGTTCACCCGTATTCTTGTACAGGCAAATTTGAGTTTTTATTATGTCCATACGGCGTACAGCCGTTTCAACACGGGCAAAATTAGATGTTCTGTTCCTCCCTTCTGATGGGACTTTGTAGGATGAACGTTGAGATTTATAAGGGCACGCGGTGACCAATAAGATCTGAATTGTTCTGTAATCAGGTTGGCACTGATAAGGGGTTGGGGGTCGTCCATAAATGACGTCACGCGATTTTGGACGATTTTTTACCCCCCCTCCTTCGTCACACGACGTCACAAAAAGTCAGACCCCCCCTCAAATATGACGTCACAAAGCTCTGCCCCCCACCCCCAACATCATATTTCCATTTTGAAAATAAAACACGCTTCAAATCGCTTTAAACTATTGTCATTGTAGTGCGTATTTAATGTTGCGCTGCACTCTGATGTTGTAGGAGAAAACATTGATTAAAAAGTCAATTCAATTAAGTAGCACGTGTTGTCTATATTTATTTAAAGTGATCCAATCGAGCTGACATTTTCCACACAGACTCGTTGTGCCAGACAATTATTGTTCGTGAAAAAAAAATTCCCAAAATTTTACACTTTTTAGGCAAATTTTTTTTATTTTTAAATCCTTTATATTAAGTTCGCTTGCTTGCTTGCGTGCTTGCTTGCTTGCTTGCGTGCTTGCTTAGGACCGTGCAAATCTTTCGGTCGTTTTTTAACCCACTTCCCGTGATCCAATCGAGCTGTTTAGGGAAAACACATTAAATATTTAATTACCAATTGCTTAATGGTGGCAGACAATCATCTGACCCATAGGTGGCAGCCATCTCAAGCCAGAGGACGAGAGGACTCTAGCCGCCACGCATATAAAGGATTTATAGTGAAAAACTTAGTTTTTACGGGTTAATTTTTTTCTTCTTGGTTCTTTCGGTAAAGTCACGTAGAAGGGAAGTAATAAAATAAGAATAAAAAAAATAAAAAAAATTGAGTATATTTAATTTTATTATTTTATTATGTTTTATTTTTATTATTTTATTACTTCCCTTCTACGTGACTTTACCGAAAGAACCAAGAAGATGAATCCCTGCAGTCAGGAAAGCTTTAAATCGAAATTTAGTAATGTTTTGTTTATGTGACAAACCTTACTAATTGGCTGTCGGGTGGTGGCGGGTTTAACGACACACATTGACGCGATCTAACCCAAAAGCCTCATATCCAGTAGCATATTTACATTTCGTGGGACGTTGAGAGAGGTGTTTTATTATTTCGCTTTTATGTTAAGTAAATACTGCCACCCTCTTCGGTGTCCGATCTGTCACCAATACAAACTGATTTACTCTGCCTCACGACAAATTCTCCCAGTTAATTTAATTTCCCCCATGCGTGGCATATGCCTGTACGCCCAGGTTGTCGGATAAGATTTCAAGTTTCTTTACGATTCAATTTACTGATAAGTGTATTGCCATAGAGGTCTAGGCATGTCACCACTGGACATCTGTAACAAGTATAACCCGTAAAAACAAAGTTTTTCACTATAAATCCTTTATATGCGTGGCGGCTAGAGTCCTCTCGTCCTCTGGCTTGAGATGGCTGCCACCTATGGGTCAGATGATTGCATGGCAGCATTAAGCAATTGGTAATTAAATATAATATTTTTGTCCTAAAAAGTGTAAAATTTAGGAAAAAAATTTTCACGAACATTAATTGTCACGCACAACGAGTCTGTGTGGAAAATGTCAGCTCGATTGGATCACGGGAAGTGGGTTAAAAAACGATTGAAAGATTTGCACGGTCCTAAGCAAGCAAGCACGCGAACTTAATATAAAGGATTTTTTAAAATACATTTATAGCTCATCGGATTCTTCCGGTATACTCTTTGGTTCTTTCGGTAAAGTCACGTAGGTAGAAAAATAAAACAAAATAAAAATAATATATCACGATAATTTTTTTACGCCCAAAGACGACCGCTTGTGTTGCGATCGAAACGTCGTGATATATTATTTTTTATTTTGTTTTATTTTTCTAACTACGTGACTTTACCGAAAGAACCAAAGAGTATGGATTCCTGCAGTCACGAAAGCTTCAAATCAAGATCTTCCAGTATAAATACATATGATTCTGACTACTTTGACGGCGAGTAACATCATCTGAGTTATGTAATGGAGCAAGTGACCGTAAACATGCGAGTTATATTTCATAAACGAAGCTTCGATCTCGTGCAAATATGCAATAGAGTTAGTTTGCTGTGCCTTTACTGCTAAATGGATTTTCCCGCCGTGTCGATCACACTAAGTTTACACAAAATAATCACCAGCGTCGTTGTTGGGAATATACAAGATTTGAAACAGGTCCAGAGTTTCCTTGCATTGCTTCATGTTAATCTAGAAATGCATTAATTTGGTTGAACTTTTACAAAAAATACATTTGCTTTTTTAGACAAAGTGAATCACCGGTCAATGGCCAGGGTCAACGGCGGCGTGGTGTATTCCGCAAAAATGCCCGATTGTGAGGGCGGGCACAAGCCGGCGTGAGTAGTTAAACGTTGAGTTTTATAAGGGCACCACGGGGTGACCAGCCCCTCCCCACCCAGCCCCACCCATCCCACGCCCCACCCAGCCCCACCCTCCACACCTAGCCCCTCCCCACCCAGCCCCTCCCCACTCTCCCCTCCCCACCCAGCCCCTCCCCTCCCCACCCAGCCCCTCCCCACCCAGCCCCTCCCCACTCTCCCCTCCCCACCCAGCCCCTCCCCACTCTCCCCTCCCCACCCAGCCCCTCCCCTCCCCACGCAGCCCCACCCTTCTCACCCAGCCCCTCCCCACCCTCCCTCTTCCTCCCCACCCAGCCCCTCCCCACCCTCCCCTCTCCACCCAGCCCCAACCCTCCCATTTTTGGATGCACGACGGACGGACACAATAATCCCCTGTGGGTTGGTGTAACCAGGAGGTTCCTACCAGTATAAACGTGTTTTGTCTATTTGTAAATAGGGCTAAATAAACGTGTTTGTGTCTATTTGTTTGTGTTTCTCCCTTGTGATGGGACTTTGTCGGATAAACGTTGAGGTTTATAAGCGGCACGGTGGTAACCAATAAGTTCCTTAATTGGTCTGCAATAAAGTAGGGCAGTATATTCATATTCTTAGGTTTTTTTCGGTAAAGTCACGTAGGTAAAAAATTAAAATTAATAAAAGTAAAATAAAATACAAATCACGACGTTTCGGAGGCAACACAAGCTTCCGTCTTCAGGTGGAAAGTAGGGCAGGTTGACAGGTATGAGACCACCTCTGTATGCTCTGAAGCAGTATCCATTGCCAGTGGCGGCTCCTGCAAAATCTCTCAGGGGGGGCAAATGTCTGGATGATTGATAAGGATAAGGTCCACCCATGCAATGGATACATTAACAGCTTAAGCATGTAAAGGCAACTGCACTTCTTTAATATTAATGAAAAATAAAGTGACTCTTACAATACATCTCCTTGTTTGTTTCTATACTCACTATTAATACAATCCACTCAAGTTTCTTTTATTAAAGATTCCACTAGGTGGCGACAAATTATATTGTTGGATGAAACGTGCTTACGTATGATGACGTTAGCACGTTAGTGCGAGCCCTCCCGGAAGCCGTAGAGAATGCATTGCAGCGCCCGCCGGTCGAAAAAAATCATCTTTGAATGTAAGTCTATGGGGCCACTCGGGGCGATTCTCAGCCGGAGTGAAATCGCCCAAAAAGAGGCGGTAGTCCACAGAACGTGACATGACGCTGATTGGACTATATCCAGAGGCTGACAGTGACGGCTAGCGTGACTCTGTGGTTCAATGACATTGGTGGTGCGTCGCCCAATCGCCCTAATGAAGAAACCGCCCCTGTCCATTGCGTACATTGTACTGGAATCACCACGCACATTCCTGACGAATTTGGGGGATGGGTCGGGGTTTAACGCGTGTAACTTGCACATGACGTCATCTCCCTTCTAATAAAATGACGTCACGCTCATGGGCCGTCAATTAAATGACGTGACGTCATTCACAGGCCCCTCCTTCTTTTACCGACTCCGCGCGCGCGCTCGAATTGCATCCGCCCACGTGGTCGAAGCTTTTTTTTTAAGTTCCCGCCATCAGTAAAAACACAAACAGTGGTGGATTTAAAGTTACAATTGAGTGGCGAAATTACGAAAGTTGCTGGTTTTCGACTACTCGGAGGCTCTCGGGACCCGATACGAGTGATGTCGGATTGGGAATGCGACGAACCTAGCGTGGTATGAGGTCGCGGTCGTGCGGGTTTTTTGTTGTTGATTTAGTTTCCAAGTTTTTCTTGGTCCACCTCCGGGTATCACAAGTCGTGTCACGGGTGTATATTTGTTATAAATGTTGTAACTAGGTTGGTTTTTTTTTTAATCGCGGGCCAATGTTGTGGAGTTATATCGTCACACGAGTCGTTGCTCAATATTTGTGTGAATCTGCCCAATGTAAACTTACTACGGAAGCATTTGAATGCATATGGTAATCTAGAATAGATATAGAATACGTTGCGAGACTAATTTATCGTAAACAATTTGTGTTTTTTAAGAATAGCCAGCGAGCCCGAACAAAATTACATGACGCATTAAAATAGATGTTTTATAATCTTGCAACTTACTCGCTTGTTAGGGTACCCCACAAAGTAGAGGATTTGGAACAACATATTTGATATTTTGATTTAAAGCTTTCGTGACTGCAGGGATTCATATTCTTGGTTCTTTCGGTAAAGTCACGTAGAAGGGAAGTAATAAAATAAAAAAAATAAAAAAATATCACTGTTTCGACTGCGACACAAGCAATCAGTCGAAACGTGAGAATTTTTATCGCTTAATATTTGTATTTTATTATTTCCCTTCTACGTGACTTTACCGAAAGAACCAAGAATATATTTGATATTCTTTGGGTCTTTCTGTAAAGTCACGTACGAACGCCTGTTGCGATCGAAACGTCGTAGTTTTTTGTTATTTCTTGTTGTTTTCTTTGAACCTATCTACGTGACTTTACCGAAAGACCCAAAGAAAATGAATTTCTGCAGTCACGAAAGCTTTAAGTCAAGATTTTACATATTTGATGTTAATTATTCGTACATTCATTTCGCAGAACCATGTTGGTTCATTCAATGGGGGGGGGGGGGGGGGTAGCCTCAAAAAGGTTAAGAATAGCGGTCGTAATTAGTACTTAAATCCATTTGTGAGCGTCGTTGTAGAGATTTATCCATGTCCTCTTATTTTTAGATAAAAATTATATCGTACACGGCCCATCGTAAATAGATTTTCGTTCGCAAGATCGGATGCGTGTGTCGTGACCGTAAGGATGGAGTGTAATTAATACATCCAAGGATAATTATGCGTCTCCTGTGATATTAAAAGCTTGAGAGGGGACAATGTCAGCAATCTTCCATTACAGTGACTGCCTTTAAACGTTTCCATTTCACAGGCAGCAGCTGCTGACAAGAAGGGGCCCACATATGGTACGTTGGTCATTCCGTGCGTGCATATCTCGACGCTTTCTTTGTACACTTTTCGGATAATACTGGTAGGAACCTCCTGGTTACACCAGCCCACAGGGGATTATTGTGTCCGTCCGTCCGGCCGTCGTGCAGGGAGGGGCTGGGTGGGGAGGGCTGCGTGAGGGGCTGGGTGGGGAGGGTGGGGCTGGGTGGGGAGGGTGGGGCTGGGTGGGGAGAGGCTGGTTGGGGCTGGTGGGAAGTGGGGCTGGGTGGGCAGGGGCTGGTCACCTCGTGGTGCCCTTATAAAACTCAACGTTTAACCTACTCACGCCGGCTTGTGCCCGCCCTCACAGTCGGGCATATTTGCGGAATACACCACGCCGCCGTTGACCCTGGCCATTGACCGAGCAACCCAACGTTCCTACCAGCTCCCTCCGCAGGAGGACAATGTGTTAATTTCAACATGTAACGCGGCCGCACAGGATTCGCTCACTCACTCTCGCGCCTCTCATCCTCCTTCGATATGGCCCCTCTCGTTCTCTTCATCCCCAGCCATCTCTCTGTCCCTCCATGTGTCCAATCCTGTTTACGGTCCTTCTTCCTCTTTACACCTCTCTACTGGAATAAACTTCCGCTGTACATTATTGAGTAGTCTCCATCCTTAATGTTCTGTTCCTCTCTTAAAGCTTACCCCCCCCCAACCAGAACCCAGCAGCACTGAGTTCGGGCTTAGGTCGGAGAAATTTCTATAACCCCCCCCCTCCCTTGTTACGGATTTGTGCCTTTTACCGGGTTCTTGTCAAATATAAAAACTATACATAAAATAAGTAATATTTTAAAACACTTTTTTTTAAACACGCTTTAATGAAATGTACAGTACGAGTAATGGCAGAACTCCACGATTCCAGGAAGGGGCCGCATATCGTAAGGGGCCGTGGTGATTTACAGGCAACGTTAGTTGAGCGTGGACAATTTGAGCCAAGGTGAAACACAACATAAAAAAGATGGTTTACATTTTTTTATTTGATTTTTAATGATATAATATAGTATTGCCATCAATATGACGTAAGTATACCAAGTTTGCAGTCGATACCACATTGGGAAGTGGGTTAAAATTGAGTTGCAAGATTTGAGGATACGACAACAACAACAGTGAGTTAATAGAAAGCGTGTTAAGATTGTAATTTTTTTTTATGATTGAATATAGTATTGTCATCAGTAATACGTAAGTATACGAAATTTGCAGTCGATACCACATTGGGAAGTGGGTTAAAATTGAGTTACAAGATTTGAGGATACGACAACAACAGACAGAGTGAGTTAAATGAAAGCGTGTAAAAAAAGCTTACCTCTTACATATTTCCCATTCCCTCTCCTCACCCCTGCACTCCTTCCCGTTCCTCCCCATCCCCTTCGTGGTCCCAAAGTACCCTTATATCGCGGTCACTTATTCCTCAATGCTTGCGCGCTCATCTCATCCAAATAATCTTATTTTGTTTCGGTCTTTTTAGACTATGTTAACGGCCTTGAGAGAAGGCGCTCTATAAATATAAAATAAGATAAAGAGAACGATGAGGCACGAGGAGGAACCACCGATTAAGGGGAATGCAGCAGCCACGCAGAGAGTCCGAACCAACAATTGCCCAAGCTCTGCTCTCCTTTATACATTAAGGTGTTATTGGCCAATTAATGAGCGCTTACATGTGGGTGGAAACCGGAGCACGCGGAGAAATCCCACGTATGTGAATGGACTTATCCCATACCGATGGAACAGATGGAATCCACAGTTTGCTGTATCGCCTTCTGGCGAGCTAGGATATGGCACCTCGATGCCCATGGGAAGGGAGTTTCACAATATTTGTGTGATCCACCAACACTCTCCTCCAGAGTGCTCGATTAAAGACGTGCGTGACCAACACCGCCTGGCTAATATCTCCGTCAATGTCAATATTTCTTATCCATGCCTTGGCAGGTAATATGCACTCCGTGAAAACGTCCTTATCAAGGCACAGTAGGTTCAGAGATGGAGAGAGGAACTCATGAATTCGGGAATATACACAAGTCAAAATGCATATTAACCGTAACCGAATGTGAGTGGGCTTTGGCAGGAAAGATCGCTGGACAGGATGGTGATAGCTAGGGGTTGAGACTAATGACTGAGTGGCAGCCAAAGGAGGGAACACGCCTGAGGATGTCCACTGCTGTGATGAAGACATTACCGTATTTTTACGTATATAACCCGCGGGGTATACCACTTTTTACAAACAAAACAAGACCCTGCGGCTCGGGGAGGTCTTTATTCATATTAAATGTAAAAATGTTGTTTATTTTAATTTTAATGTTTTGTGCATGCGGAGCGGCAGTGTTGGAGTTAGTGTACTGCGCTGTGAATACGTAATCTGAGTTAACTTCCCACTCATGGCTAACATTAGCAAATATCTGAATCGGTCCAGGGCCTCCCCTCGGTCAACTCGGCCTTAAACGAGTACCGAGTGGCATGTGTAAACATGAGTGTTGGGGAGACAAAGTTGGTCAGGTGTGGTGATGGTCCCATAACCTCCTATTACTTGCCATCCCTCATAGATGCTCACTAAAAACTCTTGCCTCCACAGTCTCTACAACAATATGGGGGATTTCGATTTAAAGCTTTCGTGACTGCAGGGATTCATCTTCTTGGTTCTTTCGCTAAAGTCACGTAGGCTGCTTGCGTTGTGGCCGAAACGTCGTGAGAATTATTTTATTATGTTTTATTTTTATTATTTTATTACTTCCCTTCTCCGTGACATTACCGAAAGAACCAAGAAGATGAATATGGGGGATATTTGACTGTGTGATTCCAACTCACGGTTAACACTGGTGATTCATCTTCTTGTTTCTTTCGGTAAAGTCACGTAGAAGGGAAGTAAATGTAAGGACAACTTGATTTCCAAATTCAATCGCCTCTCAAACAAGAAACCGGACCCACACATTGAAAAGCTAGATATTAACAAAGTCGTAATTAATCGCAGTAACAGTCCTATTTCTGAAGGTTTGAAATCCGTTTTAGCTAAAGGACTAAACTTTGCAGTCACACCTAGACACATACCAGTTAATGATATAATTGCTCGAGTAGATGTAGCTCTCAAGGGCTTGAGTCACATCGCTGCAGACGTAGCAAGATCCGAAATCTCTGTAACCCTCAAAAACGCTAAGATGCCAGCTAGCAACATCAGCAAAGAGGAGCGTTTTGAATTAGCTCAATTAAAAAAGAGGGATGACATTGTCATCCTCTCAGCCGACAAAGGCAATGCCACTGTCATCATGGACAAAATAGAATACAACAACAAAATTCAAGAACTACTAAACGATGGCAGCTATACAAAAATAAAAAGAGACCCCACCAACAGCCTCGTCTCCAAAACCAACAACATCATTTCTGCTTCAACCGCATTAATTGATCAGACCAAACAGTTCTCGTTGAAACCTTCTGCAGCCAGACCACCAAGATTGTACGGCTTGCCAAAGATACATAAAGAAGATACACCTCTTCGTCCCATTGTCTCTACTATCAACTCCCCCACTTACAAACTGGCTCGTTTTTTGTCTGAAATCCTACGGCCTTTCACTGGAAAAACCACCTCTGCAGTACTAAACTCTACTGACCTGGTATCGACAATCAAGGGGATTGCCCTGTCCCCAGACGACCTGCTTGTCAGTTTTGATGTGGTTTCCTTGTTCACCAAGGTACCTGTGCCTGACACCATCGCAATCATTGAAGACTTGGTTCATCAAGGACTGAATGCTGGGGTACCCCCCCTGGTGAGACACTGCTTAACCAATACATACTTCACCTGGAATGGAACCTTCTACAAGCAAATTGAGGGCACCCCAATGGGCTCCCCCCTATCTCCGGTTGTAGCCAACATCTTCATGGAGAAATTTGAGACGGACGCCATCCAGACTGCCACTCTACGCCCGACCTTATGGAAGAGGTACGTAGACGACACTTTTGTCATCTGGCCACATGGCCGGCCTGCTCTAGACCAATTTCTCGACCACATCAATTCCATACACCCAGCCATCAGATTCACCATGGAAGTCGAAAATGATGGCAAGCTACCCTTTTTGGATGTCCTAATCAAAAGGAGACCTGATGGTTCAATGAGCCACTCTGTCTACAGGAAAGCCACCCACACGGATGCTTATCTAAAACCGGATTCCCACCACCATCCATCTCAGAAGAATTCCCTCATCAAGACTCTATATCATAGAGCCCAATGCATCTCCGACCATGAACACATTTCCAGTGAACTCAAACACGTACGCCAAGCTCTTAAGGCAAATGGTTACTCCGACTATACAATCCGCAAAGCCATCACTCCAACCATCAAGAAGGATCCTGTTGAGGAGCCTTTCAAGACCATCACCTTACCCTACATTGCTGGGGTCACAAAAAAGATCTCCAAAATCCTGATTAAACACAAGATCCAGGTCCGATTCAACACAGTGCATAAAATCCGTGATCTGGTACCGTCTGTAAAAGATGTGGTTCCAGACATACAGTACCCTGGCGTCTACAAACTAAGTTGCCTCTGTGGTAGCAGTTACATTGGGGAAACCAAACGACATGTCTCGGACCGCATCCGTGAACATAAAGCTGACCTGAAACACGGTAGGACTAACACCTCAGCCGTGGCAGATCACTGTTACAACTCAGTGGGCTCACATGATATTGACTTCTCCAAGACAGAGGTTCTCTGCAAGCCATCTGGCTATCATGAGAGATTCGTTCATGAGGCGATCCACATATACAAACACAGAGACAACTTTAACCGAGAAGATGGATTCTGGCTCAGCAATCATTGGAAGGACGTAATAAACCATTTCGATACACATTAGGGTGTGTAGAATAATACATAGTGTGATATTAAATGTATAAGATATAGGTTGGTTTACAGCAATACAGTATATAATTTAATGTTGGGTTTATCTATGGCAGTATATAGTACGGTATATGCTCGTGTGATGTAAGAGAATAAGGTTTAGATGGAAGCATATTATAGAATTTTTACGAGGTAAAATTGTAATGTATTACTTGCTGTTAGTAACTCAGCTTATTATAGAGTATAGTAAGTATACTGATGGTGCGATGCAGTTTATACTTTAGTTTTTTATGTAGTTTATACTTTAGTTTTCTACGTGGTTGTTGAGTAACTGCAGCTACATATCATTAACATTCCTTTCCTTTGTTACTGCTAATCCCTGCACCCCCCTTGGTTGCTGCTGATCCTGCATAATGCATGGGCATAATATGACTTTGACACCCCCCCGCCCAACGCCTACGCATTTTCCATGAATATGCTAAATCCCTCTTCACATGCACATTCTTTTTGTTAAGGCGCTCTTCAACCCCCAATGCAGCTTATATATAAGCTCCTAGTTTGGTAGTGTCTCATTCTTCACCTGAAGACGGCTGCTTGCGTTGTAGCCGAAACGTCGTGAGAATTGTTTTATTATGTTTTATTTTTATTATTTTATTACTTCCCTTCTACGTGACTTTACCGAAAGAAACAAGAAGATGAATCCCTGCAGTCACGAAAGCTTTAAATCGAAACACTGGTGATGATTATCTGAATCGGTCCTTGGCCTCACCTTGTTGCCTGAGCGTGGTGTTGGCCACCCATCCTCTCGTGTACTGTGCTCGCTAACTACACTTACCCCAACAGTATGTTAAAAGGATATATATGGAATGTTTGTGTGTGTGTAGTCCATGGGCAGGAGAGGTATGTGTCAGAGTGCCCGCATTCAATCGCCAAAAGTGACGCCGAAGATGATGGCGATGATGACGGTGGCTGCTGCAGCTTCTCCATTGATGTCGGCGATGTTGGGCGGGTCATCGGTAAGATCTCCACTGCCTCGCCATGTTTACTTGATGTGGCCTGAGAGCTTGAGGAATTCATAATCCAGTTCGTGGCTGGCCACTTGCACAAATTAGACAACCGGACTGTTGAACATTTCCAACTTTAGTATATTGGCATGTCATTTTAAAGGGAATTATAGTTTTAGAATAATATGGCCTATTTAGGGAACAGGTCAGTGGTTTGCACATGAAAATAATTGCACCGTCAACACCATCCCAGTGCGGATGTGAAAGTCCGTGTCTGGGTATGTCCGACACCAGGAAAGGATGGACAAATGATGTCTACCTAAATCGGTCATAATTGATTGACATAAGAGAACATCTCATTGGGTCAAGGTAGATAAGCCATCGCCAGCCATGGTTTTTATAGGTTTCTGCTGGGGCTACGTTAGCAGGGGAAGAGCAGCAAATCCCATTGCTGTACATGTATGCTCCCAATGTCTATGTTCCTCACTGTCACCAACCTGCACTTACCTGCGTTTTGAAATATATAAGCCCCCAAAGTCTCACAGTGTCGGAAGGCCCTTATCCAAAAAGGGGATTCACAAAAAAGTGTTCTTTATTAAACACGGAGTGAAATGTCCACTTGGGTCTGCAAATGGAAATTGCAGGGGGATTTGAATGGTTTAAGAGTTTTTTTTTTTCTGTGCCCCGCAGGAAGGGGTGGCAGCAAAATCCAGGAGCTGGAGAAGCTGAGTGGAGCGCGGATTAAGGTTGGGGGTGTTCCTGTGTTCGTTCTAACAAGGGGGCCGATCTGCTCCAGACCACATCTGTGCTTCCTGTTGACTGATTCCATTTTAGAACGACTGTAATGTTTTAGCACTGGACCAAAAACCTGCGCCCAAATGATCGTATTAAAAAAAATCCTACTTAACCACTATTGTTGCCTGGCAATACAATGTTGATTTCTATTGCGTTTAAATGCGACAGGATGTCAAGATGCTGGAGAGAAGCCATGAAATATTTAGTTTATGTGGAGAGGCACAGTCAGAGGCAGTGGTCACGAGGAATATTTTGAGTCTGGACTTGGACGGAGTTGACAGCACATGTAAAGGGGGAGGGAGTTCCAGACTACGTTAGCTTTTGGAGGAAACTGAAGAACCCAGATGAAACTCATTCAAAACAGGGAGAGAACATACAAACTACACAAAGGTGCCCAATTCAGGAATTGAACCCAAGGACTTCTTGCAGTGAAACGCAAACAAATGTTACCACTGTGCCACGTTGCCACCCAAATTGATCTGGGATTTGGACCGGGAGCCAATGGAGGAATCAGAATTATTGGGGCGATTAAATAATATGCCCACTATTTCTGTTCAATGCATATAAAAAAAAATCGTATTGCATTGAAGCCATTGATATTTTGCCTTCACTCGCCCACTCCCCGTTTACCCGCAGCTGCTGAGAGATGGGGACGAGGGCACCGTGCAGCTGGTGGGCAGCGCAGGCGCGCGGCGCATTGCCCGCAACCTGATCCGCAATATCACGGGGAGTGGGGCAGAGAAGAGCCACCAAGGCAGCCAGGGGAGGTGGCGCCCGGCTAGGGAGGGTATGGAGGGCAGGGGTGACCCCAGTTGGGGCGGTGGGACTAGAGATGATGGTAGAACGGTATCGAGTGGTGGTGCTAGGGAAGGTATTGGTGGGACTGAAGATTGTGATGATAGTGGTGGTGTGAGTAGAGGTGCTTGTAGAGGTGGATTTGGAGGTGGTGAAAATGAGGTTGGAGGTGGCAGTGGTGGGTTTGGTGGTGGTCGTGGGTTTGGTGGTGGTCGTGGGATTGTTGATAGTCATGATGGGTGTGGAGGAGGTGGTCGTGGTGGATCTGGAGGTGGTGGGTTTGGTGGTGGAGGTGGTGGGTTTGGTGGTGGAGGTGGTGGGTTTGGTGGTGGAGGTGGTGGGTTTGGTCGTGGAGGTGGTGGGTTTGGTGGTGGAGGAGGTGGTGGAGGTGGTGGGTTTGGTCGTGGTCGTGGAGGTGGTGGTTTTGGTGGTGGAGGTGGTGGTTTTGGTGGTGGAGGTGGTGGGTTTGGTGGTGGAGGTGGTGGGTTTGGTGGTGGAGGTGGTGGGTTTGGTGGTGGAGGTGGTGGGTTTGGTGGTGGAGGTGGTGGGTTTGGTGGTGGAGGTGGTGGGTTTGGTGGTGGAGGTGGTCGCTTTGGTGGTGGAGGTGGTCGCTTTGGTGGTGGAGGTGGTAGCTTTGGTGGTGGAGGTGGTAGCTTTGGTGGTGGAGGTGGTAGCTTTGGTGGTGGAGGTGGTCGCTTTGGTGGTGGAGGTGGTAGCTTTGGTGGTGGAGGAGATAGCTTTGGTGGTGGAGGTGGTACTGGTGGTGGCGGGACAAGGTCGAGTGGTGCAGCCGCTGATTCTGAAGACACCGAAAATCCCCCGCGGATTCGCATTGACTGGGCAAGCATCAACGAACGCCAGGCCGATTTTGTGGCACTCAAGTGGAATGGTGCGCTCACAGACAACATGTACGCACACACGAACACACGCACACACGAACACGGACCATCTAAGAACTCTAGGGGGGCGGTCGGTCCGGCCATCTGCATATCCACACCCTGGAATTCCTCCCCCCTCTCTCCACAGACTGTCCTCCCATCAAGAAGAATTTCTACTTTGAGTCGCCGAGCGTGACCAGAATGAGCCCTGAGGAGGTGGCCGAGTGGAGGTTCGTGCCGTGTGATGACGAGAGAAGAGTGGCTTAGTCCCAAGGGAGAAGATAGGGGTGGTCTCTACGAGGATGGACGGCTTGGTGTTTAGACCAGTGTTCGTCACTTTTTCAGAGGGCCACTTTCGCCTTGACTTCGTTAGGAAGGCCGCCCCACATTTGAAACTCTTGGGTTTGACAGCGCGATGATGTGTTTTCACATTTGTGTACATCACCCGCGGGTCTTGCAATAAAGAACATTGGTTTAGACACTGGTGTTCTGCGCTAGGGTGCAAGGGTCTACAGGAGGATGGCCTGGTCTTGAGAAGGACAGCATTCGGTAGATGTCAACGTTGTGTGTGTGTGTATATATAGATTGTCTAATCTGGAGGCGACACTGGTTTTCTATGTGGTTGCCTAGTTTAGATGGTGTTGATATGTTTTAGAGAGTGAATGGCTTGGCAGAGTGAGGGTTGCCTCATCTAGGATGAGGTTGTCCCTGTTTGGTGAGCGCAATGTGGTAGTGGCGTAAAGCACGTGGGTGTATGGTCCGGTGTCGCATTACGCTCTATATAGATGGGCAAAATACGTTCTAATTGCTGCAAAATATCTAATCGCATACAAATTACCAATTAACACCCCGTCTTGTGTAATTTAGATACAAGTTACCAATTTGAAGTGTGTAAATCAGTTTCCAATTACAAGCTACGTATTCAATGAAATGATATTTTAATTAAATGTAATTTATATACTTCCCATCTCTGCAATGTTAAATTATTCGGTGATGCTGTGTTGGCAGTGGTGCATAAGCACAAATTAACTCAAGATTGTCACGAACACTGGCCTTAAAAGGGAAAATATCTAGTAGGCGACGTTTCAGATGATGGCCTGTCTGCATAGCAAAACAATGGTGACGATTAGGCAACAACCTTTGTATTCTCTGTTTTTTTTCCGGCCTCTACTCACCACTAGGCAGAGCAACAATAACATTTCCGTGGTGGACATGTGCGAGGAGGGGAGTCGCAGCATACCCAACCCTGTGCGCACCTTTGCGGACGCCTTTGAGCATTTCCCCGACATCTTGGACAACATCTGTCGCGCAGGCTTTACCACGCCTTCACCCATACAGGTTGGCGCATCATCACGGAGCATCGGCGGTGGGGCCCTGGGTAATTTTTTTTGTGGGGGGGGGGGGGGGGGTCGACAATTTTTGTAAACCTGTTAGATTAACTTTATACCCCCACATCTGGGGAGGGTCCACTTTCTAAAACTTTTTGAATCACGGAATACTGGGCTTTTATAATAGAAGAATTGATCCAGGGAACTTTGTCTCTTCCCACTGACACAATCCTGCGGAGGAGGGAGCTGGTAGGAACGTCGGGTTGCTCGGTCAATGGCCAAGGTCAACGGCGGCGTGGTGTATTCCGCAAATATGCCCGACTGTGAGGGCGGGCACAAGCCGGCGTGAGTAGGTTAAACGTTGAGTTTTATAAGGGCACCACGGGGTGACCAGCCCCTCCCCACCCAGCCCCACCCCTCCCACCCCCCACCCTCCCCACCCAGCTCCTCCCCACCCTCTGCACCCAGACCCTCCCCACCCTCCCCTCCCCACCCAGTCCCACCCTCTCCACCCAGCCCCTCCCCACCCAGCCCCTACCTCCCCACCCAGCCCCTACCTGTACGACGGACACAATAATCCTCTGTGGGCTCGTGTAACCAGGAGGTTCCTACCAGTAATGTCTCTACTCTGCAGGATCCCCTGCCTCCCATTTGCACAGCATCTCTCACATTGGCCATTTCCTTACCAGGCCTACTGCCGGGAACCCTCGCCCGTACCTGCGTCATGTCTCAACTCCGCAATTATAATGGTCTCCTCTACGGTCTCATTAAAGCCCTCATCCTCAAACTCTGGATGATCCCGAATTCCAGACTCCTCGCTCATCACCACATCACCCGAATACTTTGATCTTTTCACTGGTTCCAAATCTAATCCTGGATCAATTTCAAGATGACACACTATCTTAAATATCATCCATGTACTCGTTCCCTGCCTACCTCTCCCCTCTGCTGCTGTTTATGGACTCTCTGCTCCAGCAACCACGGTTTTGTGTTGAAGCCCCCAGTCAATCTTTGCTCGGAAAATGAGAATGACCAATCTCTCACCGTCTCCATTGTCTGGAACTCGCTTCCCCCAGTCATCTGTGCTGTTGACCCCCTGTTGAAGTCCAGGTTCAAGGATTTTATTTCAGTGCCTGGGACTGACAGCCTACGACTAAATCATTTGGAGTGCACCCTCTCATGTCAGATTTCAGAAACCAAGTAGGCTTCAGCTTGGTGCTTGGATGAGTAACCACCGTGCATACTGGGTGTTGAAGGCTGCGGGGCTACGTGTTCAGCATTTACACAATCCGTTGTACTACACGTTGTACTGCACGTTGTGCTGCACGTGCATACATCCACGCCTAACTGGAGTGGTGAAGTTTGGTCAAACAATTTCCATGATGATCGTGGCATGAGGAGGCCATCGTATAGCAGTGGGTTGATGAACGGCTGTAATTAGTTTGAACGTATTGTTATATGACAATTTGTGTTGAGTAGACATTGTTATTGTGCTGTTGCGATGTTTGCGTTGTTGCCTTAGAGCCAGGCGTGGCCCGTGGTTCTGCTGGGCTGGGACCTCGTGGGCATCGCTCAGACAGGCACAGGGAAAACACTCGCCTTCCTCTTCCCAGGGTTCATTCACCTTACCCTGCAGCCAATGTGAGTCTCTGAGTGCCACCTTATCCTGCAAGTCCCCCGAGTCTCTTCCTGTTTCACTCTGCAGGTCCCTAAGTATCTCCACACACCTCACTGCAGTCAATGTGAGTCCTATATGCTTCTAAAATGGTTCCTGTGTGCCTCCTTGATGCTTAGCATATGGTTCCAAAATGCACCTCATTCCGACGCTTGCGGATTATTTCCCCGTCGCTTGTGGTTTTATGTTTTGTACAGCAGTTTGAGATGTGGTCACATTTATACGTTTCGTAAATGGCTGGAGCGGTGGCGCAGTGGTTAGCACACTACACTCGAAACCTGGTAACTAGAATTTGATGCCCAGCTATGGATAACTTCACTGGTTAGTGATGTCTCAACCAGTCCTTGGGCCTACCCTTCTCGAATGTGTACTGACCAGCGTAGTGAAGTATGGCACATGAGGTGTGAAGTAGCCTTTATCAATGGGTTGAAAAGAGTCCAATTATATTTGAAATCGTACACTTAAAACATTTATATTGCAATTGTGTTATCGTGGTCATGTTCACAAGATGAAGAGGTTTTCATTCAGACCCCTCAGGAGTGCATACCACCTTGTGTTAGATAATTAATGCTGAAAATGGTCACTTAAAAGCTATCTGTCCGCATAGTGGAATAACTTTTATTTGCATATTAATCCAACCAAAAAATGCTGTTACTGAAATCAAGGAATATTTGATGAAAACCCAAATTAAAATTTAATACGATTTGTTTCATTGTGCAGACTTTGATCATCCGGTTGAGACGATCACTTCGGTAAACTTAATAACCAATTTTAATCACTGGTAGTTTCTCGGCATTTCTGGCCCTTTGGTCATGAGCCCCCCTAGGGCCCACCTCCTGCACTTGCTGAGTGTTCCCATGTGCCCCCCCCCCCCCAACTCCCCGTACTTCGTGTGTCGCGGTGGAAGACCCCGGGAGCAACGGGAGGGCCCGGGAATGCTGATCTTGACGCCGACACGCGAGCTCGCCCTGCAGATCAAATCGGAGTGCAGCAAATACTCGTACCAGGGAATTACCAGGCGAGAGCCTCCTCCGTGCAGCCAAACACCCACGACATCAATCGCGCAGACTGCATTTGCGTTCAGTCGCCGCTGGTCACGTCAGCGGCGATCGAAACACTCGCCTCAACAATAAATCACTTGGATCGCAGCAACAATGAAACGTCAGATCGGTCACGCACATTGTAATTCTCCACCGATCACATCGATAATCGTCGAATGATGGGTCCACATCATCGGTCGTTACTGATCACATCAACGCTTAAATGTCGGTTGGTGTCCTTCCTACTCGAAGAAGCGTTGGGTGGTGCTGGTGTTTCACTTCCATGATAGTGACTGGGGTATCTGAGATTGATTCCTGACCATGGCAAACGTCAGTGGCAAGTGATATTTTAAATTGTCCTGGCCAACACGTTCCTGCTCCCCTCCCCCGCACACCTTCGACTCTCACTGACTAAAATATTGAGGTATGGTCAGACTGACATTATGTACGGAGGCTCTCAACCAGCAGTGAGTTGACAAAAGAGCTTGTACATGTACCTTGCGATTCTTACGCGAGCACATCACCGGTGATGGGCGGTTTCTGAAACATGAGCTGGGCCTCTGTAGGGTGAACTTGGCATTAAACGCTGCCATGCTCTTTGTGTGGTCGTGCACCCGCAGCGTGTGCATCTACGGCGGGGGCAACCGCAGGGAGCAGATCGAAATCGCCACCAGGGGCGTGGACATCGTTATCGCGACACCTGGACGACTCAACGACCTCATGATGAACGGGCACATCAGCATGCGCGGCATCACTTATCTGGTGAGAGCTGCCGATTCCCGGCACCGTCACCAGTCGGCGAAATAATGAGCGCTAGTCTTCCTCGTGCTCCCCCTAATCCTCATGATGTGCAGCCTGACATCACGTTGGCTGCTGGATAGTACAACCAGGTTCCTTATTAAATACGAGGTTGAATAAAGAAAATAATAATAATAATATTTGGAACTGTTCGCAGTGGTGCAGAAACACAAAGCCTTCCCATGATTATTATCACTGTTGTCGTTCAGGCAGAAGTCTGGGTAGGAACTAGGATATCCACTCCAGATGTCACCACACTCGTTTACTTGACAAGAATTAACGATGGGCACGAGTGTTCATGCTCATTTCATGGTTTCGTCATCCTTATCCCTGCCGTGTCCCCAGGTGCTGGACGAAGCTGACCGCATGCTGGATCTGGGCTTTGAGCCGCAGATCATGAAAATCCTTCTGGACGTGCGGCCAGACAGGCAAACTACCATGACTAGGTGATCTTGCTGCCACCTCCGCCGCCATCTTAACCTTTCTCCCCCCTCTGCGGGCGTTTCCCCAAGCGCAGCTTTCTGCCGTCCGCCATGGAGCCCTGCAGCCTATAACACCTGTTATGCATGGCCGTTTCCTATCCACGCACATATAATCATGGAATACAATAGATACAAAAAAAGCTCGATAACAGACACGGCCATAACTCGACGGTGCGCTTTTGGGTTGTGCCGTGCGATGTCTGTTTCGGACCACTTGCTCGGAGCTTCTTGGGCAAGTTCAGAAACCCGAAAACGCATCGAGAGCGATGTAGCGCAGCCGCGAAATTCTACGCAGTGGCTTTGGACGAAACGTCTTACTCGCATGCACGCATCCGTTTGTCTGCACATGCAAAACTGCACAGCGCGACGTGGCCGCCCGGAGTGAGGCGTCTTGCGCGCTCCTACCTCAAGGACCCAGTGCTCGTCTACGTCGGCTCCTTGAATCTGGCGGTGAGTGGCGATGGCTTCTCCCGTCTTGCAACGCGGGAATACGGAGATGTGGTAGTGTGCTGTATGATAACTTTAGGGTTCTAGATTTGCAGCTTTCGTGACTGCAAGGATTCATACTCTTAGTTCTTTCGGTAAAGTCACGTAGGTAAAAAATGAAATAAAAATTAATAAAAATAAAGCAATGAAATCATGACGTTTCTTGTGTTGCCTCCGAAACGTCATGATTTTATTGTTTTATTTTTATTAATTTAATTTTTTACCTACGTGACTTTACCGAAAGACCTAAGAGTATAACTTCAGGGTTCCCACTTCTGACCAGTGTGCCATTTTTCGTGCAACTGTGCCTGCGAACCCCTGAAGTGTGCGAGTTCGATTTCCATTCGCGACACATTTGTGACGAGTGATATCTGAAATGGTCATGGGCCACCCTCCCCTCTTCACCAACCCCCCACATCGACTCGGGTGACTCTTTAAAATTAGACCATCCTTGTCTCTTGTGTTCTCACCTGGTTACACAAACTTGACTTTACTTGACCCAGTGTGGTGAAGTATAGCCAAACAACACCCGTGATCAACACAGCATACAGAGTTATACATCCAGCAGTGGATTGCACAAGGGGCTGTGAATGATCGGTAAATGAATGCCAATTTTGTGTTTATGGGGGTTAATGCTGTAGTTGTTAAATCCCACTGAATTCATCGGTGCCGAGATGCACGGTTCTCCACATGCAATGTGCACCGCATTTGAAGCTTGGGAACACTGGGGCTCACCCTGCCTGTCTGTGTTGGTGTGCTGCGCGGGGTGTTCCCCCCCCCCCCACTGCACGCTGATGGGTTTTCAACCGAGCTGTGCGGGCGGGGGGCAATTACTGCCAGCCACCTGCTTGTGTGTCTACAAATAAACCACAATACCTTGCTGATGTCATCAAGGAGCATAAACCATCTCGCAAACTCCGGTCATCCTTGCCATCGGCTTTTAACTAACCATCGAGCAAAGACTGTCACTGTACCGTGCGCTTTTATATGCGCTTCTGCGGCCGTCTGGAATGCTCTTCCTATATTAGGAAGCCGCTGGAGCTATGCACTTTTAAATCTAGATTGAAAACTTCTTTCTTTAGAACTTTTTGTGTTTTAGTTTGTCCTTCCTCGACACCTCCGATTAGCACGGTTGGCTACGTACGGTACAACAGTTCATCATACGTACATACACACGCTTGTGCGCATCACTTGTGCTGCAGGCCGTCCATTCGGTGCACCAGGAGGTGGTGGTCCTGAACCCCGAAGACAAACAGGACTTCCTTTTCAAATTCTTTGCCAGCATGCAGCCCAGTGACAAGGTCCTCGTCTTCACGGGGCGAAAGGCCATGTGAGGACACGAAGGGCATCTGCCGAGAGGCGGTGCCGTCACCGGTGGTACTGTGTGTAATGATACGGACGTGTGGTGTGTGCCGGTGTCATGTGATGCTGTGTCTAATGCTTTGGTTGCTGTATTTTGGTGCAATATTTAGTGTGTGCTGCTCTTGTGTTTTCTGTGCTGCCGTGGTGCTGTCTGCGGTGCTGTCGAAGCGACTCCTGAATGGCGATGGCATGGGGAGGCCGTCATCCACCAGTGGATTTGTCATGGCTTATGAGTACAAATCTTTGCCTATCAATACATCATTGGCAGATGTAGTCGGTGGTGTTGAGGCTGACAATCAAAATCACTCAGACAGAGGTGGGGGGGGGGGATTAAAAAAATCCACTCATTTCAACTGCCACACCGGGATATCAAACGAGTGACATTTCGATTTTAATTCTAGTGTGCCAACTATTACACCATAGCAGCATGCCATTTTATACATTTATAAAAAAAAAATTTTCCCCAAATGCATTTTGTTTAGGGTGTGGCGTGTCGTGCGTTTCCACTGTGTAATTCTGGGTGCTTATCTCCATGTTCTGTCTAGCCATGCGTGTGTGCAAAGCGTTGGCTTTGCGCCTTCGCTCTGCTCCCCCTCCTTGGAATTGCGTCTTTGGCTTTGAACCAATTTTTGCTCGGTGGGGCGGGCAATTTGGGGAGAAGGAGACGGCTGCCATGGGAACCGATGCCATGGCAACACATCCGATGGCAGCAGTCGCTAGGGCGAGCGTGTCGTGGCTGCGGAGGCCGATGAGGCTTGCGCGGAGTCTTGGTGCATGTGACGGGTCTAAAGCGCAGCATGGGTGTGTCGAAGGCGTTTTGAGCCGCTCGGAATAATGGGAAAACGCTCGACGTGTCATCGATTCACCCCATGGTGATTCAGCACCGAGACAGGCAGCCAGGAGTGGTGTTGGCCACAACCCCATACCCTTGTGTGTTGTGCCATTCTTTATAGGTGCTTTGTAATAGCACTTTCCCCAACAAGTCCTATGCTGACCTGCCCCTACTGGAGATCTGTGAAAAAGAGCTTCATAGTTCTATATTTGGGTTTGCGTGCATGTGTCTATACACAGCTGTGTGTGTGTGTGTAGGTGTCTTCTCAACCCACAACACCTGGGGGTCTGCCTGTGACATGCGACAGACCACCTAGCTTGGCACAATCCATAATGACGTCATTGTCACTTAGTAGCGAATAGCAGCTGTTGTTGATGTTCTTGTGTTGCGTACGCATGTGCGTACATGTGTGCAAATACGCATGTGCATGTCATACGCACACGCGTACACACACCCCCTCGTGTGCCATATTGGCCTTCATAGGTGCTCGTTAACATCACTTTCCCAAGCAGTTTATGGATATAGGGGGATCTTTGTCTGCACAACACGCACACCCATGAGTGCAGGGCCGATCACCTCTCCACGAAGTGTTGCCTCATGGGCCTCGATGTCCAGAGTCTCCATGGCGACCGCGAGCAGTTCGACCGAGAGCAGGCGCTAAGTGAATTCCGCAGCGGTGAGCATTTGCTCCCATCCCTGTGTCCACCTTCCCCTCCCCTCTCCTCCCAGCCTCCACATTCCCCCCCACCCCACCCCTGTACTACATCGCAGTGGTCTCGCTCTCCAAGCGCGGCGTTTTTTGTCCGCTTCTCGGCAGACGGCGCACGTTGGCGATGCACGCCCAACTTTGTTGTGCAGTGTCTTGATGCAGTCACTTTCAGACGGTACATAGATCCAAGCTGTATTATTGATTTGTGTCGCAACCCTGTGGAAATGTCCACTTGTCTGCCTGCGGAGGCAACCAGAGCCTGTGGAACTCCACGCGCACCAGTGAATTGGTGGGAGTGGTGGCTGCTCGGCGAGTGGTGTGCGGTCCGCGCTGTGATGTCATCCGTAATGCGTTGGCTTCACACCACATGCATCGGTCACATCTGGCAAACCCAGCAGCATTTCACCTGAGGACGGCTGCTTGCGTTGTGGCCGAAACGTCGTGAGAATTTTTTCATTATGTTTTATTTTTATTATTTTATTACTTCCCTTCTACGTGACTTTACCTAAAGAACCAAGAAGATGAATCCCTGCAGTCACGAAAGCTTTAAATCGAAATCCAGCAGCATTTGTTAAGCTTCACGAGACCCGGAAGGTGGAACCGGTCCAGAATATTCTTGGTTTCACATTGCTGGATAACATTTTGCAGGAAAGCCAATATGCTGATGCACATGTATATTATTTATATGGAGGGACAGAATGGAGTTTTACTTACATTTACTTTTACCCACAAGTCTCTAAAATAATGCATTATGAGTTTTTTTTATTATACCTGGTGTGGTTGATAATTGGTTTTTTACCCTTCTATCTGGCAACAAAACTGACACCTATTTACAAGGAGTCATGTTTGCATAGACTGCAATACCTGCAGTCATAATACAAACAAAAGAACATAACTCTGATAATGTGCACTGTCCTTGAAGTTGATTGTTGCGGTGTGCAGTGACCACGATATGGCCATGGTGCGAGATGTCCATGGTGTGGGCATTTCCTATTGTGTGGTGTCCGTGGTGTACGGTGGTGCGTGGTGTTGTGCGGTGTTCCTGGAGCGGTGGTGGTGTACGGATGCGAATGCAGGCTGCGTGCGGATCCTCATAGCCACGGACGTGGCCTCGCGCGGGCTGGACGTGACCGACATCACACACGTCTTGAACTACGACTGTCCACGCCACATGGAGGAGTACGTGCATCGCATCGGCCGCACGGGCCGCGCCGGGTGGGAGCATGCATTGTGTACACACGCGCACACACAATATCACTGCTATACACCGTGTGCAGCGCGTCACTTCGGTACACACACTGCACACACATACTCTTAGTTCTTTCGGTAAAGTCACGTAGGTAAAAAATGAAATTAATACAAATAAAATAAAAATATAAAAATCACGACGTTTCGGAGGCAACACAAGTCTCCGTCATCAGGTGGGACCGTCACAGCCACATTTGCTGCATCATGTGACGGTCCCACCTGATGACGGAGACTTGTGTTGCCTCCGAAACGTCGTGATTTTTAATATTTTATTTTATTTATATTAATTTTAATTTCATTTTTTACCCACGTGACTTTACCGAAAGAACTAAGAGTATGAGCCCTTGCAGTCACGAAAGCTTCAAATCTAGAACTACAAACACACTTGAGGCTAATACACATGCGTGATGCCATGCGTTTGTACGAATGCAACATTGAAACGCCACTGCACGTGTGACACCGACACACACACACAATGTCAGTTTTTTTTTCTACTTTCTGAGCACAGGGTCCAGAGGCCCACAATGAAAGCATGTTATAGATGAAGCCGTCACGTGTTTCTTGAATTGAGAGCCTATGAGAACTTGGGACAAGAGAGAGTGGGAGGGAAAGAGAGGAGAGCCGTGTGAGGAAAGGAGACAGTGCTGTGACCTGCAGTGCGGAGGTTGATCGCAGATTGCGCTGCGTGCCACATACTGCAAACGGCATATTGTTGTAACCTGCTGACAAGAAGCTCACTCGTGGGATGGGATGTGTGCCCCCCCCCCCCCCCCGTGCTGGGCAGCAAGGAGGGCAAGTCGGTGACTTTGGTGACGCGAAGTGACTGGAGGCATGCGGCAGACCTTATCAGCATCATGCAGGAGGCCGGGCAGGTGAGGGGAAGAGGATCCGCTATTGGATGAGGATGTTTCGATTTAAAGCTTTCGTGACTGCAGGGATTCATACTCTTAGTTATTTCGGTAAAGTCACGTAGGTAAAATTTTAATTAATAAAAATAAAACAATAAAAATCACGACGTTTCGGAGGCAACACAAGTCTCCGTGATCAGGTGGGACCGTCACAGCCAGATTTGCTGCATCAAGTGAGGCAAGGATTGCATTTAAGGGATTACATCTTGAATCCTTGCCTCACTTGATGTAGCAAATCTGGCTGTGACGGTCCCACCTGATGACGGAGACTTGTGTTGCCTCCGAAACGTCGTGATTTTTATTGTTTTATTTTTATTCATTTCATTTGTTACCTACGTGACTTTACCGAAATAACTAAGAGTATTGATCTTCTTGGTTCTTTCGGTAAAGTCACATTCAGACGCCGTCTTTCCGACAGACCTGTTCTTCACCTGAGGACGGCTGCTTGCGTTGTGGCCGAAACGTCGTGAGAATTGTATTTTATTATGTTTTATTTTATTATTTCCCTTCTACGTGACTTTACCGAAAGAACCAAGAAGATGGATGAGGATGCTTGTTAATACATTTGCATGTACACAACAATTACAACCACAGTTGCCATTGGTCGCTAAGTTAGCGGTGATTCCACCACGGCGTTTGTGTAAGGCAAGATGCACTTTTGGAGGCTACGTGTAATGTAGAATGCTCACTGCTGGCAGTAGGTCAGAGGACAAACCCAGTTGTTATGAGTTGACCGACTGAGATGGATCCACAGACATGTACATATACATACACTCACATGTCCATAGCCTCGCAGATACACAGAGACATCAGAATGTATATGTCGGGAAGTTCCAGATGGGTGGGTTTTTTTGGATGTTAATTGAATCTCCCAACACGTGTAGTGAGTCCCAACTGAGTCGCAGACGTTGTTTTAGGGAGCAACACGATTTATTAAACTATTTGCACAACATGCTCCAGGCTATTAACACAACACACTCTCGGGTGTTGACCACCCAACTAACCACGCTACGGCGAAACTAGACACGGTTCCGCTATCCCGGTCCGGACCACAAGCTGGGTCCCAGACCGCGTGGCTAGAGGCTTCTTCAAGCTTGATGTGGGATCTCCTGCCTCTCCAACAGTAAGAACCCCGAGCCCCTCACAGGGGGGGGGGGGGCCCTTATATCGGGCTGGGGCAGGCTCCGCCTCTCGCCCCGCCCACCTTCTCGGTCTCTCTCGCCCTTGCCTGAAGGCTCTCGAGAGCTCTTCCCGGACCATGTGACCACTAGGGGTCGGCACGGTTTGAACCGACTCAAACTGGTTTCAAATTGAGCAAACCAAACTAGCGACGACTGAACCAAACCAAACCAAAACCAAACCAAACTAAGCTAAACCAAACCTCTTGAGTTGGCTTGAACCGAAAAGATGTGCGGCAAACAATATTCGCATTCAATACAAATATCAAGTGTATTAATCGCTAATTTCTACGCAGGCTTTCTTCATATTGAGATTCACTAGCAAGTACTGGACGACGATGTCGTCCACAGCCATCTCCTCAAGCTTGGCACGCCCAATGTCCTTGAACGCAGTGTGGTAGTTCAATGGCAGTGAAACCCCAACACTAGGCAACATCCGCGCCCACGAGCGCACACACATCTCGGCCTTGAACGTGCACTTGTGCAGGTTTGGTCGGTCGAGAAAGGAGCGCTTGGCGGCCGAGTTTGCTCTCTCGGAGGGCACGGACGACGCCGGGATAGGCAAATAGTCGAGGGCCACGCGTCGTAGGCGCGGGTACTTGCCGCCGTACAGCTTCCACCACTCGACGACGTCCATGCTCAGGTCCTGAGTCGGCTCAAGCAGGAAGCGGTCGACCTCGGAGGCGGCGCCGTCGTGAGCGTTGGGCGCGTAGACCATGTCAAAGAGGATGTTAATGCCGCCACGCGGCGCCGCCTTCGGCGCCGCGTCCGTCGTCAACGCTGGGTAGCGCTGGTTGAGAATGTCCGTCATCATGTCCTTGATATTGCTGTACTCGGCCTTTACAACCAACCAAACTAGTTTGAGCCGGTTCCACCCTGTCCGAGCCAAACCGAGTCGGTTTTCGTAGCCCCAAACCAAACCGAACCAGTTCAAACAGAGCCAAACCAAACCGATTTGGTTCGGTTCAAACCGCGGTTTGGTGGTTTGAGCCAAACCGTGCCGACCCCTAGTGACCACCCATTGGCCCCCTCCACCGGTGACCCCCCTCCAGTATCATCCGGTCACATGTCCCCAGGTCAACCAGAGTATCATGCCCCCAACGTAACCCTAGCTGGCTGACACTCTCTCGCTCTCTCAACGGGAGCCCGCACCGCACGCTGTGCGTGGTGCCACCGCGCTTAACCAGCGCTCACCCAAGCCTCCACTAGGGCTGGTACTACATCCCGTGTCCGAGGTGCACCACAGTGACATTTCCAGTCACTACACATGTGTAAAGAGTAGCCCGGAAATAGCTTGATGCCCTGTCTTACTTTTCCTCTAACCCTTTTCTGCCTTTCCCTTTCAACTCTCGTCGAATCACTTTCCACTCCTCCCATTTCCCCCACTTAGAGGAGTGGGAGGTGGTCCCATTGACTTCATCCATCATGTGGCTGGCGATGTTATCTGTGAGTTCTGAACATCCCTGGGCTTATTCTTTGTTGGTGAAGGCCAGAATGGTGTCACCATTATTGTTTTAGGTGTGTGTACCCAGAAACCCTTGGTGAAGGAAAGATTGGTGATTCAAGCAGTCGCCCATTAAATTGTCCCTTTGTGTGCTTGCTTCAAATGAGCAGATCCTACACACACACACATACAGACAGGTATATGCATGTGTGTTTATATAGGTACGTGGGTGCACGTATAGGTGTGCTTGTGGATTTGCATGTCTGTGTGTGTATGTGTGTGTGCGGTTGTGTAGCGGTTGGCGCACTGCTCTGTGAACTTGGCGACCCAAGTTTGATTCTCACTCAAGGCCAACATCAATGACGATTATTTGAACCGGTCTTGGGCCTCCCCCTCCCCTAGGTCGACACAACCTCATGAGTACCTGGTGTGGTGCGTGTGAACGCCACCACTCGGGAGACAAAGGCAGAGCTGGCTGTGGTGCTGGCCTCCCACCCCCTCTTGTGCCGTTCTGGCTTTCATAGGTGCTCGGTAACAACAATTGCCCCAACAGTCTGCTACAGGCTATACGGGGGGAGATCTGTCTTGTATACATACATGTGTGTGCGGGTGTGAGTTATTGAATGAATGTGATTGTATGCGTGTTTGTGAACACAACTCAACAGCCTGCGAATAGCGACGATTCTAACTCCGCATGTACAACTACTCAACATCGGAAACTCAACATCAACTCAACAAAAACCTAACATCAACCGCAACTCAACAGCATCTCAACTCACCAATTCAACATCTCAACTCAACAGCATTTCAACAAGTCATCTCAAAAGCAACTCAACTCAACGTCGTTTTACCCCACTGTCTGTGGGTCGTGTCCACAACTCGCAAACTCTTCACTCTCCATAAGAGGCTTTTTGGGTCACTCTCTTCACTCTCACTCGCCCTGCCCATGAGTGGTGACCATAGTGGATAGAGGCTGAATGGTCCGAGTCCTCGCCCTGGGAGAGGGAGAATCTACACTGATTGTTTTACCTTGTCAAGTCCACCTCAAGACATTTGGGCCTTAGTGACTCGACCAGGAATGGTTAATCCCCACTGTAGATTAAACATTAGTTATCTCTTGGTATGTGCACAATACTACATAGCCCTTCGACAACAGTTTCCCCCATTGTGTCTGTGTGAATGTGTTTATTCATCTATTAGGCACTGTGTAGTAAAAAAAGAATACTGTAATTGATTTATTTAATTTCAAATTTGAGTTGTATAAAATGTTGTAGTTATGTTTTACAGTGACTGAGGTGAGTGTGAAGTTAATGTAGCTTAGATGCAAGTTAACTGTGAGGTGTATAATGTATGTGGTTCTTCTTCTTCTTGGTTCTTTCGGTAAAGTCACGTAGAAGGGAAGTAATAAAATAATAAAAATAAAACAATAAAATAATTCTCACGACATTTCGGCCACAACGCAAGCAGCCGGTCCTCAGGTGAAGACCAGGTCTGTCGAGGCGACAGCGCTGTATGTGTTTCTTTATAGAATCTTATTTTGTGTGCGGCATTGTGCATGAAGGAGAGACTGATTTAGGCAGTCCTTCTGTCGGGAGCTTGGACCGCTTCAGCTTCGACCTCTGGTATTCAGGTCTGGGTGGACTGGTTCTGGCTCCAGGTCACCATGCAGGGTGTGGACAGTTCTCCACTCGGCAAGAAACTGCCGAACAACAGGGAGTGGCACTTGTTTTGAACAACATCACTTGCCCCAACAGTCTGTTAAAGTCTATACGGGGCGGGGGGGGGGCATCTTTGTCTTATGCGCATGTGTGCGTCGGTCAGGATGTGCCGCAGGAGCTAGAGGAGATGGCCGAGCGGTTTGAGCAGAACCAGCGCGAGAAGGAGCTACGCGGAGACCGACCCAGGTGGGCAGTCGCCCTCATAATTACAATAATGCAGAGTCCTCTTGTCGGTCGACTGCTGTGTCGCCCGTGGGAGATGATTGCTCATGCTTCACCATGCTGGTGGGGTGGGTGGCTGCAGGACCAATTTAGACGCTACTCAGATTTTTCGTGGATATAATTTACCCTCCGAATTCACCGTTTGAGTTCATATTTAATCATTCACAAGCATTACGTTTCGCATGTAATTTGATGCACGTGTCGCGAGAATAACGTTGCATTTTAATGGATGAATCGTATTTGAGAGTTACGTGCCCAATCGTAGTTAAGTCTTGCTGTTGACCGGGGGTGGGGAACGTCCGGCCCGCGGGCCGTATAAGGCCCGCGAAATAATTTGGTCTGTTCCAGCCGTCACATTAGGGGTGAGTTAATTAAATGTTTGACCAAATATAACGGGCCAGTTTTTAAGTTGATAATTTTGCATGGCCCGCGAATGATGTTATAAATGGCCCTTGGCAGAAACAAGGTTCCCCACCCGTGCTGTCGACCAATGCGTTTGGCTTCATTGATCATCCAGCAGTGAATTTCTCACCGGCGGTCAGTAGCCTCCTTCACTTCATTATCACTCTTCTTTTGTGACTACCATGGGCGCGGTTTCTTTACTCATTGGTTCCTCCATTCATCCACACTGGAGGTCACAAAACTTGTTTTTCTGATTCTTTCCAAACACACTTTTGATTTCTAAAGTGAGTTCAAGAAACATTAAACTCTTACTCATTATGCCTTTAGTGATATTATTTTTTGGGGGCCTTCAGACGATCTAACCAAAAAGCCTTTATTATGAATACTATTGGTCACGAAAGCTTATGTTTAAACTGCCTTTTAGGCCTGTTCTCCACTTTTGTAAGGAATTCCTCCCCTGCCATTTAAAATTTCCTTTCTTGATTGAAGATATCTCTTTTTTGCATGTGGTTTCTGATGTGCACTACATCAAATAAAAATTGCAGGTTTGGTGGGCGAGGAAGATTTGCGGACCGCGATGCCGTCGCCGGCGTGTTCGAGGGACTCCTGTAGAGGGGGTACGCGAGGGGGTCCATTGCACCCCTGGAACCTTGGATGCACATCGGTAGCATGTCTACTTCAGACTTCTTTCCTGGTTTCTGTCTGCAGCTGAATTTCGTTAATGTTACAGCTAGCCCAGCATTCAGGCGATAGTACTGCACCACTGTAATCATATGGGGGGTTCCCAATTGAAGTTGGCTGCCAGGGATTTTGTGGGCCTTGTAAAATCTGGAAGTCTCCTGGCATGTTATAGACCGGTGTGTTTTGTTGGAGGTACATTCCCCCCTCTCCCCCTTTGAGTGTGCTGGAGTCTTGTGAAAATTGTTCTGGATTGTCTCCGTTTGCAATGTATTTTCGAGCATTGTGTGAAGGCTGGCATTCTAATGAAAGTGTTGGAAGGGAAATATTTTTTTCCCCGTTGACATGGGAAAAAAAGGTCGGACCGGTATGAAAGTGCTGTTGCTCATTTTTACATCAACATGATCCCGAGTCCTTGAATTTTGTCCATGTACACGGTGTTATTTAAATGTTTTTATTTGTCAAAACGGCTGTGGCAACAACACTTGTAGACCACAGCGTTTGGCTAACTGGAAACTTTCAGCGTGTAGTGATGTAAAAATTCGATATGGCCAAGTGTTTTTAAATATTACAGTTCCTGATGGACATGGGCAAAGTTGTGCGCTTCAGTTTAAGTGATTTATAAATTGTAAAGTGCCTATTTTCACTGCAATAAACAATGTCATTGGATTTGTAGCTTGGTGTGGATATCCACTGCCACCTTGTAACCTGTGTACACATACAGTTTGAACCGACTCAAACTGGTTTCAAATTGAGCAAACCAAACTAGCGACGACTGAACCAAACCAAACCAAAACCAAACCAAACTAAGCTAAACCAAACCTCTTGAGTTGGCTTGAACCGAAAAGATGTGCGGCAAACAATATTCGCATTCAATACAAATATCAAGTGTATTAATCGCTAATTTCTACGCAGGCTTTCTTCATATTGAGATTCACTAGCAAGTACTGGACGACGATGTCGTCCACAGCCATCTCCTCAAGCTTGGCACGCCCAATGTCCTTGAACGCAGTGTGGTAGTTCAATGGCAGTGAAACCCCAACACTAGGCAACATCCGCGCCCACGAGCGCACACACATCTCGGCCTTGAACGTGCACTTGTGCAGGTTTGGTCGGTCGAGAAAGGAGCGCTTGGCGGCCGAGTTTGCTCTCTCGGAGGGCACGGACGACGCCGGGATAGGCAAATAGTCGAGAACCACGCGTCGTAGGCGCGGGTACTTGCCGCCGTACAGCTTCCACCACTCGACGACGTCCATGCTCAGGTCCTGAGTCGGCTCAAGCAGGAAGCGGTCGACCTCGGAGGCGGCGCCGTCGTGAGCGTTGGGCGCGTAGACCATGTCAAAGAGGATGTTAATGCCGTCCGTCGTCAACGCTGGGTAGCGCTGGTTGAGAATGTCCGTCATCATGTCCTTGATATTGCTGTACTCGGCCTTTACAACCAACCAAACTAGTTTGAGCCGGTTCCACCCTGTCCGAGCCAAACCGAGTCGGTTTTCGTAGCCCCAAACCAAACCGAACCAGTTCAAACAGAGCCAAACCAAACCGATTTGGTTCGGTTCAAACCGCGGTTTGGTGGTTTGAGCCAAACCGTGCCGACCCCTAGTGACCACCCATTGGCCCCCTCCACCGGTGACCCCCCTCCAGTATCATCCGGTCACATGTCCCCAGGTCAACCAGAGTATCATGCCCCCAACGTAACCCTAGCTGGCTGACACTCTCTCGCTCTCTCAACGGGAGCCCGCACCGCACGCTGTGCGTGGTGCCACCGCGCTTAACCAGCGCTCACCCAAGCCTCCACTAGGGCTGGTACTACATCCCGTGTCCGAGGTGCACCACAGTGACATTTCCAGTCACTACACATGTGTAAAGAGTAGCCCCGAAATAGCTTGATGCCCTGTCTTACTTTTCCTCTAACCCTTTTCTGCCTTTCCCTTTCAACTCTCGTCGAATCACTTTCCACTCCTCCCATTTCCCCCACTTAGAGGAGTGGGAGGTGGTCCCATTGACTTCATCCATCATGTGGCTGGCGATGTTATCTGTGAGTTCTGAACATCCCTGGGCTTATTCTTTGTTGGTGAAGGCCAGAATGGTGTCACCATTATTGTTTTAGGTGTGTGTACCCAGAAACCCTTGGTGAAGGAAAGATTGGTGATTCAAGCAGTCGCCCATTAAATTGTCCCTTTGTGTGCTTGCTTCAAATGAGCAGATCCTACACACACACACATACAGACAGGTATATGCATGTGTGTTTATATAGGTACGTGGGTGCACGTATAGGTGTGCTTGTGGATTTGCATGTCTGTGTGTGTATGTGTGTGTGCGGTTGTGTAGCGGTTGGCGCACTGCTCTGTGAACTTGGCGACCCAAGTTTGATTCTCACTCAAGGCCAACATCAATGACGATTATTTGAACCGGTCTTGGGCCTCCCCCTCCCCTAGGTCGACACAACCTCATGAGTACCTGGTGTGGTGCGTGTGAACGCCACCACTCGGGAGACAAAGGCAGAGCTGGCTGTGGTGCTGGCCTCCCACCCCCTCTTGTGCCGTTCTGGCTTTCATAGGTGCTCGGTAACAACAATTGCCCCAACAGTCTGCTACAGGCTATACGGGGGGAGATCTGTCTTGTATACATACATGTGTGTGCGGGTGTGAGTTATTGAATGAATGTGATTGTATGCGTGTTTGTGAACACAACTCAACAGCCTGCGAATAGCGACGATTCTAACTCCGCATGTACAACTACTCAACATCGGAAACTCAACATCAACTCAACAAAAACCTAACATCAACCGCAACTCAACAGCATCTCAACTCACCAATTCAACATCTCAACTCAACAGCATTTCAACAAGTCATCTCAAAAGCAACTCAACTCAACGTCGTTTTACCCCACTGTCTGTGGGTCGTGTCCACAACTCGCAAACTCTTCACTCTCCATAAGAGGCTTTTTGGGTCACTCTCTTCACTCTCACTCGCCCTGCCCATGAGTGGTGACCATAGTGGATAGAGGCTGAATGGTCCGAGTCCTCGCCCTGGGAGAGGGAGAATCTACACTGATTGTTTTACCTTGTCAAGTCCACCTCAAGACATTTGGGCCTTAGTGACTCGACCAGGAATGGTTAATCCCCACTGTAGATTAAACATTAGTTATCTCTTGGTATGTGCACAATACTACATAGCCCTTCGACAACAGTTTCCCCCATTGTGTCTGTGTGAATGTGTTTATTCATCTATTAGGCACTGTGTAGTAAAAAAAGAATACTGTAATTGATTTATTTAATTTCAAATTTGAGTTGTATAAAATGTTGTAGTTATGTTTTACAGTGACTGAGGTGAGTGTGAAGTTAATGTAGCTTAGATGCAAGTTAACTGTGACGTGTATAATGTATGTGTTTCTTCTTCTTCTTGGTTCTTTCGGTAAAGTCACGTAGAAGGGAAGTAATAAAATAATAAAAATAAAACAATAAAATAATTCTCACGACATTTCGGCCACAACGCAAGCAGCCGGTCCTCAGGTGAAGACCAGGTCTGTCGAGGCGACAGCGCTGTATGTGTTTCTTTATAGAATCTTATTTTGTGTGCGGCATTGTGCATGAAGGAGAGACTGATTTAGGCAGTCCTTCTGTCGGGAGCTTGGACCGCTTCAGCTTCGACCTCTGGTATTCAGGTTTGGGTGGACTGGTTCTGGCTCCAGGTCACCATGCAGGGTGTGGACAGTTCTCCACTCGGCAAGAAACTGCCGAACAACAGGGAGTGGCACTTGTTTTGAACAACATCACTTGCCCCAACAGTCTGTTAAAGTCTATACGGGGCGGGGGGGGGCATCTTTGTCTTATGCGCATGTGTGCGTCGGTCAGGATGTGCCGCAGGAGCTAGAGGAGATGGCCGAGCGGTTTGAGCAGAACCAGCGCGAGAAGGAGCTACGCGGAGACCGACCCAGGTGGGCAGTCGCCCTCATAATTACAATAATGCAGAGTCCTCTTGTCGGTCGACTGCTGTGTCGCCCGTGGGAGATGATTGCTCATGCTTCACCATGCTGGTGGGGTGGGTGGCTGCAGGACCAATTTAGACGCTACTCAGATTTTTCGTGGATATAATTTACCCTCCGAATTCACCGTTTGAGTTCATATTTAATCATTCACAAGCATTACGTTTCGCATGTAATTTGATGCACGTGTCGCGAGAATAACGTTGCATTTTAATGGATGAATCGTAATTGAGAGTTACGTGCCCAATCGTAGTTAAGTCTTGCTGTTGACCGGGGGTGGGGAACGTCCGGCCCGCGGGCCGTATAAGGCCCGCGAAATAATTTGGTCTGTTCCAGCCGTCACATTAGGGGTGAGTTAATTAAATGTTTGACCAAATATAACGGGCCAGTTTTTAAGTTGATAATTTTGCATGGCCCGCGAATGATGTTATAAATGGCCCTTGGCAGAAACAAGGTTCCCCACCCGTGCTGTCGACCAATGCGTTTGGCTTCATTGATCATCCAGCAGTGAATTTCTCACCGGCGGTCAGTAGCCTCCTTCACTTCATTATCACTCTTCTTTTGTGACTACCATGGGCGCGGTTTCTTTACTCATTGGTTCCTCCATTCATCCACACTGGAGGTCACATAACTTGTTTTTCTGATTCTTTCCAAACACACTTTTGATTTTTAAAGTGAGTTCAAGAAACATTAAACTCTTACTCATTATGCCTTTAGTGATATTATTTTTTGGGGGCCTTCAGACGATCTAACCAAAAAGCCTTTATTATGAATACTATTGGTCACGAAAGCTTATGTTTAAACTGCCTTTTAGGCCTGTTCTCCACTTTTGTAAGGAATTCCTCCCCTGCCATTTAAAATTTCCTTTCTTGATTGAAGATATCTCTTTTCTGCATGTGGTTTCTGATGTGCACTACATCAAATAAAAATTGCAGGTTTGGTGGGCGAGGAAGATTTGCGGACCGCGATGCCGTCGCCGGCGTGTTCGAGGGACTCCTGTAGAGGGGGTACGCGAGGGGGTCCATTGCACCCCTGGAACCTTGGATGCACATCGGTAGCATGTCTACTTCAGACTTCTTTCCTGGTTTCTGTCTGCAGCTGAATTTCGTTAATGTTACAGCTAGCCCAGCATTCAGGCGATAGTACTGCACCACTGTAATCATATGGGGGGTTCCCAATTGAAGTTGGCTGCCAGGGATTTTGTGGGCCTTGTAAAATCTGGAAGTCTCCTGGCATGTTATAGACCGGTGTGTTTTGTTGGAGGTACATTCCCCCCTCTCCCCCTTTGAGTGTGCTGGAGTCTTGTGAAAATTGTTCTGGATTGTCTCCGTTTGCAATGTATTTTCGAGCATTGTGTGAAGGCTGGCATTCTAATGAAAGTGTTGGAAGGGAAATATTTTTTTCCCCGTTGACATGGGAAAAAAAGGTCGGACCGGTATGAAAGTGCTGTTGCTCATTTTTACATCAACATGATCCCGAGTCCTTGAATTTTGTCCATGTACATGGTGTTATTTAAATGTTTTTATTTGTCAAAACGGCTGTGGCAACAACACTTGTAGACCACAGCGTTTGGCTAACTGGAAACTTTCAGCGTGTAGTGATGTAAAAATTCGATATGGCCAAGTGTTTTTAAATATTACAGTTCCTGA